CGAGGTGACCGGCACCACGACCCTTCAGTCGGCTCTCACTGTCAATGCCTATGCACACGTCACCGGCACTCTGTCGGTGGACACGGACCTCACCGTGGGCGGCGACGCTCTCGTGTCGGGCGAGCTCACCGTGACTCAGGCCACTTCGCTGCTCTCCACGCTCGACGTGGCCGGTGTGGCGTCGTTCGCCTCGGATGTTACCATGGGCGTCGACCTGCTGGTACAGGGCAGACTCGCCGTCAACACCGATGCCACCGTTGCTGGCGCCGTGTCGGTACTTGGCGACCTCAGCACGGACGGCGCGCTGTTTGTCGAAGAGGCCACGAGTCTGGGCAACACGCTGCTCGTCGTGGGCGCCACCACTCTGGGCTCTTCGCTCGAGGTGACCGGCACCACGACCCTCCAGTCGGCTCTCACCGTCAATGCCGATGCGCTCGTCACCGGCACTCTGTCGGTGGACACGGACCTCACCGTGGCCGGCGACGCTCTCGTGTCGGGCGAGTTCACTGTGACTCAGGCCACTTCTCTGCTGTCCACGCTCGACGTGGCCGGCGCGGCGTCGTTCGCTTCGGACGCGACCATGGGCGCCGACCTCCTGGTGCAGGGCAGCGTTGAGATCAACACCGACCTCACGGTCAACACGGACGCTGCCGTGCTGGGCGACTTCTCGGTGCGCGGCTTCGTGCACACGGACGGCGAGCTGCTCGTGGAGAAGATCACCAGCCTGGGCAACAATCTCACGGTCGTGGGCGAGACCAGCCTCGGGTCGCACCTGGACGTGCAGGGCGAGACCACGCTGCACCAATATCTGTACGTGGACGACGACGCCCAGGTGACTGGCACGTTGTTCGTCGACTTCGATCTGTCGGTGCAGCGCTACCTCAGTGTGTCCGACGACGCCGCCTTCGGCGCCAACGTCCAGGTCGACGGCACTCTCCACGTCAGCGGCATGACATCGCTGCGCGACAGGCTTGGTCGTGCTGGGCGAGACCACGCTCGAGGACAGTCTGGTCGTCGTGGCCGACGCGTCGGTGAGCGGCGTCATGTCGGTGAGCGGCAACATGCAGACCGACGGCGCACTGTTCGTCGAGCAGGCCACCAGCCTCGGCGATGACCTCATCGTTGTGGGCCAGACCACTCTGGGCTCTTCGCTCGAGGTGACCGGCACCACGACCCTCCAGTCGGCTCTCACTGTCAATGCCGATGCGCTCGTCACTGGCACTCTGTCGGTGGACATCGACCTCACCGTGGGTGGCGACGCTCTCGTGTCGGGCGAGTTCACCGTGACTCAGGCCACTTCTCTGCTGTCCACGCTCGACGTGGCCGGCGCGGCGTCGTTCGCTTCGGACGCGACCATGGGCGTCGACCTGCTGGTACAGGGCAGCCTCGCGGTCAACACCGATGCCACCGTTGCAGGCGACGCGTCGGTACTTGGCGACCTCAGCACGGACGGCGCGCTGTTTGTCGAAGAGGCCACGAGCCTGGGCAACACGCTGCTCGTCGTGGGCGCCACCACTCTGGGCTCTTCGCTCGAGGTGACCGGCACCACGACCCTCCAGTCGGCTCTCACCGTCAACGCCGGTGCGCTCGTCACCGGCACTCTGTCGGTGGATATCGACCTCACCGTGGGTGGCGACGCTCTCGTGTCGGGCGAGTTCACCGTGACTCAGGCCACTTCTCTGCTCTCCACGCTCGACGTGGCCGGCGCGGCGTCGTTCGCTTCGGACGCGACCATGGGCGCCGACCTCCTGGTGCAGGGCAGCGTTGAGATCAACACCGACCTCACGGTCAACACGGACGCTGCCGTGCTGGGCGACTTCTCGGTGCGCGGCTTCGTGCACACGGACGGCGAGCTGCTCGTGGAGAAGATCACCAGCCTGGGCAACAATCTCACGGTCGTGGGCGAGACGAGCCTCGGGTCGCACCTGGACGTGCAGGGCGAGACCACGCTGCACCAATATCTCTACGTGGACGACGACGCCCAGGTGACTGGCACGCTGTTCGTCGACTTCGATCTGTCGGTGCAGCGCTACCTCAGTGTGTCCGACGACGCCGCCTTCGGCGCCAACGTCCAGGTCGACGGCACTCTCCACGTCAGCGGCATGACATCGCTGCGCGACAGGTTGGTCGTGCTCGGCGAGACCACGCTTAATGACGCTCTGGTCGTCGTGGCCGACGCGTCGATTAGCGGCCTCCTGACTGTGGGCGGCAACTTGGAGACGAACGGCGACCTCGTGGTCGAGAACACGGCCAACCTCGGCAGCCTCGCCGTTGTTGGCGCTACTGAACTTAACGCCGACCTCACCGTTGCTGGCGCCACAGACCTCACTGGCCCGCTCAGCGTTGCGTCTACCCTGTCCGTCGCCCGCGATGCCACTCTCAGCGGTGATGTCGGCATCACACAGGACCTCAGCGTTGGTGGGACTTTGTCAGTAACCCTCCTCTCGCGGTTCCTCAACGCTCTCTCGGTCGCCGGAACGGCTACTCTCGAGTCCGACACCTACTCGGAGCGCATGCACGTGATCGACACGCTCAGCGTCGGTGGTACCGTCTTCGTCGCTGGAGCCTTCTCCGTAGACGACACTGTGACCGTTAGCGCCGGCGTCAGCATCGGCAACACCCTGTCCGTTCACCACACCGTCCACCTCGAGAACGTCCTCAGCGTCGCCGGCAACGCCAGATTTGCCTCCGACCTCGCGGTGACCGGCAGCGCTCACGTCATCACTGACCTGTCGGTCGACGGCCAGACCACCGTTGGCGGCAAACTTACTGTCGACGGCCTGACCAGGCTCCTCGGCGAGTTGTCCGTAACCGACAACGCCTTCTTCCTCGCCAGCACCGAGATCTTCGGAGACCTCGACGTGGGCCAGGAGTCCCGCTTCACTGGCGATGTCCGTCTCTTCGCAGACCTCACCGTTGACGGGGTCTCGACTCTCGATGTGACCACTGTCACCAGCTTGACTGCCAGCGACGACGTCATCCTCCAGAGCACGCTCAGTGTGTCTGGAACGTCCGAGTTCTCCAGCGACGTCGAAGTCAACGCCGATCTCACCGTCGGCCTCACCGTCCTCAAGAGGGCTGTCGGTTCCGGCGGCGGTAACCTGATCGTGCTCAACGACGCCTTCATCGGCGCCGAGATGACCGTGGCCGGCGATGCCTTCATCAACGGCCAAACCACCCTGGTCGGCGTCGTCGAGATGCAGAACGGCCTTGTCGTGACCGGCACTTCCACGCTCGCCGGCCTCCTCGTCTCGGGCACTACCAGCCTCAGCACGCTCGAGGTCATCAGCCTTGCCACCTTCCAGGACGTATTGGTGCAGGGCACCACCAGCCTTACCGGCCCAGTCGTCATCACCACTAAGCCCACCATTAGCAATGACCTCTTCATCAGCGGCGACGCCACGGTTGGCGGTTCGGTCTCCATTACCTCCGTCCTCTACACGGGCAGCGTCGTCACGACCGGCGACCTCACTGTCGGCTCCGACCTGATCGTCGTAACCGCCACGTCTCTCGGCACAACGCTCACCGTCAGCGGCAACACGAACCTCGGTAGCGATCTCTATGTCTCGTCCGACGTCATCATCGGTGCTGACCTCAGCACGTCCGGTTCCGCTACCGTCGAAAACAGCCTGAACGTCGTGGGCACCGCCAATGTCGGCATTGACCTGACCGTCTCTGGAACCACCTACCTCGCTGCCACCCGCATCAATGGCTACACCGAGATCTTGTCCGACCTCAGCGTCGATGCTGACATCATCGCCGACAACGATCTGTTCGTCACCCGCGATATTGGCGTCATCGGCGCGTCCAACTTGTACGGCATTGTCAACATCGCCGCCGAGCTGACCGTCGCGACCAAGATCTACACCGGCGACCTCCAGATCGACACCTCGCTCAACCTTGATGGCCCTGCCCAACTCAACGCCGGCCTGGGTGTCACCGGAACTCTTAGTGTCACCAGCGTGGCTAGCATCGGTGGTGAGCTCACCGTGGGCGGCCACGTGAGCCTCGGCTCGACGGTTTACATCGACCAGGAGCTCACCGTGGCTGGCCAGATGATCCTCCTCGACGTACTCTCGTTGGCCCAGGACCTCACCGTCAACGCCGACGTCAGCGTCACGGGCGAGCTCGTCCTCGACGGCCGCCTCGAGCTGACCAAGAAGCCTCTGTCGTTCCCCTACCCCGGCCTCAACGCAGGCCTCCCTGTCAACCTGCTCGACGCGGTCGCTGCCGACTCGGCCTCTCCTCTGGCCTACTACCTCTACGCGTTCGCCATTGCCGGCCAGGATCTCTCAGCGACCAGCGACTACTACGAACTCGCCCTGCCCGGTGGTGCCTTCTACCAGCTCGAGCCGGTCGATCTTGATCTCCCCATGGTGCACCGCATCAGCACCACCAACTACCAGGTGGGTGACATCATCATGCTCAAGGGCTCCAGCGAGGACAAGATCATCGCCTTCTGGGACTTCGAGGACATGGTCAACGTCATCGCGTCCGGCCTCGTGGGCAACCTGTACAACGGTAGGGACATGTCGACGGCCTCGGTCAACTTCTACACCGAGTACCTCTACTCGGATGACGTCTTCATCTACATGTACTCGCCTCGCACTCGCGTCGGTGTGGCCGGCTCTACGGTCCAGACTCAGTCGATCGACTGGGTGCTGCTCAACTAAGCCACACGTCGAGTCGGCGACCTCCTCCATTCTCCCCATTACTTATGTTGATATATCTCCTCCTTGACGCGCTTCTCGCGTCTTATTCACTCTCATCTCTTGTCCAAAGTTAAAAAAGTAAGCCCAAAATAAAATCACAATTATAATATTGCTTTGCCTTCCTGCGCGAGTTTCTCCGAGAAATTGTTGAAAAATTGTTCCCTGCACTCGAATCCTTTGGAAGATAACGCTTCCTGCAAGCGGGTGGTGTTTCTCGAGCGACGGCTGGCTGGTGTTGGTCACCGATTTTATTGTGGTGCAAGGCAAAATTGGTGACGGGCAGAGCCGTCAGTAGGTGTAGTTGTTTTTGAAGGCCTCCTCTTTCTTCTGGTCGATTTGCTGCCAGTCCCACGTCCCATCGCCATGCAGCTGCAAGAGGTAGTCGTGAAACCGCCATAACACTCGCCGCCGGTGGCTCACCGTGATGCAGGAGATGCCCCTGACACCCAAACACCCACGTGAGCCACGCTCTCATATTCCCTGTTCTGTTAGAAAGACGTCACCAACCACGAACCTTTGTTTCATTTCGTGATAAATAAAAGACTCGACCTCGGACGAGACGGCCGACGTGCACTCGTCCATCACGGCCAAACGTGGATTGTGGTACAGCAGCCTGTTGGGGTTGTACACGCCAAAGAGAGGGCAGCTTCCCCGGTGAGGGACCGAAACGGTTTGCGCACCTCACGCCACAAGCGTGAGTAAGACGCACCGGGCAAGTACAAGGCGTTGCTTCTCTCCGCCGGAGAGGGCCTCATTCCAATCAGAGACTTTGTCCCACCCCTCGCGCTGTACGAGGTAGTAGAGGTTGAGGCTGTGCATGATGTTCTCGAGCTGCTCTGTCGAGGTACCTGTACCCCGCACCATCACCGACGGGTCAACACAGCCGCTGGTTGTGGCTATTTGGGGGGTGGGGGGACACGTCGCGTGCGGGAGAAGAGGGGAGTCTGTCGTACCCTTGGCCTCAAAGTCGAGCGGTGAGTGAGGGTAGATGACCTGGTCACGGAGCGATCCGTAGGACAGGTAGGGCTGCTGGGGGATGTACAGGATCTCCTCGGCAGGCAGTCGCGTGATGCGGCCTCGCTCCAGCGGCCACAGGCCACAAAGCACCCGGAACAGGCTGCTCTTGCCCGACCCTACACAGAGACATGTCTGAGCAGAGTGTGTGCGCGCTGCTGGTTCAGATGAATTGCGCGCATGCGGTACCATTGGGCCCGTAGATGAGGAGGTTCTTGCCGTAGGGAAGGTCGAACGTGAGCCCCTCCACCAGCACGAGGCCGTCGGGGGTCACGATCGACACGTCCTCCAGCTTGGTGTGGTCGCTTTCTTCGTACTCTCCGCGGAGCGCGGTGGAGCCCTCGTCTTCTTCTTCTCCTCCTCCTCCTCTTCCGCCGCCTTCTATCAGCCGCGGGATTGTGGGCTTGCGAGGGGCTGCCGCCCCCTTGTCTTGTAAGGTCTCCAGTAGCGCCAGCAGATCCCACACCCGACCCGTGTAGCCGGCGAGGAGGTTGATCTCCTTGTGCAGCATCACCAATCGCCCGATTGCTCTGCGCGCGAACATCCAACGCGATTGAGCGGGTGTGCGCGCGCGGCGACGCGTCTGCACGGAGAAGGAGCCCGCTGCACACGTACCGCGCCAAATTGATGAGGATCTGCGTGTTGCGCACGTAGTCGCCCGTCACCGACGCCGCTATCTCCGATTGAAGTGAATCGACCTCTCGGAACGGCAGCTCGCCCATCTGCGACCAGCCTGTGGAGACGACACACGCGACACAACAGGTCAGTTGTAGGTCACACACGCGCGCGCGCGTGCATAACAGAGTTGGGTGGTCATCTCCAAGCTTGGAGTACCCGAAAGTCGCGTGTTGTAGGTCCCACCGAACACGGGGAACGCGACGACAGAATAGCCCACCATCGTTGCACCATACTTAACCAACAGCTCGTCCACGACTTTGCGAAGGAAGACGAACCGCACGCGCGGGTGGGGGGGGAGAGAGTTAGCTTCTCGGCACTCGGGCGGGTTGGTGGGTAGTGTGAACGCAAACGCACTGGACACAACGGCCTGCTTCCTGAAAATGTTGCCGGCGTGGGCGTAGACGCGGTCGAACGCGGCGTTGATGATCTGCCGCTCTCGCGACGAGCCGCGGAGGAAGGCCACCTCTTCACTGTTTCCAATGAGCCGCGAGTGCCGGAGCCGAAAGTCGCCTTCGAGCCGCTGTTGATGCGCCGTAAGCTGCGGACGAGAGCGCCAGGGGCGTCGTGTCGTGTCGTGTCGTGTCGTGTCGTGTCGTGTCGTGTCGTGTCGTGTCGTGTCGTGTCGTGTCGTGTCGTGTGAGCGGCCTCTAGACTAAGAAACTATGCGGGGAAAGCCTGAGGCCTACCTTGGGAAATGGTGGCATGATCCAGCGCAGGAAGAGGCCGCTTATAATGTAGTAGATGTACATGAGGAGAGGACCGCGATACCCTATCACAGCGCTCAACTGTACCGCCGGTGTGTGCGTGTGTTGTGTTGTGCGCGCGTGTCATTGAAAAATGAAGAGGTCAGGAACAAAGATAGACCGCGTCCGGACGGTCTCGTGTGCGGGGAGAGCGAGGCGAGGAGATTCGAGACGTGCCTTGGAAGTAAAGAGAGCAAGGTCGGTGACAGGCTTGAACACGTTGCCGTAGAGGTTGGCCAAGTAGGACGAGAACCGCTCGATGTCTTGCGCCACCCGCTGGTCGCTGTGCATTTATCATTATTAGGAAAATGATATTATTAATTGATTGATTTAATTTACGAAAATCAATATACATTTATGCTACATATATTATTATATATTCATAATATTAATTTTTAATAATATAACAAAAAAACAATCAAAAGTGGACGAGGAGAGGTGGGAGAGTGGGGTGTACATGTTGTCGATGTTGCCACCGAAGTTGGCCTTGTAGAAGGCAAGGTCGGAGAGATACATCTTGTGCACGTGCCTACTTAATCGTCGGCGATAGAGGAGAGACAGCATCTGCGTGAAGTAGGCAACGCCGGAATTTACAATGACGGTCGGGATGGCCACGATTCCCAAAGCGATGACGCCGAAGATGAATCGGTCGAGCTTGCGCTGCACGAGGCACTTGGCGTTATAGCCCATGGCCTCGGCGATCTTGAGGCTCAGTAGAGTGCGGGCGAGGAGGAGGAGAGTGAGGAGAGACGTGACGAGGGATTCGTTCGAATGCAGAGAGGGATAGAGAATCTTGAGAAGCCGCCAGAGTCGTCGGAGGAAGGTGCTATCCACCATGGCGATGGAGGTGCGCGTGCCATCGGCAAGTCCCTTCCCTCGCTGCAGTGATTTCGATGATGATCGCTTGGCCTTCTCCCCAATCAGCACGGCTTTCCATTTCTTCCAGAGATAGATTGCGCTAATTGTAACCGCCGAGATTGCCGTAGCCTGCTCCTTTCGGCTCCAAAGGGTGCGAAGTGATTGAAAGAGAAGGGGTCCGACTACCGGGTAGGTCTTGAGCGAGAGGAATGGCGGGTAGCAGTGTCGGGCTCGCTGCCCCAATTTCTTCATAAGATTTGTGAGATTGGCCTTCTCCATTATCGTTTGAGGCTGCTGCCGCTGCGGCAGCTTGTGCCCAGATGTCTCGCTCCGGCAGATGCAGCTGTCAAATGGCGATTTGGGGCTTCAGCTACACCCCACACAACAACGTCAGGGAGACCCCAATTTCCCAAGTCTTGTTGAAGGAAAATGGGAAAAGAAAATCTCGATAAAAATAAAAATCAACATCATCAAGATGAACCGCAGCACCGCGTCCCTTGCTCGATGCGCGTTCTCGCCACGCGGGACGAGAAGCTCTGCGGTCCCGTTGTTGCGGACCGTGCAGCGGGGCCTGGCAACCGATGACCAGGGCCAGCCCCTTGGCGGTGGCATGTTCGATCACCTCCAGGAAATCGAGGTGGTGGGTAACTCTCTCAGCAAATCGGGCGGCATAGTGGAGGTCACCGCTCGTGGCGGAGGTAGCCCTCTCCCCTCGCGCATTTTGCAAACGCAACGTTATCTCTAACGACCATCAGCGTAGGCACAGAAGTGGTTAAAGCACAAATCGATCCTATCTTGGCGGGAGATGCGGCATTGCTGAGTAAGTTGCTCACCCAGGCTGCCCAAGACGCCTATGACCAGGTACACTTGCATGCTCCCCCGTTCTTCTACCACCCCAACTCACCACACCTACCGGTTTCATGCCGCCGGTGGATGGCCACCAGGTCCAGTACGAGGTGAAGCGGAAGCTGGTGGAGGTGTCGATGCGAGATCGGCGCAAGCAGCAAATGAAGGAGAGGGATCAGATGGCCATCGACCTTGAAGCCTTCAAAGAGAAATAGGTCACTCCCACGCACTCACGCCTCCTCAGCACTTCGCTTTCTTTCTTCCCTGTACACTCGCAAGGAGGAAGGCGGTCGTTGGTCGCCGCCTACTGCCCTCCTGGCTTGCGCTTGCTCATGAGGTTGTTGATCTTCTGCAGCTCCTGGTTGATCTTGGCTTCCTTGCTCTTCTTCGCATTCTTCTTAAGATCCTTCTTGCGGCCGTCGCCCATCTTGACGCCGAACTGGTACGCCGCCCTGAGATGTTGACCCACCACGTCAGCACCTCACTGCACCATCATCATCATCACGATCTGTGAAGAAGAGTACTTGGGCGTGGCCTCGAGGGTGTCGTTGAACTTGTTCCAGGCTGCATCGCTCTCAAAGTGCCACGGCTTGATGCGCTTGCGGGCTTTGGTGCCCATGTCCATCTTGGAGAGGTCGTCGTCATCGCTGTCGCCCTCCTCCACCACCGCCGTCGTAAACGAAGACTCGTAGGCCCTGCGCCAAGCACAGTGACAAGATGAGGGAAGCTTGTTTAACAACCAACAACAACAACAGGAAGAGGAAGAGGAGGAAGAAGAAAGAGAAGACGGTCTCATCAGGGTACATACCCTGGGTAACACTCGGTGTAGTTCTCGGACACGAAGCTGGGATCCAGCTCGCGCTTGTCGGTGGTCTTACGCTTGAGCACGCTGTCGTCACGCCTGAACACCGTGGCCATGCCCCGGTCCTTCTTCTCCTGCTCGGAAAGCGTCTTGGTCTTGACCATTGCCACGTCCGGCGCGGCCTTTTTGCCCGCCTCTCCTCCGGCGCCGTACTGCTCATCTGTGTTCGGATAGGCCCATGCCTCTTCTCCACCTGCAGCACGCAGGTGCGCACAAATGCGTCAGTACTGGGTCTGAGCAGAGCATGTGTGACACCCAAACACACACACACACGCACACACACGCACACACACACACACACACACACACACACAAGAGAGAGAGAGAGAGAACTCTGTGGAGCGCGAGGTACCCGCAGGGTAAGGCTCGGGGTAGGGCGCTTCGGGGTAGGGAGCAGCTTCGGGATAGCCCGGTCCGGGCATGGCCGGCATCTGCGGACCGGCGCAGGGCTCGGGGTAGGCCGGGTACGTCGCCGTGCTGGGAGGCAGCGTGGGGACGCCCTCGTCGTCCTCGAGCTCCATTTCCACCTCGTTGGTATCGTCGGTGCCGCCGGGGTGCGCCACGGGCGGGGGCTTGACAGCATCGGCGGCGGCGTCCTTGATCTTGAGCTTGGGCACGTAGACCTCCTCCTCTTCCTCCTCCCCGTCGTCCTTCACGTTGCCGAAGTAGTCCTTGCCCTTGGTCTGCTCGCGATACTTGAGCTCCCGCTCGTGCAGGCTGCTGGTCTGCTGCGGCTGCTGCTTGCCCATCAGCTCCCGGAGCAACGCCATCTCCTCTTCGTCTCCCTCGAACTCCTCCTTCTCCTGCGCCTTTTCCGTCTTAATCGTCTGCGCGTCGGCGGCGGCGGCGGCCGCCGCCTCTTGCTTCTTCGCCTCCATTTCGGCCAGCTTCTTGAGCCTCGTCTTTTCTATCTGCTCTGCCGTGGGCAAGCACACGTAGTCGCCCACGTCCGGGAAGATCCTATGGTGGTGGTGGTGGTGATGAGGGGACGGAACCAAACGATCAGGTCACGTCACGTCACGTCAGACCAGACACTCTGCCCCCTTCGACGCAACACCGCACGAGCACGTGTGGCGGGAGGAAACGTACGAGTCCTCCTCCAGAGCCTTGGGCTGCGCGTTCGTCTTGGCGACCGGCTTGAGGAATCCGAGCGACATGAGATCGGTGAGGTCGGGCGCGACGCCGGTTTTCTCGGCGGGCTTCTTCTCCTCGACTTCGACCGCCACGTCCATGGGCGCCGCTCTGTCGCGACCTTCGCCACCAGCGTCGTCGTGATCCCGGTCCTTCGGCTTCTTGGCCTTCTTGTCCTTCTTCCTTCTTTCCCTGGGGCGCAGGTAGCTCATGATCTTCGTAACTCGCTTGAGCACGTCCTCGTTAATGCTGCCCACCATGCGCTCCTGGATCTTGGGGCAGTCCTCCTTGCTGCGGAGCAGCGTGGTGGGCAGCTCGGCGCTCAGGTCCGTCATGTCGAAGACGAACGTCGTGCGCCCCTTCATGAAGCGGTCCACCGGACGAACCTTCCCGTTCTCCCTGCCCAGCTCCACCCTAATGTGTACCCGCGTACACCATGGTGAGTACTCTCTGCCGCCCCAGAGCACGAGTGGTACTACGTCCATTGGTGGGGCCAAAGGGTACAATACCGGTGCTTGATCATGAAATCGTTCTGCTCAAAGAGGAGATGGTGCACGCTCTGCGCCAGAGGCGTGCGGAACACGGGCTTGGCCGGTGCTGCTGCCTCCTTGGTCACCTCTTCTTGATCCTCCTCCTCACTGGATAGAAATATATATATAAATATATACATACGTCAGCTGTCAAGTCCGCACCACTCGTGAGCACATGAAAGTGAGTGCCACGGTTACGTGGGGGTGGGACACGAACGCTTCCATGCGCTTCTCCTTCTCCAGTTCGCTCCTGATCTTGTGCAGCAGCGAGTAGTCGAGGCCCTTCACCAAGTGGGTGTGCTCCATGTCTCCACCGAGGTATTTGCTCTCTTCGATCTCCTTCTTGCGCATCTCCTCCGAAGACACCCTGGGTCAATTCGGTCAACCGTGTTAAGAGAGGGCGGTGGTGCAAGAGAAAGAGTGTGGGGGAGGGGGGGGGAGGGCTCGCACCCTTCTGGGGGAGCCACGGACTGGAAGCCCGCAGGGCGAAGCTCGGCACCGGCCTCGTAGTCGGGGTTGGCACCGTCTCGTCGCTCCTTGGCGCGATCCCTGTACTTCTGCTCCTCGGCCTCCTTTTGCTTTCGCCTTGTGTGGGTACGGCGAAGTTGCAAAAGAAAGCAGTCAAGTTAGAAGGCCGCGGCAGCGCCAGCACCGCTAGCGTTGAGCCGCGCGTGCAGCATTGTGCACGGAAAGCGAAGGGTGATTGCATACATCTTGTGCCGGGCCTTGTTCTCTTTGGCCTTCCGCTCCTTTTCCTTCTGTTGTTCATGATCCTCCAAATCGCTGATGAAGTGTGCATGCAAGTGGGAAGGACGTAAGCATGGGCCCAGGGCCAAGTGTGCAGCACCCCCCCCCCAAACTCTAGCGAGCGAGAAAGGTACAGGCGGCCCGTCGGCTTGGCGGGGCGGCGGAAGCGCCCTCGGTCATCGCCATCTGTCGAGGCACGAGCAGGGGTGCTCAGCAAGCGCCTAAAATCGGAATTGGATTTCGGCCCTCTGCAAGCATGTGCCGCATCAGCATACTGCAAAACAAAGAGCGCAAGGGGGGAATCCTACGGGGTTGGAAAGTCGGCCATCGTGGTCACTTACAGCGTTCTATCTTGTTCCTCAAGAATGTTAGAAATCGTTTTTTTCCGTATCTTGTAGTCTTTTTCTGCCCTTCTTTCTTTTTGGCCCGGGCGGTGGAGGTGTTGTTGAAGAGGTTCATCGCAGACAAGCACAACTTCCAACGTCCTCCAGAGAAGCCACAGGAGATAAATAAAAGCCCTCGATTGTGCAGCCCTGCCCTCCTTCGCTTGCTTGCTTGCCTGCTTGCTTGTCGTGGCGTATTTGTGCTTACACGACCTTCTTCTGATGGAAGAAGTTCCTGTCGTGGAGACGAGAGCACAAGGAAGGATGACCACGTTGTCAGCGCTACAACACCAACAAGCCGGTCCACGATATGGTTGAGGTGGTGCTTGGCAAGGTACGTACTTGAGGTGTCGAACCTGCCAGAAGGCAGATCCGATGAGAAGAAGGGTCTGGCCAACGGACCACCACATCACACGGCTGTTGGTGGACTCGCTGGTGTCCCTGAACGCCATCTCGCGTCTCTGTGGTGGAGGCATCAATGCAGTGATGCGAGTGAGTGTGATGTGGCGCGTCCTGCAGTAAGAGAAGCACCGATCGCACCTTCTGGTAGAGCTGCTCGCCGATGATCTCGTGCACGGCATCGTTCAACTGACGCAGTTGAACTTCCATCGCTGTTCAAGGGAGAAGAGGCAAACGACAGTGGTTCAGAACCCGACAGCGACGGGAGGAAACAAAGTCGAGCCAGGCCATGGAAGGTTTGATGCGTACCGCTCAAGGACTCGAGGCGGGCCACTTCGGCATAGTCCGTAGCGCCTACTCCCGTCTCAATGTCCACTTGCAGCTCCTGATAGGCGAGGTGAGTGGGCGTGTGGTCGCTGAACTGCCGCAGGTGGAGGGGGGGGGCATACAAATTCAGCACCCTGTGAGAACCACTTGCCCGTGTTGGTTTGAAGGCAAATCTTGTGCTCTCCGCCAACTTGAGCGGTGAATGCGTAGCGGCCCTCATTGCCGAGCTCCCTTCGGGCGATGAATTCGTTGGAGGGGCCGTCGACGGTAACGATCCACCCCTTCTGCTCTCCGTCGCGCTGGTCATCTCCAGCGTACCTCTGCGAACTCGTGTACTTGACCAGGACCAGCGTATCTTTCGGCACGTCCTCGAGGAAGCATTTCTTGCCACCTTCTTGGACATCCATGTAGAGCGGTGATCCCATCGCGCCCAGCACCAGCACAGACAGCACCATGCCGAGGCACAGCTTAGCCATCATCGATCCAGTGACGAATTTCATCTCCTGATCTTATATGCGCTCTTACGTCCAACAACGATGAGCAAGCACTCGTGTGGGGCTACCGCACCACGTCAGCGTTGTGGCGAAATTTCGCCTATTCTTTTCTCTTGATTTCCTTTTCATTGCCTTGCCACTTTGTGATAGATCCAAAGAAGAGATGGCCCAGCTGAAGCAACTTTCGAGCGCCAAGTGCTGTGGAGGACTTGTTCAGCGCTTCCAGCACTACAGCGATGCGCTCTCATGCGAGATGAAGTTCTCTGTCTTCCTGCCCCCACAGGCGCAGGAGGGCCAGAAAGTGCCTGTACACAATACTCGCTGCCCCCCCTTTTCTCCAAAGCACGTCTTCGCTTCCGCGTTCCCCACTAAACGTCACCACGTTGGTAGGTTGTGTACTTTCTCTCAGGCCTCACCTGCACCGATGAGAACTTCATCACCAAGGCTGGCGCTCAGCGCGCTGCCGCCAAGCACGGCCTCGCTCTGATCTGCCCCGACACCAGCCCTCGTACGCCGTCCTCCTCTTCGCCGCTGTCTCTCGAGCCTCTGGCGCTCCACCACACACGTTTAGGACGAATCTCTAATCGACCTGTCTGTCTCTGCCAAGGTGGTGTGGAGATCGAGGGTGCCGACGCGTCGTGGGACTTTGGGTTCGGCGCGGGCTTCTACGTCAACGCCACGGAGCCCAAGTGGGCGAAGCACTTCCGTATGTACGACTACGTGACCAAGGAGCTTCCCCAGCTCGTCAACGCCAACCTTCCCGTCGACCCCTCTCGCGTCTCCGTCTTCGGCCACAGCATGGGGGTACGAATGACTTCGTCCGCTTGCCTCAACCTCGTTATGGAATAACCCTGTCGTGCTCACTACATCGTCGCGATCAGGGTCACGGAGCTCTCATTTGTGCGCTCAAGAACCCGGGCATGTACAAGGTAGGTTCTTGCCTTGCAAAGCCCCCCTCCCCAAACGCGTTTGGGGGTAGTAGTAGTTCTGACCTCGGCTCTTCTTCGTCGGGTCGCCAGTCTGTTTCCGCCTTTGCACCGATCTGCCATCCCGTGGACTGCCCCTGGGGTCTCAAGGCCTTCTCCGGCTACCTCGGAGAGAACAAGGACGCCTGGAAGGTTGGTGCACTCCCACACTTCGCTCACGCGCCTGAAGAAGCAAACTCCCAGCGTTTGCGCTGCCGTCCTGACCCCAGCTATTCTCCCCAGGAATACGATGCCACCCACTTGGTGCAGAGCTATTCCGGTCCTGCCCTTGATATTCTCATCGACCAGGTAAGTAGTACCCCTCCCTGTATACTGGGACTTGCGCAGAACCCGCCCTTACATGGTCGACTGAGCTCCGTCCGTCCGTTGTCCCCCCCCCCATAGGGCTCTGACGACAAGTTCCTGAAGGAGCAGCTGAAGCCTGAGGACTTCGAGGCTGCCGCCAAGGGCACCTCGCACAAGGTGCAGGTGCGCATGCAGGAGGGCTACGACCACAGGTACACTCGCTTCTTCGCTTTCCCTTGCTCGTTTCCTCACAACTCTTCCCCTCCCATCTACAGCTACTACTTCATCTCCACGTTCATTGAGGACCACCTCTCACACCACGCCGCGCACCTCAATTGACTCGCCAAGGCCAAGTACTGACCAGATGGCCGACACCTTGGCCTTGTCCCCCCCCCCTCAAATCCCCAACCACTCAAGGGTTTGTGATGACTCCGCAAGGCCCCCAGTGACGGGCAAGAGAAGGAAGTAATAAATAGTATGGCAAAAATTAATCGCGCCGCTTGGTGTGCGGGTGTATGCGTCCGGACTCACGCCCAGTCGCCTTGGCGCGCCCAAACGCACTGTCCGCCACCCACAACGCCGTGTGCAACTACTCGTGTCTCCGTCTCCTCATTTGTCTCCAGTCTATGCAATGTCCGTCTTGGCGGCACCTGCCACACGACAACGCCCACACATGAGCTTGCTACACGCAGGAGAGACACAGGGGCACGAAGCGCGCACCTTTGGGTTCGAAGGCCTTGGAGAGATCGAACATGTCTCTGTCGTTGTTCTGCGGCAGCTCTCGTAGGAAGGACGCGATGTGATCCACGTACTCGAAGTTGTAGGCGATTTGTTGATATTGTTGAATTTCCTGCAATAATACACTCAGTAAGCTGGAAACAGGTTTCGAGTGCCCGACCCACGCTAGATGACACAAGTGAAGTGAAAGGCAAGCGGTGGAGAGGGAGGAGACAGCATACCGCGATGATGTTGTACATGAGCTCCCACTTGCCGAAGTTGACAAGCCCGTTGATCTCGTCCGGGTTGGCGTCGTCGGAGAAGGTCAAGTCCGTCAAATAAACACCTCTGCACGTGGTTCGAATAACAGCAGTGATAAACGTTAGCTCCGAGGTGCTCTCCAACCACGTCACGCATGAATATATAAATTCAGAGGGGGGGGGGCTGGCGGTGTGTACAGGAAAGGGATACAGGGAGGGTCGACGCTGTGCAGGGCCGTCCGATAGTTCAGGAAGGACTGGTTGTTGGACATGAGCTGCTCCAGGGATTGGAAAGTCTGCCGTACCCATGTGGAAGGGGGACGTGCCGTCAGCAGTTGCTCCAGTGGGCTTTACGGGGGGGGGGAGCAAGAGACCAACTACGATAGGTCTCGCGTACCTTGATGGTTTGGGGCGACAGGCCCTCGCGTGTGTGCTTGAGCCGATAGATGGGAGCAGTGTTGAGACCAGCGATCAGAGCCATTAGCGAGTTGAAGTTGTTCATCTTTCGGAGGTGCTGTTGGTGTGTGTGTGTGTGTGTGTTTTGTAACGATCAGTCATCAGCCAACCGAAAGCCAGAAGCTGCGGATGGGGACGTACATCAGCGATGTTGATGAGTTTGGTGAGCACGCGGATGCGCTCTTTGAGTGTTGGCTGCCACAGGACGCATGAGGCGACCCACATGGAAATGGCGGTAGACCTTCCAATGAGCCTAAGCACGTTGGGCGACCGGTACTTCAGCTTCGGCTTGTTCCACGCCTGGTTCAACAACTCCACAGGCTACACCCGTGTGGCGGCAAATGGGTCATTAACATTAATTTGTCGCGTCCTTGTCAAGGCGCACCACTGGACAAAGGGCTTGAGGGTGAGTAGAGTACCTTGATGGTCGAATAGATGTCAAAGTCGACCAACGTGAGCTGTCGCGCTACTTGAATTTCGTCGAACACGGACAAGAGTCGAGCCGGGGACAGGGGAATCTGTGTACACCAGAACACGGGCGACAGGCGCTCGCAAGTTAGAAATAATATAAATGTTTTTGAAATGGAAAACTATTCAAACCGTTTTGAAAAATAACAAAATACAAAATAAAATCATGTGAACCCGCAGAGATGGGGGAGGGGGGCGAGACCTTGGGTTCGATCTTCATTTCGATGAGTCCCTGCTGGACGATTTCTTGTGTGTTGGGGTTGTGTCTCTGTTGTTTGACAAGAATAGGAAGAAGAAGAAGAAGAAGGCGAACGATGACGACGAAGAGGAGGTGAGTGTCACGATCTCGACAAGGCGACAGAGAGGCACACACCTTGCTAATGAGTTCGCTGATCTTTTCTCCGTATTTAGAGTATCCTTGGCTATTGCGGAGCTTGGTCTCCACAAAGTTCTCCAACATCGCAAGCTCCTCTGGAGAACATTCATCAATGTGCGCCTGTCCATCACCGTCGTGAGCAAAATACACACACACACCACACAGCCTCAAACAAAAAGGAGACCAACCTCGGACCAGAGTCGCAACACGTTGCAGACTCGCAGCTGAACGGGAAGTTCTTCGGCGGTGAGGTGGGCGGGCACGTCGAACCGCTGCAGGAGCTTGGTGATGATTTGCCCCGGCGTACAGAAGGAACGGTAGGTTGTGATGAACGTCTTCACCATGCGCATGTCTACGACAATCGACCACGAGCAGAACGAGCGAGTGAGCGAGCGAACGGAAGGTGGAGGGTGGTCGAGGACGTAGATGGCAGGCCGGCGTACCGGGAGCGGCAGGCGAGGTGAGCTTTTCAATGAGCTTGTTCAGCGAGGCGGCGCGAAGTCGCCCCTGCTCGTTGAGGATGATATTGGCCGGACTGTCCGCAGGCTCTTTCCAAATATTGACGTTGGCCTCCCCATTATCCTCTAATTGTGTATCGTGTGTGTCGTGTGTGTGCGTGTCGTGAGTGAACACATCAGATCCAGCAAATCGAAAGAGACGAGTGGGTACTGTTGTTTTCAGCCTCCTCGCGTGCGGGAGACTCGGGTGGAGGCGGGAGGGACACCTCGTCCATAACCTTGCGGGCAAAGGCGATGTTCTCGTCGGCGACGACAGGGGACTTGGAACCGAGGTTGGCGAGTCCCACGCACGAGAGGAGGTCGGTGGTGGCGACGAGCTGGAGGATGGCCGCGCGCAGCTTCTCAAAGACGGGCGAGGACTTGGCGGCGCGCTCCTTCTCGGAGAAGATGCTCTTGGTCTCTTCGATGTAGTTGGCGAGGGCCTCCTTGAGCGCCGCCACGGAGTCGGTGAAGAGTTGTCGGAAGTTCTCGTAGGCAAGTATGAGATCGTCGTTGGCCGCCTCCAACACCGCAGCCGACAGTTGGCTCACCGTTACCGCCGTCACCTTGGCCGCATTCACGATTTCCTCGCCTTCGCCCGACTCGCGCAGCCACAGCAGTTTTGTCGATGCCGCCACAGCCGCTCGTACCGCTCCTGTGATAGTGATCGCAAGTGAGTGAGTGAGTGTGTGTCGTGTGTGGCATGCCGAGAAGGGAAAACCCATCACGTGACGGAATGACGCACCGAGGATTTCCTGCTTACGTGCAGCGGAAACAAAATTGTCGCCGACGATGGTGGCCTGAGCGGTGACGAGCTGCATGGTGGACTGCTTGACGGTGGTGACGGCGGCCTGCAACTTTTTCTCGGCCTCGGGCAGGTGCGCGATGAGTTGCGGCGGCGGAATGCCGTCCTTGATGCTGTCGATGGCGAGGGTGAGGGCATCGCGCACGGTGCGCGTGGCCTGCAGCACCTGCTTGAAGAGGTCGCGGCCCGCGAGCTCGATGGTGACGGCCTTGCAGCAGTTAACGAGGAACGACGTCGAGCTGGCCACGGCGGCCGCCATGTTGAGGAGCTCCACCAGCGACGCCGGCGACTGATCGCGGGCGGTCTCGCGGAGGCGCTCCAGGAAGTCCTCGTTGGCCTTGTTGAGATTCTCCTGCGCCAGCACCAGCTGATTGTTGAGCGTGTAGGCCCGCGCCGAGGCCTCGTCCTTCTTAGGCCGGGCCTCGACCGTGCGCGAGGCGGACTTGGAGATGACGATGAGCTGCTTGTTGGCGCCCGCCAGCTTCTTGAAGACGGGGATGACCTTGAGCAGGAACGGGTCCGACGAGTCGGCCAGCATTTCCGAGATAGAGTCCTCTCGCGCGAGCTTGGCCGCGCTGCTGTAGAGCGGCGTCCGGACGGAGGGGCTCGTCGAGAGCGAAGCGTTGATGAGCGCCTCGCTCAGCCCCAGCACCACGGGCGACGACGCCGAGATGTGAGAGACGGGGACAGAGAGCGAAGATGTAGAAGCGGAAGAAGGGGAAAGGGGAGAGGGGCTGCTAGAGGGGGACGATCGATTCCTGGCGTCTTTCTCCTTGTCCTTGGCGGGTTGGCGCTGTAGGCCGAGCGAGAAGCGCTTTTGTTGCGATTGGGATGGATTGTTCGGAATGAGAAATTTGTTTACGAGTGACCGCTCACCCATGATGGCGGGGCTAGAAGGAGGAGATTCAAGAGAGGGCGGTGAAGAGATGGGGCTGCTGCCCTCGTCAGCTGCAACGGGAGGCGAAGCCGGCGTTGGAGGAACAGCGGAGGAAATCGTGGGGGCGGATGTGGCAAGTGAAGGAATGGGAGCGGGAGAAGAAGAATTGGCAGAGGGGGGCGGATGCTGAGGCGAAGCCGGGATGGGAGGCAATGCCGTCGTGCCCTTGCGTGGAGGGCGAGGGGGTTTGTGGAATTTGATAGTGGACCCGTTTCCTGCTGCGAAAAACAAAAAAACAAACAAAAAAACATCAATAAAATAGAACCAAATCACAAGAGGCAAAAGATGGGGAGTTGTGGTGTAGATGGGGGGGGGTGCAGGAGATCACGTGGACGTGATTTCGAGGGTGCAAGGGGCGGTGCAGCTTACCCGTGGCGGGTTGCGAGCTCATCTTCGGTCTTGTTCGTTCTTTCGGCGAATCTGTGATCAAACGAACAAGGATGCAGGGGACGGAAAGAGTCAAGTCCTCGAGCACCCCAACGCGCCCTGTCGGCCAGCACGAACAAGGGGGCAGTTGGTGCAAGGTCTCGGGTGCTGTTTATTGCCAATAATTGTCGGCATAATTAATTTGCGCGTTTACGTAATACCGCGGTCAAGCCGTCCAAAGCCACGCACGCTCAGAGGAGGAGGGTGGCGTCGGTGTGCTCGCGCAGGGCCTTGTAGCGAGCCTTGACCTGTTCGGCAAGATCCCGCAGCCGGTCGTTCGCTTCCGCCACCGACTCGTGGCACCTGTACGCGCCACCTTTGTGAGCACAAAGGTGTGCGGCGGGCAAGCAGCTGGTGGACCAACGAACCCGGAACTGCCCGGCAGTTGAGCGTCGCGTAGTCGCTGAAGGTCGCGCACAGCGCGCTGCAGGTCGCCTTCCACCTGGGTCTGCAGCGTCTGGTACAGCATCTGGGCCTTCTTGAGGGCTATGTCCCGGTAGGTCCTCGCCCAGACAGATGCCTGCAGCCGCTCCGGTGAGGCGTTGCTGCCTTGTGGTCCGCGCGCCTGCGCGGCGAGCACACGGCCAAGCAGTCCGGCGCGCAGGAGCGGCGCCAGCCACGAGGCACAGTAGATCGTCACCACGTAGGCCGGCAGCGAGGAGGCTTCGTTAATGGCAACTGTTCCGATAGACGCGCGACGGCGTGAGTAGCGCACACGCGCTTGAGTGAATCAGAGAGAGAGAGAGATACCTTTGCGAAGTGACAGGGTGGCTTGCTTGGCACGAATCGACACGGCGTCGCCCTGGAAGGTAACCAGCGAAGCCCTTGTGCGGGACGAGACTAGAAACGATGTCAGCTCGCGCACATTCACTGGCCACCGGGTGTAGCATGGATGGTACCTCGCTTGCCCTCATTTCCTTCGTTGCCTTCGCCTTGCTGGCCGAAGCCGAAGAGGACAGACAGGAGGTCAAGCAGGGCCGTGTCCTGCGTGCTCGATGGATCTGCCGAGGGTCGAGGCGGAGGCTGGAGGGTGATCGAAAACGATGTCCTCTGAGCGTTGGTCGAGAGCTGTGCCTCCTCGCCCATCTGCGCCGTCCGCGTCGGACCACAAAGGTCACACATACGTGTGAGCAAGCCTGGCTTCGCAGCCGTTCATCTAAGAAGGAGGGAGACAACCGTGGCTTTTGCGCGGCTGTGCTTCGACTTGGCACCGAAGGACGGAGGACAGAACAGGTGGAATATATCGAACCCGCGACTGCATAGAGACAGGCAGACACCTTGACCTAGAGACGAGTTCATGCCCACGCCAGACATTAGTTAACTGAAGGCATCGGCACCACCTTTCGTGCTGCTATCTGGCGTCAGCCGTACCCAATGGCGCACCGCTCGAGGGGCGTGGGGGAGTAAATCGCGCGCAGAGGAGGCCGTCGACATGTATGGGCGCGAATGAGGCGATAGTGATAGGCACGCGCACCGACCATGCCCCTCCCTGTATGCGCGTTGCGCAAGAGCTCGCAAGAGTGAGTGCAGACACCAGCATACCCACGACCGAAATGAGCCAAGCTTGAATGCACTACCTTGTGGAGTTGGTCGATTGGAAATGTGTGCGAGCACGTCTCGGTGTCGCCTCCCGCGTTGCGACTTCGCACAGTGAGCACGACTAACAAACGAACACAACCGGGCGGTGGTAGTGAGTCATGACTGTTCAGTCGGAACATGGTTGGTTGGTACGTACAACTCCAGTGAGAAGGGAAAAGATCGAAGCGAGTCCGGTTCGCCAATGTTATCTTCATCTACGATTGCGGCCAAGCGAGTCAGTGTGCGGGTGAATGGGCTGTCTATAAAGAAAATGGTAGCGGTGGTACGTACCATCACAGCATGAGGGCTCGGGGCGGAGCTCAGTGTGTAGGGCTCCACGCTCAGCTTGACGTCGCATCCGATTCCGAGGGCTGGCTAATGCAGTGAGCGATTTCCAATTGTATTGCGGAGGGGATCACCCAGCACGGAACCAGCGTACCACCATCCGGCGCATAGGGAATGCGGCTGCGGTATGCCGGGTCTTCTTTCTTCTTCGCGAACGTGTGTTCGGACACGAGGTGGATAGAGTTGTTGATCGCTTCGATTTCGCGATTGATCTCGGCTTCTTCTTGGTCGAATGCTTGCTGTTGTGTAGACAGCACGTCGATGTCCTGCACATTGCACAGAGCAATGTGAGCGCGCCATAGGAAGGAGTGAGAACGGGCGAAAACGCTAAGCTGGGCACCTCCAAGAGCTGCTTGACACGCTGGCTACCGCGCTTGAACTCGAAGGAGACCATTTCTTGCATTTGGGCATCCAACTCACTGCGTACGCCGCAGTCTACGTTAAGGCCACGGTTTCCCATGGGTGTGGCACGCGTACCGTAGGCCGGGCATGTCAAAGTGAAGCAGCTTGCCCGCGAGACTGAGCGCAGTCACTCGGTACTGCGACCAGAGACGCACAAGATACCTCCAAGGAGTTAGACTCGACTCGACTCAACAAAAAGTTCGATTGGGCAAGGAGAGCCTAGCATACCCGAGGCGGAGTCCTGCGGCCCGGTTTCCGCGACGGAATGGGGAGCAGGGTCGGGGTAGGCGCCTGGTCTGGGACGCACACCACGTCCATGCAACCGATGGTGCCCTCGATCGGAAAGGCATGGGGGAAGAAGCTAAAGGGCATCTTTCGCCGCGGCACAGCGACGACTGTACAGCCACACCACCGCCGAGATCGCCGTTAGCTCGAGCAAACGTCGTTTTGCTGACGTCGCGCTGCGTGAAAGGCTGAGCGTACGCGCGTCCTCTTGTTCGGAGTTGGCATCTAATTCATCGAGCTCGCTGTTGTGTTCGAATGTGGTTTCGCCTTCGTTCCGCTCGAGGAGTGAGGAGGCGTAGAGCTTGCGCGACGAGGCGAACAGGAGGTACTTGTCGGTCACACGCGACTGGGTGATGGGCATCGACACGTGGAACTCGCGGGACTCCAACTCGGCGCTGTCGTTGGCCAGACACACCAGCACCTGCCCTCCTCGCCTGGGCACAGCGTGTAATGGCCATTTACGCCGTGGTGTGTGATCAGCAATGGGCAATACCCGAGTTCAACACCATACTACGGCCGTCGGTACCCCGTCACCAGGAACATATCCGAACCAGACACGGCTATGTTTTCAACCGATTCCTGATGAAGATCGTCATGATGAATATTAATCAGTCGGTGCGCGAATGGTGGCGAGGCGTAGTGAAATGTGACCGGGCAAGTACCTTCATCTCGAACAACAGACGTGGCCGCGATAGCGAGGGCGTGGACACCAGAAGGGGCACAAAGCGGACACTTCCGTCCTCGTCGCCGTGTACCACTAGAGGCTGGTTGAGCGCCGTGGCCTCCTGTCCAAAGAGAGCCGTACAGAGCGTTCTACACTCGCAAGCACGCCGACGATTATTATTAATATGTGTGGAAGAGTCAGCCAGGCACGCAAGAGCCAGTCTGACTGGAGGTATTGGAACCTGCACAGTCGTAGTACGTTAGAGCTCTGTTCACCGCTGGTTGTTCATCCTCGCTAGAGCTCGAATAGGGCACTGTCGAATGGGTCGAGTAGTGTTGAACTCGAAAACCAGTTCGGCGCACAGCTTGAGCGAGCGGCGTACCCACGATGGCCACCGACGTAGTCTTCTTGCCTCGGAGCCGCGGAAAGGCGCACACTCGCCGCCCCCACTCCTCTGCCTCCTCCGCTCCGGCGTTGCCTCCATCACCGTGCTCCCTTCTCGTCGTGCCAGCGCTGTACAATGCCACCCCGACGACGGGACTGCTGACCAACACTCCGTAGGGAGTGTCCGTCACATAGTCTGTTCTGGGCTGCAGCCATGGACGAAGACAGTGTGTGTCGTGTGTTGTGTCGTGTGTTGTGTCGTGTGTGTCGTGCGTAAGGCAGACGACACGGAGAGTGCAGGTGTGTGGGCCACGTACCAACGTAACGAGCAGAAAGGGAGCGTGCGTGGCGCGGTCCAGGCACAGGGGGAGGTGTGGCGACGTGCGGCTCGCGAAGAAGGCCTCGGGACTGCGGTCCCTCAGCGCAGCCGGCCGGCCCTTCTTTCTCTGTGGTGCCCCCTCCTCCGAACCGGCGCCCGTCCTCGCCTTCTTCCGTGGTGGGGCCTCTCCCCTTTCCTCCTCTTCTGCCTCCGCTTTGCCCTTCTTCCCTTTACGGCCTGTTGACTTCCCGCCGCCCGCATCGCGGCCCGCGGGCGTCGTCGGGTTTACTCTGCAGCACGAAACCACTCATTAGCATCGTCTTGGTGGGGGTCGTGGTGGTGGGGCAGGAAGACCTGGCGCTGTGCGTTGGGAGGACGAAGTAGCGGCGGCGCGGCACGGGCAGCACCCACACGTGTCCGCCTGCGGTGGCCACCGCCAGCGTCTCGCCGCCCCCGCTTGGGCTTATGCACACCACCTCGGACCCGAAGCGCCATACGTCCTGCCAACAACGCAGCCCGCCCACATGAGCAGCGCCAATGGGTGAGCAGAGAGGGAGGAGGGTGTACAAGGAGTTGCCCGTCGTGGCGGAAGAAGTGGAGCGAGGCCGGGGCGAGCCGAGCTGCGGTCACCGGGGGCTGCCCTGGGCCGTCGGTGGCAGAAGGCGCGCGGCAGCAGTGGCACATGAGTGGTGGGCGACGACCCACCACCCTCCCACCTGCGCCACACCACCGTCTCGCCCCAGTGGCCGCCCTCCTTTGTCCATCAAATCGTTAAATCGATTTATATTTACGACGTTTATGCGGTGCATGTTTTTTTTTGAAAATACTTCCAAGAAAAGAAAGAGAAACCTGGACCTTTACCTGATTGAAATGCAGCTAATCGGGAACGCCGGCACCCTCTGTCGAGGATATGATGTGCTCATGATCGATATAATCGAACCACTCGTAACAAGTTATAAGACCAGTGGCAACAATGTTTCTTGAAGAAGGGGAAGTGGATGAGCTTGAGCGAGCGAGCTTTTACTTCACCCACAGCCATGGCCAGGGCACCTCGTGGACAGCCGTTCATCTCAAGGAGGAAGCACTGCGGGCCACCTGCGACACGAGCGAGCCCCAGGAGGTGCCGACGACCGTAGTGACCCTGCTCGTGCCTCCCCCCTTCTACGCGCCCCTCCAGCACATTCGCACCCAGCTCAACGACAACATACGCTGCGGCCCTCACATCACCCTGTACACCTTCTTCTCCTTCCATCTTTGTTTGGCGTTGTGCTCACACCGCGCGGGACTTGCACAAATGTGGTCACAGCGTGGATCCATTCATATCGGTGGAGGGCTTCGAGGCGGCCGCCCGCCGGCTCCGAGCTCGCTTGGCCCAGGTGGAGCCCTTCCGGATCAGTCTGGAACCGTTCGGCTACTTCAAACACAAGAACGCGTGCACCCTGTGGCTACGGCCCGTAGATGAGGTATGGCACCTAATGCACACGCACGCACAAACCACGCACGCCACGCCATCTGATCATCCAGATCACGAACTAGCCGGCAGGTTCGTTGAATCGAATGCAGGAGCGCATCCTCAGCGCGCACCCGCGGTATGACCGTGTCAACCACCTCAACGGCGGCGGCTTTCAGCCCCACATGTCCGTCGCCAAGTTCGCCGACAAGGTGCGCTCGTCGCGCCCTCCCGTACGGCAGGACTGTCGACTGACCAACGAGTTACTGCTTTGCTTCTTGCGCCATGGTCCCCGTGAGCAGATTACGATGTTCAAGTGGATGGAGGAGAACATGCATCGGTTCGAGGGTATCGAGTTCAAGGTGCGGGAGGTGTACATCATGAGCCGGGTGGGTCCCGACCCGTCCAAGTACGAAGTGCGGCACACCATCCCCCTCGGACAGCCCACGCAACAGTTGCCGCCCTACTTCCCCGAGATCCCTCTCCCCGACTCGTATACCTCCGCCCTCTCTTCTCTTCTCTTCTGTTTCTTTATTCATTTGCTCACCAACCACTTGCCGTGGTGCTGTTGCGCACGCAGGGTGTGGCTCAACCAGGCGCGGTTGAAGTCGGTCCCGAAGGAGTGGACGGAGGCGACGATAGGCGAGGCCCTGCGCGGGCGAGGCTTCACGGTGCTCCGGGTACAGGTGGACCCGTCGCGGACGGAGGCGACGATCGAGTTCGGGAGCCGAGCCGAGAAGCAGCGGGCCATCACCCTCGCCGCCCACGACCAGGGACTGTTCGCCCACCCCACCCGAAGACTCACATTGACGAGCGTCTTCTGAAACGTTCGACAAAACAAAACAAGAACACTTGTGGTCACTTGTACCGGTGGTCTCCGGAAGCCGCGTCAAAACTTCTGTACAACAACCAGCGAAGTTGAGCTTGCGGGAGGTTCTTGTCGTGGTGGCCCGGTGGTGACATGGTGACATCATCATCACTCGGCGCGCCACACGGCGAGGAACTGGTCGTCGACGGTCCACAGCGTGCGCACCCCGACGTAGAACTCCGGCCCGCTGCACATGCCCTTGACGCTGTCGTTCCACTTGGTCTTCCGCTTCTTGCTCTTGTCCGTCGTACCGTAGTAGGCGTCCATGTCCGGACCCGAGGAAAGGTAACTCACGTCCTGCACCATAAGAGCTAGTGAGCGCCAAGCGCGGTGTGTGCGGTGTTTTCTGGTGGCGTGTGCGGTGGTGCTACGTACTCGAGCGGACCAGAGCACCATCCGTTGAGCGGAGCCGTAGGTGAAGACGGTGCTGCCCAGCTCGACGAGGCCGTCAGCAGGGAATGCGAGCCCTCCGCTCATCTTGGCCGAAACGCCGGTCATGCGGCCCTCTTCGGTGCACTGGACCACCCAGATGCTGTCCTTGGTCGTCACCCACACCCGCTTGAGCGGCGGCGACCCGGGCGCGGCCTCCTCTTCGTCGAAGCTCGAGCGGCAGAGCGCCGCCACGGGCTTGTCCGTCGGCAGGAACGAAGCCGGCAGCAGCTGCACCTCCTTGCCCTTTCCGCTTGGCTGTTTGCCGCCATGTCGTGCGTGTCGTGTAAGTCGGTGTGTGTCGTGTGTATCGTGTGTATCGTGTGTGTCGAAGAGAGAAGGGGTTCTACGTACAGCGATGAAAAAAGTGCGGATGCCCTTGGTGGTGCCCACCCAGAGATGGGAGCTGCCGATGGGAAGCATGCAGTTGATCCTCTCGCGGTCCTCTTCGTCCTCCTTGTCGTCTTTGGTCTTCTTGGCCTTCGTCTTCTTCGATGGTCGAATTGAGTGCTCGCACACGACTGACATCTGCAGACGTAGTGCATACGCGACAACAAGGTGAGCTCGCTAAGTGAACGGACATGGCGCTCTACGAGGATGGGAGGGGGAAGCGTACGTCATCAGCATCGTAGCCTCGGAGGAGACCCGCGGTGAATCCGGCCCACACCACAGATTGCTCTGGCGTGTGCCCGAGGCACCGGATGACCTCGCGTCCCTTCTTCCCTTCAGGCAGCGACAGCTGCGAGTACGTCTGCATTTGGCGGATACGCAACGCACGAGCGCACACACGACACACACGAGCGCGTGGCGTTGATATAAGATAAAACGAAAACGAAGAAAAAGAGCGAAAGCGAAAGGCGCGCGTAAACCTTGAGATCGAACACGGCGGGTTCCTCGGCCTCGGCCATGGCCCACACGCGCTGGCCGACCTGGACGAGCTGACGCACGCTCTGCTTCTCGCGCTCGTCGCGCACCCGGAAGGTCTGCCGCTTCTTCCACTTCTCGCTCCGGGAGTCCTTGAGGTGCTTGAGGTCGATCGTGTAGACGGCGAGCTTGCCCCCGCGCTGGCCCACCCACACCTCGGCCTGCTCCAGCTGCTCGAGGTAGGACAGCCCCGGCTTGTTGATCACCACCAGCGACCGCTGGCCCTTCTTGTTCAGCTCCAGCGCTGCCACGATCCGCACCGCGTGGCCCGCCTCCGGCTTCTCCACGTGCAGGCACCGCATCTGGCCCTGCGTCCGCTCTGCCGCCGCCGTCGCCGCCGACGATGAAGACGACGACGACGAAGCGGGGTCGACATAGTGGAGGCAGTGCGCGAGCACACCATCGGGCAGGCGGGAGAAGTAGCTCGTCGGGTCGGCCTTGAGCCGCCGCACCTTCTCCGCCGCCGCGGCCGCCGCAGTTGGCGATGGCGATGGCGAGAGGGACGTCTGAGGGGAGGGAGCGGGGTACGGGCGGAGGAAGGTGTCGAGGGTCCAGGGCAGCTGTCCGACGGAGCCGAGGGCGCGCTCGCGGGCGCGCTGGGCGTCGAGCTCGCGGCGGCGGGCGCCCTTCTTCTTGAGCTCGTGCCACTCGCGCTTGGCCTCCTCCTCCCTGGCGGCCTGGCGCTGCTTCTCCTCGAGCAGGCGGAGCTCCTCGGCGTGGGCCTTGCGCTTGCGCTCGTCCTCTTCGGCGCGCCACTGCTCGTACTTGACCCGCTCTTCGTCGCGCCGGCGCTGCTCCTCCTCCTCCCACTTCTTCACGGCCTCGGCATCGATCCCGAGCTTGGCGCTCGCCCGCGCGATCTTGACGCCGTCCGTCTTGTTGGTCTTTTGGAGATGGGCCAAGATGACCAGCACGTAGTCGTTCTTCCGCGTCCCTCTCACCGCCAGGTTCTGCGTCTTGCAGTAGTTCTGCAAGATCTTGATCGGGTAGTCATTCAGCTTGGCAGGATCCAGCTCCATCTTTCTTCTCTCCTCGTCAACTGGTCTTCTTTTTACTACTTGTTATTCTTCTTTTAATCAAATCGGGATTTTCGCTCTGGCTTCGAGAAACGATCGTTGGGCGAGAGGGTATTGTTGATCATGCGCCGAGCACGACGTGTCGTGCAGCTGTTGATGCTCTGATCTGCCTCTGACAGCACGGTGAGCCCTTTGTTCTTTTGTCTCGGTTGTTGCAAGGCCCGCGCACAACCTTCCCGCCGCAGGTCCACCAAATAAAATTGAAATATATACATTACATTTTGTAATTAATGTGAAAATAACATTTCACATTAACAAATAATAACAAATGCTTGGTCCCTAATTGGCCCGCAAGAAGAAATAAATTAGCACCAACACCTGGCGGCAGATCGCAGACCCTCTCTCCTTCCGCTCTCGGCGAGCTCATTTCTGTCCCAAACACGCCGGGCACGGCTGCTGTTCACTCCCAGCCATAGGCGCGCAGCACCATGACGTCGGCCTCCGATCGGCTGCCTTCGTGGGCCTCTGCCGGTGACCCCTCGCCCTCGTCGGCCTCGGCGCGCTGTTGCTTCTGCTCCTCGTCCTCGGTGCGGAGATCGTTCTTCGTCTCGCGGTCATCCGTGATGGCGGCGATCTGCTTATTGAGCCAGGCGCAGGTCTCTCGGACGAGCGGCGCGTAGGGTCTGCCCCAGGCGGGGCCGAGGCCGATGATGGAGCCGTGGTCGGTGCCCGGGAAGGATCGATGCGCCACGGAGCCGTCACGAGCCGCCAGCTCCGCCCGCAGGCGCAGCGAGTCGTCCTCCAAGCCAAAGTCCATGGCGGCGTTGAAGAGCATGAAGGGCGGCGCGTTGCTTCGTGCGTGGTGCACGGGCGAGGCCTCCCGGAGGACGGCTTGGTCGTGTCCGAACGCATCGGCCAGGTACAGGTTTCGAAGCTAAATCAAGTGCCGACCAAGCCATGTGGTGGTTGTGCGAAGGTAAGCCAGAGCTGCACGAGGGGCGAAAGCTGGTGGCCCGGCGGAGAAGAGAGAACCATACCAAGAATCGGGTGTAACCCGTGACCAGATCGTACACGCCACAGATGCCGACAACGCCCTTGACCAACTCTGGCTCCAGGCCCACGTCTGCCATGTAGTGAGTGTCGAGGGCCAGCAAAGCGGCCAGGTGGCCTCCGGCAGAGTGCCCTACAGCGGCGAAAAACAGTGAGCACAGCTCTCCATCAGCACAGAGTGGCACGACGCGACAGTAACAGAAGAAGTGTATTGGCGAGGAAGAACCTACCACTGAGGAAGATCATATCTTCGTCTCCGTTGTAGCGACCGATGTTATCCTTCACCCACTGCACACGACACGAGTACACTCAGCTACCATGTTTCACATGATCGAATGGCGCCACAATCAGCAGAGGGCGGGAGGTGGCGGTACGCGAAGGGCGTGTGCGACATCATGAACGTGCTTGGGGTGCTGCACACCTCCGTCTACAGCAATCGAAAGCCGGTAGGAAGGCACCACAACGACAAACCCTTCCCTGGGGGTACATAGACACCAATAATTAGTAACAGAACAGCATTGGACAGGACAGCGGCTAAACAGAGGCGGCATACGCAGCAATGGCCTTGCCAAAGTTGTTGTAGGCGTCGAAGATGTAGTTGCGATCGCCTCGCTTCCAGCCACCACCGTGAATGAACACCACCACGGGCAGTTTCTTTGGTTTGGGCCGAAGCTCGTCCCCAGAAGGCTCCTCGGTCGGCGGCGACTGGTCCTCCTCTGTCGGCGACGTGGCCGGTGGCGCGGCTGGGGAGGCGTGGTAGTGCACGTTGAGTCGGTGCTTCCGATCAAAGAAGTCCTCCCCCGAGTAATAGGCCACGTCGTACTCGCTCACGATCACATCCGAGGTCGTGGCGAAGTAGCCTCGTGTTGACGCAATCAGCGCATTGCGCATCCTCACCGCGAAATCCATGTTGTCTCTTTACCTGCAGCTTGACTCTGGTGCCAGTTGCTGGATTGATGGACAAGCCGTGCGGCAGGCATCTGCTCAATCTTTCAGCGCAGCCCGTGACGTGGGCAGCCTAATACTCCAATTGCCCGAAGGAAATTGCCCGGAATTTACCACCAATAGGCACATTTTTAATAAAATGATTTTGGAAACAACTTTTCGTTTCGCATTTTACAATTAATTCCCTTCCGGCAGGTTCAGCCCCGTCGTTCGTGGGGCAAAGGAGGATTGCACATCTCGCTCCTCTTGTTGGTTAGATGGAATCCACTCCTTATGGTGAGCCACTGGGCCACCAGGGGACCCTTGACGAGGTGGGCGGTTTGTCGCCGGTTGGTGGAGAACCCAATCTCGAGGGCTGGCTTGTAAAGCGTGGTGCCAAGAGGAAGAACTGGAAAGTGCGGTGGTAAGATTGCCTTCTCTCACCTTGCGTACCCCCCCCCGCTCTTTCTCTCAACCCGCCTCTTTGGTTCCGGTCAGGTTCGAGAAGCGAGGTGATAAGCTGGTCTACAGTGTCGCCAAGGACAAGACAGCGAAGGTGACCCCCCCCCTCTCCTTCGTTCTTTGTTCGTCTTCGTTCTTCTGGGTTCGGAAATGCCCTTGCCTGCCCTCTTCCACCCTCAACCAATGCTAAACATAGAGACAACCAAATGCTCTGTCAACGTTTCATTTGTGTGCAACCAAGTGGTGCTATGGTGCTTCGCTGGCTTGCGTGGGTTGAGTTGGACGTCTAATGAAGCCATCATTCGTGTGCACGCCAACAGGGTTTCATTCCGCTGCGCGAAGTCCTCTCCGTTTCAGCACAGGCCGAGGCGCCCGTGAGTCTGGTGAAGAAGAGTGGCAGCTTCATGCACCTCAAGCGCGAGCGCTCGGAGAGCAAGGAGAAGGAGATCGAGGCGGGCGGCAGCGGCTCGGAGGGCAGCGGCCTGGCTCGCCGCAGTCACAAACGAGGCGGTAGCGTTGCCGGGGTCCATCAGCTCGCCGTGGCCGTGCCGCCGGTCGGCTCCGACTCGGGCGAGCAGCCGAGCGTGACCATAACCAGCAGCGCCAGCAGCACGAGCAGCACCTGCAGCCTGGACGACAGCGACAGCGAGGAGGACGAGGGCGAGCGCAAGAAGCGCGCGCAGTACGACAAGGGCTTCCAGATCGAGACCGAGAAGCGCATCTTCTTTCTCCTGGCGTCGAGCGACAAGGAGCGCGAGCGGTGGGTCAAGGGCATCGAGTACCACATCCGCCAGATGCACGAAAAGGAGATCGCCGCGCAGAAGCTCAAAGAGGTGGAGGAGGCCCTGCGCGCTGCGCAGGAGAGCGAGCGAGCCGCGCGGGAGGAGCTCGAGCGGGTGCGCCGAGAGAGCGACCTCGCGCAGGACGAGAAGTGGAAGAAGCGCCAGGAGGAGATGGAGGCCCGGTTCAAGCGGAAGAAGAAGCAGCTGCGCAAAAAGCTCCGCGAGAAGAAGGAGCGGGAGGACAGGGACGCGGCATACGCCGCCCAGCTGCTCGTCAGCCAAAGACACGTGGCCGCCGCACCGGCGCTGCTCATGCCGGACGTGTCGGCGCTGCCCGAGGGCGAGCGCGGGCTCAAGGAGATGATCGAGAACCTGCAGAGCAAGCTGAGCGAGAACGAGGAGATGATCCTGTACCAGAAGAACACCATCCTCGAGCTGGAGAAGGCCAAGGCCAAGAACGAGCGACTGGCCAAGGAGGCCGAGAAGAAAAAGAAGAAGATCGAACGCGAGTTCCGCCGCACCATCAGGCAGGAGATCCGAGCCAAGGGGGCCAAGGCCGCCCAGGAGGCCGCGGCGTCGACCGGGCTTGCCGTGGCGAGTACCGAGGACGAAGCCGAGGAGACGGAGAGCGCCACCGAGGGCAAGTCAGACGATGAGACGGACGACACCGACGACAAGACCGACGAGCCCAAGAAGGAGGAGTGGGACGAGGAGGACGGCGAGGATGAGCTGGTCGAGATCGAAGACGAGCGGCGGCTTTCCAATTCCACCGAGCACCGAGAAGACGGGGATATTGACGACGACGACGATGAAGATGACGACGACATGAACGACGACGCCGAGGAGGGCCTGAACCACAACGATGACAAGAGCGGGGATGTAGTGGAGCCTGACGCGTCCAGCCACCACACTGACGGCTCAGTGGCAGGCGGTGCGGAGGACTCGGGGTCCGACTCACCGTCGTGGCGCCGGATATCGATGAAAGAGACGACGGCCAGCGCATCGGCGCGCCTCTCCACCTCCCTCACGCGCGATGCGCATGCCGGCAAGTCCCTCACCTTCTCTCACCACGTCCCGATGCTGCCCACGTCGGGGCTGTCGGCCTCGTCATCGGCGGCCGCGTCGCCGCTCTCCCATTCCATGCTGACGCCCCTCAAGCCCCATCCGCCTCCGGTGCCCCCGCGACGCCGAATGGAGAACTGGAGGCGCGGACAGACCGAAGACTTGAAGCTCAAGCGCACCAACCGGACCCACTCTGCTATGGAGGTACGTTGTCGCTCTTTGCTCTTCTTCGTCTTTCGCCCCCCCCACGGGTCATCTTCATTTTTCAATTGCTAATTCATTTTTTTTTAATTTTGTTCTCTTGCTTGGCGCAGTCGCCGAACGAAGACATGGCTCCTGAGCGCTGGGATCGCCCGGATCGTCGGAAGCGCGCAGCTTTGCTGAAAGGGGCCAAGCCCGTCAAGTCGGTGATGCCCAATTCCCCGACCTCGTCCACGCCCGTCCCCACCTCCAACCTTACCTCGTACGTCGCCAGCCACGCTTTTTTTCTCAACCCTCTTCTCTCTTTCTCTCTCTCTCTCTCTCCTCACGCACACGTTTCGGTCGAGCCTCACCTGCACCACCCGCTCCAGTGCTCTTGCTTCGGCGTTTTCTGGGCGGGCCACCATGAGCGCTAGGAGCACCTCCAGCGAGACGCTGTCCGCCTCGACAGGTACTCGCGCTGCGATTCTCACGAGGGCCATACCGGCCGTGGCCGGACCGGCGGTGTTCTCACCATCAATCGACGCTTCTGTGTACTGCGCAGGAGCCCAGCTGCAGGTCTCGCTCAAGATTTCGTGTTCGGAGTTGAGCAACAAGACGAAGGCGGTCAAGTACGACATCAGCGCCACAGTGGAATCGCTGCTCAAGAAGAAGCCGCTCGCCAACTGGCTCAAGAAGCTGCAGATGAAGAGGGCCAAGGAGTCCAAGGAACAGCTCTACTACGGACTCTATGCGCCCGTCAATAGCGGACCTGGCGACCTCTCGCCAAAGGGTACCGCCTTTCCGCCTCTCCACGTGTGTCGCGTGTCGCGTGCGGTTGTGCGTGCGCTCATCTATTGAGCAATCGTTCTCGTGTTCCAGACCCGGGATCCAAAGTGGCACCAAAGGACGTGGCCTGCCGAGGCGTGTGGCTCGACGAGGAGTCACAGCTGTGGCGATACGACTTCGACGAAGGGGTACGTTCACCCACCCACCCACCCACTTTAGCTGATTGTTGGTCCATTCGCTGACTGACGTATCGCCATCAGGCGGCGGTGGAGCTCCGCTGTATCGAGGACTCGAAGTACGCCAACGACAAGAGCAACAACTATGTGCTGCAGATCCTGTACACCATCGATGGCGCCGCGGCTGAACCGCACACAACTGGACGCAGCAGCCAGCTCTTCAAGTTCAACAAGTACACCACCGTACGCGATGTCATGACCACCGTCGGCTCTCGTCTCAAGTACTCCCCCTCCCCCGCTTCGCTTTCGCTTTCGCTCTTTTCACACTCAACTGTGTTATTGTCGACAGGACGTGCAGCGACGTAGAGCACTACGGCCTGCTGATTCACAAGCGAGACGGCACCCTGTGGCTCAATCCCGACAACATCCTCGCCGCCTACCACCTACAGGACATGGTACCGCTTGCCCCCTCCCACCACAACGTTACGTCGATTGGCGGGGAGGGGGGACACAAGACGAAGTGTGCCCTCTGATCGTGGTGCCTCGTGCCTTCACAGGATATCTTGGAGCTGAAAAAGCGATTCCTGGAGCTCTGCCTCCACGAGGAGGACAAGACCGAGCTGCGCGACACCACGCGCGGTCTGCTGGTGCCCTCCGTCGCAGAGGGTCGGCTGCTGCTCGATCCTTCGTCCATCACCGTGCTCGAAGCCACTCACTCTGTGTGCAACGTGCGTACTACACCCAGCCCAAGGCCTTGCTCTCAGCCTTCTTAAAGAAGGGTGTGTGGGCGTCGCCGCGTCGTGCAGTGGCTGGGCATTGAGAAGCGCCGATGGGAGCACTACGGACTGCTGGCCTCCAATCCGCCCTCGCCTGACATCTGGCTGCAAGAGGGCCAGACCCTCGCCCACTACGCCCTCGGGACCAATGTGCGTATACTCCGTGGGGGGGGGGCACCAAGTATTGGTGAAGGAGCGAAATCTGAATTGCTACCACGTGGTGCTGTGTGCGCAGACCATCGTGGAGCTCCAGCCCAAGACCCTGTTCAGTGCTTCGCCCCGGTCCGAACCGGACGTCGCCGACAGGCGGTCGTACTGTCTCATCGTCAAGTTCTCGCCCCACTCCTCCGACAACGTCGAGGTACGCACTGCCCCCTCCCCCCAACGGACTCGACTGTCCAGAATATTTCAGAAGCGAGGCGCCGATGAGTTGACAACGTTTCGCGCTCAACCGGTGGTGCTCAGGACGCTGGTGAGGGTGCATCGACCACCACGAACGGTGGCTCGGGGAGCCTGATCAAGAAGATGGGCGGCATGGAAGATGTCGACGCCTCGCTCGCGCGCTTCTGCATCGGCGGTGAGGTGCTCCGGCAGCACCTCTCCGGCGTCGGGCTGGTCATGCCCAGCCAGGTGCGCCCGTCCCTCCTCGCTCCAGCCTTGGTAACGAAGCAACATTCTCACACAACTCACGACACACTGCGCAGCTGGTTGTGGGCACGTTGTGCTGTACCAACTACGCGCTCATGTTTAACCCGCGCGCCCTGGCCTCTGAGGTGCGCATCCCTGATTGCATCGTTATTTGGGGGGTGATGGGCACCGGTTAAATCCGCTCGCCGATGGGGCTGGCGATGCAGGGCATGCGCATCCCGCTGGGCTCCATCTGGCGGATATCCAAGGTGGCCAAGAACACGCTGCTGATTCACTCCAAGGACTTCCGACCCAACGTCCGCTTCCGCTTTGCCTCCAAGAATCTCGCTCGCCACTGGCACGACGTACGGAGACGCACGCACTCGCCGCCGCGCGTGAGTTTGCTCACTGGGTCTGACCATCTATGTCCGTTCTCTTCTTCGACTTCGTCTTCTTCGTTTTCAGATTTTGCACCAGAACGCTTTCCCCGGCAAGGCGCTCAAAACCTTTGCGCTCGACTTCAAGTGGGAGGTGCCTTGTTTTATTAATGAATTGTTTTATTTAGTTATTTGTTTCAGCACGGATGGCTTCCTCAACGCTCACTCCCTATTCCCTTCCCCCCGTTAGGGCGTGAACGATGGCTGGCAGCTCTTCAATGTGCAGGAGGAGTACGACCGACAATTCCAGCTGGCAGGTGCGACCTCTCGCGGCGGTTCGGCTGTTCACGCTGTGGTGTGTTGCGCGTTGCCTCACTCTGTCATTGTGTGTATGTGTTGCAGGCAAGTTGGGAAAGCGGTGGCGGCTGAGCGACATCAACAAGCGATACACGCGGGCGCCCACCTACCCCGAGTACATCGGTACGAGTCACGAATCAAGCCCTCGCGCCCCAGTGCCCGGGCTCCGTCTTGACTCTTGTACGTCGCGTCGCACAGGTGTGCCGGTGCAGGTGCTCGACGAAGTTTTAAGTCCGATCTTCGAATTCCGCAGCAAGGGACGCATTCCGGCCCTGTGTACGTTCCGAATTCACCACCACACCACCACCACGCGCCCGAAGCTCTCTGCGTGGCGCGCGCTCACCCAGTCTCTCTTGCGCGGCGCAGCCTATCTGTTCCGTAATGGCGCCTCGATCACCCGATCATCTCAGCCCATGGTGGGCTTCCGAGGGAACAGCTGTCCCCAAGGTACAACAAACCCCGCCGCCGCCACCGCCGCCACTACTACAGCCGCCACCGTGGTACTTGTGTTGCTGATCGTTCGCCTGGGGGGGGGGTAGATGAGTTCCTCCTCGAGTCGATCTATCGCTCCAACCCCACCGCGGACAAGCCGAACTCGGTGCTCCGTATCTATGATGCCCGGTACGCCCGAAAACACCCTCACAGACGCACCGTACTGTCAATGAATCAAGGTTTTCTTATCATTATCATTACTATTATGGTTGTCTTTCAGGCCACGAGTGAACGCCATGGCCAACCAAGCCATGGGCGCGGGCGTGGAAAAGTGCGGACCCAACAGTCGCCTGGACTTCCTCAACATCGGTACGGCCGTTCTTGTGCTCTCGCGAGTGTCTGCTGCGATGGTTTGCGCAAGCGCTGAGGGGAGAACTCTGCATGCAGGCAACATCCACGTGATGCGGGAGAGCTACAACAAGCTCAACCAGCTGTGCATATTCGACGCTACGTCGCTGCCCAGCTCGCCCACCTCCTCCTCTTCGTCCTCCGCATTCTCGCTCATGTCGACCCCCACCACGCCGCCCTCCCCGCTCTCCGCGTCGTGGCTGTCCAACCTCGAGCGGACCAAGTGGCTCGACCACCTGTCCCTCATCTTGACCGCCGCCACCAGCGTGGCGCTCTGCGTGTACAAACAGACCTCCGTCCTCATTCACTGTACGCCCCCGCCGCCCTTCAAGTGTGCCTCCGATTAGACCTCGGTTGTAGCGGCGTGGGACTCACTGCGGTGCGTGGTGCAGGCAGCGACGGGTGGGACCGAACGCCACAGGTGGCCGCGCTGGCCCAGCTGATGCTGGACAAGCACTACCGAAGCATCCGAGGCTTCGCCGTGCTCATCGAGAAGGAGTTCCTCAGCTTCGGACATAAATTCGATGAGCGATACGGCACGTGATCACACGCACTCACCTTCTCCCGCATTCTGTCGTTGGCAGCGGTCAGATGCCTCGGGCGTTATTGTTTTACTCACTGTACTACTCTCGGCGGTTGTGTGTTCAGGCCATGCGCACCCGGATGACGCCGGCACATCGCAGCGAGCCCCCATCTTCCCACAGGTGCGCATTCCCACCGACGATGACTGCTTGCATGCAAACACGCCGCGGCCTCGCAGGTCTAAGACCTAGCGGGCCTTGTGTGCCGTTGACTCATGTTGGGTGCCTTGTGTGTGCAGTTCCTGGACATGGTGTACCAGCTCACGCAGCAGTTCCCGTGCGCTTTCGAGTTCAACGAGCGCTTCTTGGTCTTCCTGCTGGAGCACCTATACGACTGCCAGTTCGGCACGTTCCTCTGGTATATGGGCGCCCCTCCCCCGCTCTTCCAGGAGGCAATTGCACCCGACGTGCGCGTTCTTGGCGCCGCTCATTCTGTGATGGTCTGCTTGCAGTAACTCGCAGAAGGAGAGGGAAGAGTCGCGGCTGAAGGAGAAGACCGTCTCGATCTGGTCCTTCATCGTGAACAACAACCACAAGAAGTTCGACTTCGTGAACCCCTTCTACATGGCCGAGATCGATGTCTTCTTTCCCGACACTGGCGTCGAGAACCTCGTCCTGTGGAAGGGCTTCTACTTCCGACACACCATGAAGGTGAGTCCCTGCCCTGCCCCCCTGCAATGTGCCCTCGCTGGCGCTTATCTACAGCCGCAATGGGTGCGTGCACAGCTTGGGTCCGAAGACTACAAGCTGGTGACGCGCTACGCCAAGCAGGTCACAGTGGAACTGCGGGCCATGCAGCTGATCAACACCATCGACACGCTCAACGAAAAGCTCAAGACGACGACCGCAGCTGCGACGAAAGCGAGTCAGTGAGAAAGTGAGAAAGTGTGAAAGTGTGAACACACCGTGACTCTAACGGTGAAATTTCGAAAGCGAATGCGCAGGAAATGATTGGGTTGTACAACAGCAAGCTACGTTCGTGATGAGTCTTCTTCTTTTTCGACTGCGTACTCAACACAACATGCTCGCGCTGCTCGAACGCTTCTTCTCAGAGGGCCAGCTCACGACGCTGGGGCTGGTCCTGCTCGTGATCGAGGTCTTCCACGCCTACGCCCACGCCAACGTGCTCCTGCGACTCCAGGCGCCCACGCTCGAGCAGCTCAAGGCCCGGCGGTACTACTTCGTGTTCGACATGGCCACCCCGCTCATGGCCTACTGCCTGCACGAGAGCTGGGGTCCGTTCGTGCTCGTCCACGCCCTGGCCCACACCTACTACGTTTGGGCCTGGAACTCGGGGTACTACGCCGTGCGCATCCGGGACTGGAGCGTGCGCGAGTACCGCGGTCCGCGCTTGACCGTCGACTTCGCGCTGACCTGCTTCGACATCGCCGTCCACCTCCTCACGGCGCACGCCCTCTTCCGCACCTTCCTAACTCCTGCAATGCCCCTCCTATGAGAGGAGTAGTGACTCTTTGGGTGGTCGTTTCGGCCAACGACCCCTGCCTGCGAATCCCCCCGGCAGCCAATAAAAACAAAGACCGTTCCCTGATTTCCCTTGTTTTCTTTTGGGGGTAGGGAAAGAAAAGTGGAGAGAAATGGATAGGGACGAGAAGATCTTTTGGCGAAGAAGGGAGCCACGCCTGCAAACACACACAGCACAATCACGCCCGCACACGTACGCACAGCACAACACTCACGCCACATATAATGGACGGTAAGCCGACTCTCACCTACAGCTCCAAAGAGGTACATCTAGATTAAGAGCTGCATCAGTACTTGCACGTGCAGAACTGCAGGTTTTTACTGTTCAAATCAATTGAATGGATGTGAACAGATTTTGCTGGAGCCCTATGAGTACCTGCTTCAGGTGCCGGGCAAGGACGTGCGCGGCAAACTCATTGATTCCTTCAACAAGTGGCTCCAGATCTCTGAACCTGAGCTTAATCAGATCAAGACCATTGTCTCCATGCTCCACAACTCTAGCCTTCTGTACCTCAACTCCCCTCTTCTATCCTCTTGCTGGAGCGTGGTGTTCATTCCTCTCGACCCCATGCCACCAATGCAGGATCGACGACATTGAAGACAACTCCGTGCTCAGGAGAGGCTTGCCCGGTAGGTGCTCCATGCGCGACTTGCTCCTTGGTCTCTATGTGCGGCTTGGTGCTGATCACCACGTTGCGTTGTGGTCCGCAGTGGCCCACAAGGTTTACGGCGTCGCGTCGGCCATCAACTGCGCCAACTACGTCTACTTCGTGGCGCTCCAGCAATGCGCCTCCATGAACAACCCCAAGGCCAGTGCCATGTTCCTAGGTAGGCGGTGGTGCACCACGACACACATCTCTATAGCGTGAGACCTATCGGGAGCTGGTCGTGGAAGTTGCTGACGGTGTTCATTGCCGCAGAGGAAATGATCAACCTCCACCACGGCCAAGGATTCGACATCTTCTGGCGAGACCACCAAATCTGCCCCACCGAGGAAGAGTACAAGAAGATGGTCCTCGACAGTACGCGCACCTCTTCTCCCTGCGCACTGACGCCACACTCGATCGCTTACGCCACCACGCGTACGCTCTCTCCGTTAACGCGGCGCTACTTGTGCAGAGACGGGCGGTTTGTTCCGCCTGGCGGTGAAGCTGATCCAAGCCTTCAGCAAAGACGAACGGTGAGTGTGCCACCTTCGTGTGCCGCCCTGGGCAACTCACGTGACACCGATGAATACTGACAAACTCGGTGCCGCCAGGGACTATATCCCCCTCGTCAACAAGCTCGCTTACTACTTCCAAGTGCGCGACGACTTCATCAACTTGCAATCTCAAGACGTACGCATTCATACTTGTCTCGTTCACGGCCGTGAGATTGGTGGCGCTGACCTTTGCACACTTGAACCGCCACACACACGACACGACACGACAGTTTATGGACCACAAGGGCTTCTGCGAGGATATCACGGAGGGCAAGTTCTCCTTCCCCATCATCCACTCCATCCGCGCTGTGCCGCACGACCACAGGCTTCTCTCCATCCTCAAGCAGCGAACGAACGGTATTGCTCTTCTTTTCCTTGACCAACTCTTCCGCTGTTGTTGGGTCTCAAGCGTGGTTTCTTCTTTGCGCCTTGGTCTGAGGGTAGACGTGGAGCTCAAAAAGTACGCCGTCAAGTACATGGAGCAGACCGGCTCCTTTGAGTACACCCGGAACATTCTCAAGGTACCCCGGGCGTGCATATTACGACCTGTGTCCCGTGTGGCGCATACGCACACACGCAGTGCCGCACATCACACACGCGCTAACTAGCCCCGCCTTGCGCTCGCACAGGGCCTGCACGAGGACATCGTCCAAGAAATCGACAGGCTGGGCGGCAACGATCTCCTCATGAAGATTGTGGAGCTCCTGGCCCAGTACAAGGTGTAAGGCGCGACGTCGAGCAACAAGAGAGAGCACTCGACCGCGCCCCTTCCTGGCAGGGTGGTCGGTTGGTATGTGGGGTATGTACATGGGAGTGTCGCTGGCACATCACCGGAAATGTCAAAGAAGCAGAACACGGGAGCACCACTCTCGCGGTCCGGGTCGACCACGGCTGTTGGCCAATATCACTTCTCCTAACGGCCTTGTCGACCTTCTCTTCTTCCTTCTCTCCTCCGCGTCGTGGCTAGACTTTAGTTTTTCTTTGACACCACGCACACACACACACATCCAAAGAAATCAATCAATCTCACAGAGATCAACAACAGCAACAATGGCCGATGATGCGGAAGTAGCGCGATTGATGAGGGCGATGGGCGGCGGTGGCGGTGGCGAGCGCAAGGAAGCGGCGGCCCACCCGAGCAAGGTGCCCATCAGCCCGCGCGGACACACGACCGATCTCGAGGAGAACCTCGAGGGCATGACCAAGGAGGAGGCCCGCCTGCTCCGCTCCATGCACACCACCACCGGCAAGGCCACCACCGCCCACGCCGCCGCCCCTGCCCCCGCAAAGAAGTGGGCCGACCCCGTCGCCGCCAAGCCCGTCCCCCCTCGTACTGCCCCCCCCCTTCCCCCCTTCGTTCTTTATCATTCTTCGTTTTCGTTCTTTTTATTTTTCGTAATTTTTGATCATTGGGCGCCTAACGGCTACTTTCTTTCGCGCGAGCAGCGGAGAACGTGGTGAGGGAGGACACCCACCACCAGCAGACCGCGGCGGCCGCCGTTCACGCCGAGCCCGTCGTGCAGCAGCGCGAGCCCGTCGTGGAGCACCGCGCCCGCCCCAATCACCCCGAAGGTGCGCTCGCCCTTACCCCTCGACTCGTGGGCCTTGTAGTGGTGGTGGCGGTGGCGGCGCTGACTCGGTTCGTTGCGTGTGTGCAGAGGAGGCGCTGGTGGAGGTGGTGGCCGACCCGGAGGCCCTGAAGCAGAAGGAGGAGGAGCAGGCCGCCAAGGAAGCCTCCCGCATGGAGCGCCTCCTGGCCAAGAAGTTCATCGTCTGACGATCTCCCCAGCCAAGCTGACGGGCAGTCCCCACCCACTCCCCCCACCATCACCATCACCACCACCACCACCTCTGTACAAACCGCGGCTCTCTTTCCGCTCGGACCAGTTAGAACTGGTCGGTCAACCCACCTTCATCGCCACCACCAATAGAACAACCCTCTTTTTCTTCTTGTTGTGGTGGCGCGATTGGCTGTGTGGTTACAAAAAGCCGAAGACAAAGTCTTCATCTTGTGTTGTACAAGAGAGAGCGGCGCAGGATGAGGGCGTCGTTGTGGTTCTGGGGTCTGGCGGGGCTGCAGCTTTACTTCTTCTACCCCAGCAACTGGGTCCTCCTCTTCATCTTCGTCTCCTCCGCCGTGCTCGCTCGGCTCCTCCGCTACTTCGTCCTCGACAAGTGGCAGCATCAGGTCCGGTCTCGCCCAATTTGTAATAAAGAGATTAAATCTAATCTCCTCTCTTCACACCACCGCACCTCACTTCAACTCCATCTTCCATCTGCCCAGGTGCCGACAGACGGCAGTTGGTGGGTGGTGATTACGGGCACCTCCTCCGGCTTCGGCCAACTCGGCGGTACCTCCCCCCCCCTCCCAACAAACATCTTTGGTTTTGCACAGAGCTAAAGCCTCCCCGGCCTAAATTGGGCCTGCGCAGCACTCCGATTGGCGTCGCGCGGCATCAACGTGGTGGCCACGGTCCGGCGGGAGAGCGACGGGGAATCTCTCCTCAAGCGTGCGGCCTCCGACGCCATCCGCCGGTACCATCTCGCTCCGATGATGACAACGGCCGTGGTGGGACGCGTCTGACAATGTTGGGTGTGTCGTCTTGTGTGTGTGTGTGTGTGTGTGTGTGTGCGTGTGCGTGTGCGTGTGCGTGTGCGTGTGCGTGTGCATGCGTGTGTGTGTGCGTGTCGTGTCGTGTGAATGCGGGGCGCGCAGGCGGATTCATGTGGTGCTGATGGACGTGGCCTCCGTGGCCTCGGTGAAGGAGGCGAGGGACCAAGTGGCGGCGAAGCTCCAGCGTACATTACCTGCCCTCCCACCAGCGTCCCTCGTGGCCGCTCGCTGATGTGCCGCTGGGCGTGCGCGTGTGTGTTCATGTGATTCGTGCGCGCAGAGGGCAATGGGCTCCTGGTCGGAGTCATCAACAACGCGGGCTACTCCGTCTCCGGTCGTTTGGAAGCCGTCCCCCTCGGCAAGTGGAAGAAGGAGTATGACGGTACACCCTCCTCGGCTCTGCATGTTGTGCGAGCTGCCCACGCTCACATCGTCGTCATCGTCATCGTCATGGTCATCGTGGTCGTGGTCGTGGTCGTGGTTGTCGCAGTGAACGTGTTCGGTGTGGTGGCGGTCACGCAGGCCTTCCTTCCGCTGCTGAAGTCGGCTGCGAAGCAGGGGGCCTCCCCGCGCGTCGTGTTTGTGAGCAGCGTCGTGGGCAGCGCGGCCATGGCCGAGACCGCCCCCTACAGCTCGAGCAAGTTTGCCGTTCAGGCCATCGCCGTATGCGCCCATCTCACGCACCACCGCACCACACACAACGCAGCCCGTTGCGATGTGGAATGCTGACGTGGCATGCGTGCGTGTTCTAGGACAACGCGAGGGTGGAGCTGCGCAGGTACGGCATCAAGACGGTGGTGATCCAGCCGGGCGCCTTCAAGACCGAGTTCTTCGGCCGGCTGGTGAAGGACTTCCAGCTCAAGGACGCGGAGGAGGGCGAGGAGCTGCTCGACCCGGCCATGGTCAGCGAGGTCCACGCCGAGTTCGAGCAGAAGAACGAAGTGCTGGCCAAGCTCGCCCTCTCCTTCCCTCCCGGCGACCCCGTTGCCGAAGCCATGGAACTGAGGTTTGTCTTCATCGTGTCGTGTCGTGTGTCGTGTCGTGTCGTGTCGTGTGTGGTGTAGTCGCTGGTGTCGTGCTAATCATGACACGTCGCACACGCAAAGCGTGCTGACCAAGATGCCCGAGTCGAAGATCTTCGTGGGTTACGACACAGGGCTGTACAAGCTCCTCAGCCTGGCGCCCGACGAAATCGGCGACCTGCTGACGTGGGCCATCATGACGGCCCTTCGGCCCCTTCATGCGCTCCATCATCCTGGGCAAGGGCAACAAGAAGGACGAATAAACGGAAGATATGACGATTTTCAGGCAGACCATGGTGGCGTGGTTGGAGGGTGGTCCGCGACTCAATTAATTGAGCCCCTTGCTGGTCCAGGCCTTGGACAGCTCGGCCTGGCAGCGGGAGCAGTTGCACCAGAAGTGGTACAGCTTGTGCAGGTTCTTGCGCCGCTCGTGCAGGTTCTCCGTCGTGCTGTCGTACCTTCGATAGCCCACCGGTGACACGACACGACACGCGTCAGCGCACACGCGCGCGCGCTCATTGCGGTTTTGTGGCGAAGAGGTGGTGGGAGAGGTAGGGGGGTACCTGTAGAAGAGCTCGTCGTCCTTCTTGATGGACTTGCCGGCGATGAAGGCGGTGACGTGGCCCGCCAGGTGCGGGTAGAGGGCCATCACGTTCGGGTCGCAGCTGTGGTTGAGGTAGCTCGCGATTCGGTAGATCGCCGAGCCCCGCACCGTCACCTTCTCGTTCACGCACGGCTCCAGCTGGACCCCCGTCTCCGCGTCCTCGTCTGGTGCGCCGCACATCAGCACGCGCAGTCCATCGATTCAGTCCGTTTGCAGACTCTTCAGACGATCGTCTGCGTGGGGGTGGGCGATGTCCGTACCAACGGTCACCTCGTGCTCCTCGTGCCCGTGCCCGTGATGGTGGTCACAGCCAGGGCCGTGCTCGTGGTGGTGCTCGTGGTGGTGCTCGTGGTGGTGATGATCACAGCCGGGGCCGTGCTCGTGGTGCTCGTGGTGCTCGCAGCCGGGTCCATGCTCGTGGTGGTCATGACCGCAACCGGGGCCGTGCTCGTGGTGCTCATGTTCGTGGTGGTGGTGGTGTTCGCAGCCGGGTCCGTGCTCGTGGTGGTGATGCCCACAGTCGGGACCGTGTCGTGGTCGTGGTCGTGGTCGTCGTGGTTGTCATGCGGTCGTTCAATGACGTCGCCCACGACCTTGACCCCGAGCTGGTGGAGCTCCACCGTCATCGTGTTGAGGTTGATGGTCGAGAGCAGCCGCATGTAGTTCTTCTCCGTCAGCACTGCACCCACACACAGCGCACCCCCCCCCAACGAGTCATTTTAGGCCTGTGGGCCTCTGCTCTCCACCCACCCGGTGGGTCCGGAACGGGGGGGAGGGGCGCGTACGCTCGCCGAGGGAGGGGAAGAGCGTCCGCATGAGCTGGTACCGCTCCTTCTCGTGCTCGGGCAGCACCAGCGGAGCCTCCGAGATGTAGGCCATGTACGTAAGCCTGGCATCGTCCCAGCAGTCATATATCACTCAGCGTAAGCCCACACACTGAGGTGATTCGTTGTGCGTTGTGTGTGTGTGTGTGTGGTGCGTACCTGTCCAGGTCTTCGTTGAAGATGGTGTCGGGCTTCACCTTGTGGTGTCTCCTCTCGAGGCTTAGCTTGTTCAGGAGCTTGACCATCAGCAGCGTGAGCTCCTTGCCGCCTTGCTTTGCTCCCTATGAGGCGAAGAAGACGACGACGACGACGAAGCCACAGATGAGCCATTGCGTGCGATGGAGGGGAGGGGAGGGGAGAGGGGGGACGTACCTGGGTGTGCGGGAAGGCGTCGAGGTGTTCCGAGAGGGCGTTGGAGGCGGACAACGACGCGGTGCTGCACAGCGGCGAGTCCTCGTGGTGGTCGTGCCACGCCTTATCGCGGCACTCAGTGCTGCAGTAGTTCCACCCGCAGCTGCACGTGGTCGTGGCGGCGAGAGTTGGCACTGGGATGCCCGCCGCACACGACACACGACACACACGACACACGACACACGACACACACGATACACGACACACTCGAAGGGGGTTCATGCACGTACTGCTTGACACACTCGGTTTGGTCGATGGGCGGCAGCTCGGCCCCGAGCTTGCTGGTGATCTGCTGCATCAAGTCGGGCGTAAGCCGGCCCTTGATTTCGGCCTGGACATGGAAGGCAGGGAAGTATCAGGACACAGCGAACCACGCGCTCAACGCCCTGGCACACCACTCTCTCTCTCTCTCGGGAAGAGGAGGAGGAAGAAGAAACGAGAGCAGAGGTCACGCACCGAAAGCTCGTCATCGGCGAGGAACTCCACGTCGACCAGCGGACGCAGACAGTGCTCGCAATGAGACAGTTTCTGATCATCGGAGAGACAGAAAGGAAATCGAGTATAAGCTGACGTGTACGTGCGTGCGTGCGGTGTGTGGTGTGTGTGGTGTGTGTGGTGTGTGTGGTGTGTGTGGTGTGTGTGGTGTGCGTGGTGTGCGTGGTGTGTGTGGTGTGCGTGGTGTGTGTGGGCCAAACCTCGTGGATGGAATCGGCGATGGAGACGAGGGGCTCCTCGACGAAGACGATCTCGCCCTCCTGGAAGTCCTTGTCGGCAAACACGCCCCGCCCTCGGGTCTCCTCCGTCTTGGGGTCCCTGGACGAGCGCACGGAGATGGCGTGGCCCTCCGTCAGCTTTGCGTAGAACTCCTTGTCCGTCTGCGCATCAGAAAAGGCACGACATCAGGCAGGCAGCCCGCTACGGCGAGCCGTGGGATCGAGAGGGAGGAGGAGGTCGTGGAGAGGCGTACATCGGGAGCGGGCGTCGATCGGGCAACGAACTTCATCTGCGCCATGATGGACGCTCGCTTCCACAGAGACTCCACTTCTTCGTCCTTTTGCTCTGTCGATTATCATCAATTATTTGTTTTAGGAAGCACACACCACACGCGCACACGCGCACAGAGACGGTCTCGTCAGCTTCTGTGTGCTGGTGGGAGCCAGGAAGAGCAGAGCGTGAGTGAGTGAGTGGGTCCTACCCTTGAGCGAGGCCTGAATGCGTCGCGGGCGCTCTCATATTTTTCCATGGCCAGGTAGGCCAACCCAATCTGCACGTGGCACCTGCGCGAATGAACGCGACACGCGCACACGCGCACACGACACACGACACACGACAAGCGCAGAGAGAACAGCTTGCGAGTCAGGGACACACTCGCATACCCTCGTCGGGTGTGGGCAACGTACGTTGCTCGCTGCTCGGCGTCGTTCGACCCGCGAAGCATCTTGAGCGCCTTCTGGCTGTCGGCGATGCAGGCATCAAAGTCCTGCAGGGCCATGTGTGCCTCTGAGGCGCAGGAGGTGGCGCGGAGGGTGAGTGCCACGCATGCATGGCTCAGCTGAGCTGCTGCGGGAGGGGCGCATGCTGCCGCTACGCACCTGCACGCTCGATGAGCGGTACGGGGTCGCTGGCCACGGCGTCGATGGCTCTGTTGTACTCTTCGATGGCCTGCTGCCACTTGCCCTCTTCCGCCATCATGCGCGCCTCGAAGGTCTGCCCACCGCCAACCAGGCCCCACGTAGGTGGTCGTAGTGGTCGCAGTGAGCAAGTGGCCGTCTCGAGGGGAGGTGCAGGCACTGTGGGAGCACGTACGTGGAATCGAGCGGTCCTTTGTCGCTGGTTGATGTCGTCCTGGGTGGATGTGGCGTAGCCGCGATTGGCAAAGATGGGGAAGATGATCTGCTGCGGCACTTTGCAAGAACGAGCCGTGGCGTGCAGAACGGTGGCCAGTCTGCCCGCCTGCTTGGCGGTCGATGCAAGATGAATTCGATTCGCCGGCGTCAGCGGAATCGATGCATTTCGGCCACACACAACCGAATTTGTCCCCAATCGCGGCAAGGAGCTTCCTCCGCTCATCACACCCAGCCTCATCCGCTGGAGGGCGGGTTGAGTCACACCACCGCGCGCCAACATCGTTGCGATCGATTAATTCCACAATTATAAATAAATCACCAAAAATCAAAAAAACAAATGGCCAAGGAAAAACTATTGGAATGCGAAATATGTCGCAAGCAGCAGCGAGAGGAGCACTTAGGCTCCGAGTTCAGCGCAGCTGTCTCGCTTGGGCGGGTTGGCCACCTTCTCCTCCTTTTGCTCCTCTTGTCTCACCTGGTCGTCTCCCTTACGCTCCTGCGCGGCACCCTCCTTCGCCTTCGGCTGCTGCTGCTGAGGCTTCTTTATAGGTCGCCCTCGCCTCCGCGGGAGCTCGTCGGCCACTTCCTCCTCTTCTTCCATGTCGTCGTTGGCTTCGGCGTCCTCTGGAGCGCTATCGCCAGCTTCTTCCGCCTTTTTGCCCACCTCCTCCATGGCATCCTCTTCTCCCTCGTTCGCCTCATCTTCCTCGTCTTCCTCCTCCTCCTCGTCGTCTTCGTCTTCCTCCTCTTCCTCGCCTTGTTCGGCCTTGGCCAGTCGGTCCTCCTTGGCCTTTTGCTTTCGCTCGCGGGCTATCCGTCGCCGCTCCTCCCTCTGCTGGATCTTCCTCTCCCTCTCGCGCTGCCGGTAGATCCTGGCCTTCTCGGCGCTCTGCTTCTTCCTCAGGGCCGCCTCCTCTTCCTTCCGCTTCCGGGCCTCGACCAGCTCCTGGGGCGGGACGTAGACCTGCTTGATCTCGCCCGAGTTGATACCCTTGAGCATGTCGCTCACCACGGCGATGCCCATCTCCAGGAAGAAGGTCTTGCCCGTCCCAACGCCGTGCTCCATCACGATTCTCCTCCTCGAGACCGGATCGAACACGCGGCGCTGGTTGAGGGGCTGAATCTATAGATTGCCCCATGAACCACAACACACATTGGCACGAGCCGGGTCAGCCGGGGCCTTCTTGTCGTGGTGGGTACGGCGGCGTACCGGTTGCTTGACGGACGGCGCGCGGGGCACTGGCACTGTCTTCGCGGGCTTGGGTACCAGCGGCGTCTTCGCTGGCACAGCCGATGTTGCTTTGGTCGTTGATGAAGACGACGTACGCGGGGATGGAGCCGGTGCCGATGATGAAGTGGATGTAGGCGGTGGCGGAGGAGTGAGCTTGGCGAGCATCTTGTGCAGGGAAACGATGGACGGACTCGGTCCAGGCTCTGCGCGCTGTCGCTTGCTCGAGCTCGAGGCGCCTGACTTCGGTGGCCGATCAGGAGGCGCCACAGCGCCCTTTGATGTTGGGAAGGGCCTCTTCCGCGATGGAGGAGACGGAGGCTGAACGGGGGATTGCATGCAGGCGAGTCCGTGAGTGATACGAACCACCTGAGCAAACAAAATGACGGGGAGTGAGGCACCTTGGTCGTGTCGGCCGAGCTTGGTTTGGGCGGAGCGGGTTTGTCGCCATTCGAGAGGTCAACCGTCCGGTTTTGCAATTCGGTCTGTCTCTTGCGCTGTTGCGCTTGCTTCTGCTGCTGCTCTTGCTGTTGCCGTTGCTGCTGCTGCTGCAGTCGCTTTTGCTTTTCCTTTCTTGCTGGGCCTGCGCCTGGACCTGCGCGACTTGCGCTTGGACCTGCGCCTGTGCCTGCGCCTGTATCTGCGCCTGGGCTTGAGCCTGCACCTGCTGTACGACACGTTCAGGCCGAGGCTCCAAGCAAGGAACAACGTCTGAAGAAGAGCGGAAGCGTACGAGCAGATAGTGCTGTATCAGCTGCTGCACAACTTGCGGATGTGGCTGCTGCACATTGGCTGGCGCCACGCCAGGCGGTCCCATCAGCAGTGTCTGCATAGGCGAAGCTCCACTTGGTGTGGGGTAGCCGGGAGGCAACGGATAGCCGCGTCCGGGCAGGCCTGTGGATTTGTCCACAACGTGTGCGTGCAATACGGTTAGAACCCGAATCAGGGGGCACACGTTCGCCCAAAATGCCAAGCACAGAGAGGCTCGCGTGGCGGCACGCAAAGAATATGCAGAGAATTCAGCTTGCAGGTATCAGGGCGTGTGTAGCATATTTGGGAGGTGGCCAACGTCACGAGACCACCGGCGCTTTTGTGAGTCGAGTAGAACGAGGGAGGGAGCGCGACCAAGTCTAAGATTTGGAATTTGTTTGTTACCTGCCATTGAGAAGAGTGTGGGCGGGGGCGGGAGCGGGGCAAGAGAAGGAGCGGGAGCGGCGTCTTGGTGTCCATCTGCGGAGATTTGTGGTGTGAGCTCCGTTCCATCCAGATTGACGACAAGATTCATCTTCCCCCCCCCACGCTTACACACTCGGGGCTGAGGAACCGGGCAGAGGTGGAGTAGTACCATTGGGTGGGTGCGCAGACGGCAAGAGCGTCGTCAGGTGGCGGAGCGGAGGCGGTGGGGTCTTGTTGGGCGGGAGGGACATGGTAGTGGAAGAGGAAGTGCGGGGCCGGGTCCTGGTTACGGGGCAGCAGCAACGAGGAATGCAGCACAGCAGAGGTGCGATCGGTCTACGAGTGTCTGCGTGCCCTCTCGTTGGTTGGGGGTAGTAGTTCTCTACTTGGCCTCTTTTTTCTTGAGCTGTGGCCAACGTCTTTCTTGGTCTGTGTAACTCTCTGGCCAGGCCGCAGCCCCAACCAGAAACCCCACACCACCGCACCAATCAGCGCGCGCCCTCACGAGAATTCCCAATTGTGACCAAATCCCTTTGTCCACACCATCTCACCCACCCAAAGTGTTTCACATTCCTTTCTTGACAGCCACCACCCCGCACATAAACTTGCACACACACCTGGACCCTTCAACAACATGCGATCTGACCTACTTAAGCCTATTGCGAGCCTGGCTGGCGATCAACCAGGATGTTACATCCCAGAAAGGGCTGCAGGTAACCGCAGCAGAAGCGGCCTTTCGAGCTTGAGCCGCAGTTTTGACCTCGACCAGCACCTCTACTCTACTCACGAGCTCTTTGCGAACAGAACGAACCGCAGCATGTCCGGGTGAGCGTTCGCGCGTGGTGGACACATGACCCCGAGCACAACGACGGAGTTCGGTGGCTATTGTTTTTCTTTTCTTTTTTTTTAAAGTTGAGATTTCAATTGGCGCCAAAATTTGCGCCAACAGAAGGAAAGGGCGGGAAGAGCCAGCCGTCCGAAAGTAGCTGCGCAATTGGCATCTCGAACCTTGGCTCCGTCGATCCCCGCTCGCATTTGCGCCTCGAAATAGGGTGGGTGTCCTCCTTGCCTGGTTGTGCAGACGATCAAACCACTAATGCCGCGAAATCGTCACACCTTTTTTTGTAGAAATGGCGGAAGATGAAATGTATCTTGGGAATCTGGAGGCGTGGGTCTGTGAGGAGAAGAAGACCGTGCGTTCCCCTTCCCGTTCTTATGGCCGCCCAATCTCATGCCCTCGCCCCCAGATTACCTACACATGGCTCAGCAATGAGTTGTCTGTGCCTTCAAATGTTGCCAAACAGTACGGCCCTTGATCCTGGATTCGGTTTCACTTTTTGCTCTCTCTTGTTTCGCTCACCAAAGCGCCCCACACGTTAGAATGCTGTACGCCTTTGCTGAGAAGAAGGGCTCAGAGGTGCAGCCCATCTATCTGTTGTCCGGCAACAGAGAGGGATACGGCCACACCATCACCCTCGTCGCCAAGTCCAAGCTTGCAGGTTGGGCTCTCATTGTGCCCTGCAGGCACCGCAATCTGATTGCCCTGGGCTAACCTCCATTCGCGCGCGCACGCAAACGTAACCAACAGAAACGAAGAAGCAGTTCAAGCCCGTCTTCTCGCTGCACGTCTACAGCGTACAGGCCGTGCTGCCCAAGGACAGCGCCCACCTGTGGTCGGTGGACAACGAGCAGCGCAAGGCCCTCTTCACCCAGCCGGACAACTCCATCACCACCAACCGGTACCTCGCCCAGCGCCGAGTTCATCAATCAATCGTACCTCCCTTTCCCCGATGGTGATGGTGCTGACGTCATGGCGGCGGTGATGGTGATGGCGCGACCAAGGTGGAGCGCCATCGACTTTCTCGCGGGGACGGAGAAGCGCAGCGCGCCGCCGCCCGCCGCAGTTCCGCAACAGCCCGCGCCTGTGGTCAAGAAGGAGGCCGTCAAGGTCAAGGTGCAGCCCAAGGAGGAGGCCAACGACGCGTCGAGCCAGCCCAGCTCGCCCGAGAAGACCGCCAAGCCGGCCACCGGCGGGCGTCTGACCACCCCCGCCAAGCCGGCCGCCGCCGGGAAGAAGGGCGCGTCGTCGCCCACCAAGAAGCAGCCCGGCGGCGCGCGGGAGATGACGTCTTTCTTCAAGAAGGCCCCCGAGGAGGAGAAGACGCAGACGCTGATCGCCAACGCCAAGGCCGGGAAGCCGGCCAAGGGCACGTCGAGCCCCTCGAAGGCCCGCGTCATGGAGGGCTTCTTCGCCAAGAAGGAGAAGATGGACGAAGATCACGCGGCGGAAGAGGGCGAAGAGGAAGAGGAGGAGGAAGAGGAGAAGAGCGAGGCCAGGCAGAAGGTGAAGCAGGAGAAGGTCCAGCCGGCGGAGACGGATGAGCTCGACGAGCTGTTGGGCGGCGAGGAGGAAGCCGAGGAGGCGAAGCCCGCGCCGCCGCCGGCGAAGCAGAAGCGGAAGAGGTCGGCGGCCGCGAAGGACGACGATGACATGGACTTTGAGAGCTCCAAGGCCAAGGCCGACACCACGAAGCGGCAGCGCCTGCGCAAGGGCAAGCGGAAGAGGAGCGACGACGACGACAACAACGACAACGACGCCAATGGAAACGACGAAGGAGAAGGAGAGGGTGAAGCCGCTAACGGCCGACCAGCCCGGGCCATCAAAAAGGAGAAGGAGTCGAAGCGCGATGAAGAAGATGGCGCAGAAGACGGGGAGAGCACGGCGATGACGACGAAGAAGAAGGCGACGAAGAGGAGGAGGGTGGTGCAGAAGGAGCCGGAGGACGAAGAGGAAGCGGAGCAGGAAGAGGCCCAGCCTCAGAAGAAGAAGCGTGCCGCCAAGGCCGCGCCGGCCAAGAAGGGGCGAAAGGAGGCGGCAGCAGATGAAGAGAAGGAGGAGGATGACGGGGAGAAGGAGAACGAGGAACAGGACCACAACGTCGTGAAGCAGGAGAAGACGAAAAAGAAGGCGGCGGCCAAGCCCGTGGCGGTGGAGCGGAAGGAGGGCGTGGCGAAGCCCGCCGAGTACGTGCCCGGCCAGCGAAGGAAGAAGAAGGTCCGACGCGAGCGCACGTACACGGACAACAAGGGATTCGAAGGTTCGTCTCGTTTCGCACACGCACACGCACACGCACACGCACACGCACGCACACGCACACGCACAATGATTGATGCTGGAGGGCTCACATGACTCGCGCCCCGATTAGTCACCGAGGACGTGTGGGAGGAGGTGTCCGACGACGACACGCCGGCACCGGTCGCCCTGCTCTCCATCAAGGAGGAGGCCACCAAGAACGCGTACGTTTCCCCTCAATACCAATCCCAGGCAGCAGCGCCCGTGCATTCGCTAACTCCACCACGTTTGGTACGTTACAGCGAGGCCACCGCGAGTACGGCGAGGAAGAAGGGGACCACGCAGGGCAACATCATGAACTTCTTCGGCAAGAAGAAGTGACGCGCACTCTCATCTCCCCGAGGGCGCACGCAACGAGAGGCTATGGAAGCCTCGCTCGCCCTGGAAAGACGAACGAAACTCAGAACAAAAAAAAGTATCATCATTCTTTTTCATCATCATCAGCCCCACACGACATCAACCTCCCATCAGGAGTAGATGATGCGCGGGGCCTCCTGGTCCTTGCGGAAGGCGGGGTCCTGGATCTTGTCGAGCACCTGCCGGGCGATGTGCTTGAAGGCCTCGGCCTGCGGGCTCGACGGCTGCGAGACCACCACTGGCCGGCCGCTGTCGGAGGTCTCGCGTATGGTCATGTGCAGCGGCACCTCGCCCAGAAAATCCATCCCCATCTCCTTCGCCGTCTGCCTCGCCCCCTACTCCACCGCACACGCATGACCGCACGCGCCACCGCACACGCACGCACACGACACACACGCACCACACGGGTGAGCTGAAAGTGCGGACGACCGCACACGAAATGGTGGTGGGTGGGTGGGTGGTGGTGCCTGGTGGCCGAAGATGTGGGAGACCTCGCCGCACTTGGGGCAGGCGAAGTAGCTCATGTTCTCGACGAGGCCGAGGATGGGCACCTCCACCTTGCGGAACATGTTGGCGCCGCGGCGGGCGTCCTCGAGGGCGATGTCCTGCGGCGTGGACACGATGACCGCGCCCGTGAGCTGCACCCGCTGCGTGAGCGTCAGCTGCGTGTCGCCCGTGCCCGGTGGGAGGTCGATCACCATCACGTCCACATCCCCGTTGTTGTTCCACGCCACTGCTCGCAGCAACTGGTATTGTCGCGAGCGTGTGCGTGTGCGTGTCGTTGGTCGTGTCGTAAGAGAATGCAACTGCGACTGACAAGTGACGGGGGGCACCTGCTCCAGAGCGCCCATGACCATCGGGCCGCGCCAGATCATAGGCGAGTCCTGCCTCGCGCATTGCACGTTTGGAGCGGGGGTCAGAGTGGAAGGGCCGACTGAAACGAGAGAGAGAGAGAGAGAGAGAGTGGTGCGCACCTTTTCGGCGAGGAAGCCCATCGACATGCACTTGATGCCGTAGTTGGACAGCGGCAGCAGCTGCTGCGTGTCGGTGACCTGCGGCTTCTGCTCGGAGAGGTTGAGCATGCGCGGGATCGAAGGCCCGAACACGTCGGCGTCCAACAGCGCTGCACCACCGCACCGCGGCAGCACGCATCCATCAGTGTGTGCCCCATGGCATGGGGTGGCGCAAGTGGGTGCGTACCAACGCGTTTGCCGAGGGCGGAGATGGCGAGAGCGAGGTTGGTGGAGACGGTCGACTTGCCCACTCCGCCCTTGCCCGACGCCACCGCTATGATGTCCTTCACTCCGGGCAGCTTTATCCTGCCCCCCCCCCAAAGCCATCAGCTGAACCGCAATCTTTTCTTTTATGTCAACAGATTAAAGGGTGGGCGTGTGTACTTGTTGGGGAGCGGGCGGCCCTGGCCCTGTGGACCACCATGCAGCACCGGGCGCGACAGCTGCATCGCAGCGTACCCGCGCTTCTGCCAGCCCGCCACTCGAGTGCTGGCTGCGCCCACCACGCTCCTTCTCATCATCTTTCTTTTGTGCGAATATGCGATATTATTTTACTGCGTGACATTCTAGGCATTCCAAACGCCAGGGCGGGCACTTGCGCTGTTTCGTGAAGCGTCGTCGTGTACCACAATCGGCAGCGGAGGGCGGGAAGAGGGACCTCTTGTGCGGCTCGATGGCCTTACGAGGGGCTGGGAGCGGTGCTGGTAGTTAAACTAGTTCATCGACTTATCAGAACGAGAGTAAAATAGGGCCAGGAGGGAGACAGCGCGAGGAACTGCGCAGCCCAAGATACAATCGGGCGGTGGCCATAGAAGTTGGCACCCGCTAAGGAGTGTGTAACAACATTCACCCCCAGAGGTTCTCTCCAACCGGGCCGAGAGGGCCGGTCTGAGAGAGTTGCCTCAGAGGACCTGCACCATTGTTAGGCTGCGTTTCAGTCCTCCCCGCCTGTCAGAGCTTTCCCCTTCACCACCAGGCCTGGTTGACGCAATCACCCTCCCCCTCTTTTTTTTTGGGTGGTAGGATCAAGCAGTCAATCCATCACTGCTTTGGCCTGGCGAACTTGAAGATCTGCTTGTGTGGTCCTTGTTCGACGCCCAGGTTTCATTCATTTATTTATCGTCCCCCAGCTTGGTGATGTAGACGGCGAAGACGAGGTCGGAGGCGTCGGTCGACCCAAAGTTAGGCTTCTCGGCCACGATCCCTCCGTACATGTGCCCCACCAGCGTCGAACGGCCGGTCTGCGCAGGAGTGCAATGAAAAAAAAAGACACTCAATCAGAACTTTGAAAAAAGAGGCCTCTTCTAGGCTCAGGGGTAGTACCTTGAACGCCTTGAGCCGGGCCAAATCGATCACGTCCCCAACGAGAAGGGGCACATCGGGCAGCGGAACGAATGCTGCGTTGGTGCCGAGAAGCCCCGGCAAGAAGGACTTGGCGTGCACTCGCTCTGCGCGGTGGTGAGGGGATGATGAGCACGGCAGACAAGGCAGGGCGGTGTGTGTGTGTGTACATGCGGGCACACACCGCAGTCCAACGCACTACATCACACACTACACCACACTACAACGGAAGGTGGAGAAGCAAAAGAAGTGCGAGCGGCACGGTACCGGTCATGGTGCCGTCGGCTAAGCGAGTCATCGTGGAGACGACATTGACGAAGGGCGTGCGGATGTCTTGCACGATCTCATTGCAGTCCGTCACGTATGACAGACCCATCCCTCCAAAGAACGTGGTCATGTAGCTACCTGCAGGCAAGCGTTAGCGGCGGCGGGGGCTGGAGCAAAAGCACGGCACGGCGGCCCGTACCCGTGGCGTTGTCGTAGGTGACCATCGTGGCGCACTCGTACTGGGAAAACAGCTGCTGGTAGCCGTAGTTGGTCTTGACCTTGGTGCAGCAGAACGTGTGTGTGTGTGTGTGTGTGTGGTCTGGTGAGTGCGCGCTGGGTGCCTGGTGGGACAGACTTAGGATGTGGGAGTAAGGAAGACTTACATGGACGTGCGCGCCGTCGGGCATCGTAATGGCTATGGGGTACAGGAAGGGAAGCGAGTTCGAGGGCGTGAAGACGCCGCCGTACACGCTGATTCCGAATTCCTGGCCGCCGGGGAGCACCGCAGGGAGCACGTGTAAGTCGCGTCTGTGCCACTGCTCCACCTGGTTCCCCGTGGCATTGAGCTGCTGGAACTGCACCACCTGGAGCCCGCTCGGCGGCTCATCCACCACCTTGAACATCTTCACATGGAACCACAAAGCGCCAAGAAGCGCATACCCGGTCAGCACGACACTGTGGGCGACGAGGAGTGGAAAGAGGGATGCGATTCACCTTGATTGTGGGCGAGTAGGCGGTGCTTGAGTTTGGGGCGGGATAGATACCCTGGAAGTGGGCGCCCAGCACGGCGAAGTACCTGCACCGCGCGCGATCAAAGTGAGTGGGATGGGTGGAAGGGGCCATATTAGAGAAATGGAGATGATCATGAGGGAGGGAGGAAGTACCAGCCACCGAGCTTCTGCAATCCGCCACCAGAGAGCTGGAGCCGCGGTTCGCGCACGGACCGGATGGCGCTGGCCAAGAGCGTCGCGTTCTGCGCCATAACTGCGCGCACGGCGAGCGGAACGTCGATGGAGATCATCAGGTCGTGCGTGACGAATCCGCTCTGCGTGCGTGAGTAGCCGTAGCCGCCCACCACGTAGAGCCGATCGGCGTCCTGCATGTGCAGCGCGTTGGTGGCCTGCAGCGCATCGGCAAGCTCCACCGAGGGCAGATCGAGCACGCTGAGCTTCCAGCTCGCAAAGCCCTGGCCCGGGTCTGCACTGCGGCTCAGCCTCCAATCAACAGTTGCAGATTCATCTCTAAGAGGGTGGTCTTACCAAGGACGTGGAAATGGCGGTTCTGCTGCGCGGTCGGGAAGGAGTCGTTGGGCTGGAAGCCATGCAAGCCCCCGGTGCGGCCACCCACGAGGAGCCACCGCCCCGACGAGCCATCGAGAGCCCAGGCGAAGGATTGTAGCTTGGGCAGTTTCTTCGCTGCCATTACTGGATTCAGTTGCACATCGAACGGCACTGCCTCTCGAAGCGGCGGCAGGACACTCGGGCTTGGGCACACATGCTCGCCCCCGCCAGAATCGAGGTTGGCGTAGAAGGAGGGGATCACGATCAGCAAGCACACGGCTACCATTAACAGGCCGCTGGCAGCGGCCATCAGCAGCGCCCGCCACCCCTCGATCGGTGGGGTCCAGGCCTCCACATGCTCAACGTCATCGCGCAGCATCCACGGAGCATCTGCGAACAAGATTTGAAAATCTTTGCCACTGTAGCGCCGGTTGGATTCGTGCCCTCGCAAACACACAAGATTGGTCGGCTAGAAGATTCGGGCGAAGTCGGAGGGAAATTTCGAGCAGCTCAACAAAGAAGAGCGCCCGATGGTGCAACAGCGCTCTGAGTGCCGCTTTTCGTGCTTTGTTCTGGTAAGTTTCTGGGCTCATGTACGGCCTCGATGGCTGCAGCTCGCTTGTGGTTCGGCACACGCCACTGATTTTGAAGTACCTCCGCTTTTGACCTTGTGAGCTACCGTCCCCTTTCATTTCACCTCCAGACCGAAACACAAGCAACAGAGAGCACACTACAGCCACACCCAACGTACACTTGAGAACTTGCAGTGCGAGCGTACTCCGACCTACATAAAGAAAAGAGCTGTGCCACAACGCACACACAGATGAAAAGAAGCTTAGGAGCCCGCGCTGGATCCTTCCTACTGCTGTTGCGAGGCGCCGAGGCTAGCCCCAGCAGCAGCAGCAGCAGCGACAGCGCAGGCCACCCACAGACCACCCGCAAGGAGGCCCAGCCAGTCTGCAGAGACGAGCAGGAGGCCCGGAAGAAGAAGCTCGGAGCCTTCCGATCGTTGCCCGTCTTCAAGGCCTCGTTCCTCCGCACGGGCGGCCGCGAGAAGCCCGAGGCTACAGTAGGAGCCCACAAGGCCCAGGCGACGGTCGAGCGCAGGCCCTCGCTGCCCTACGAGAGCGACGACGACGGCGACGACAGCTACGCCGAGGACTACAACCACGACAGCGGCCGAGTGAACAGCCGAAGCCGCAGAAGAAAAGCGAGGAAGCCCACCGCCAACTCCAAGCGGAAGGAGGTGCGCCGCGAGGCGGAAGAAAGCGGGAGCGGCGACCGCGCCCCGACCGCGCGTGGGAAGGAGCTGCTTGAGGAGGAGGAGGAGAGCGACGAGACGCAGTCCTCAACTTCGAACGAATCAGATGAGGAGACGACCGAGGAATGCGTCGTCGTGAATTCCAGCGACGAGACTGACGACGATGACAGCGACGATGACAGCGACGCGGATGGATCGTCCGATGGTGAAGAGGAACGCAGAGTGTCGCGGAGACCATCGGAGGTGAAGGCGGAGGTCAAGTCGAAGCGCCAGCGGGCGCGGGAGCGGGAGAGGATGAAGGTGGAGGAGGAGAAGCGGCGGCAGAAGGTGGAGAAGCGGAAGCTGAAGAAGGTGGAGAAGCAGAAGAAGCGTGAGGGGCTCGAGGAGATGCAGAGGCAGATCCAACAGCTGCGCGAGGAGAAGGAGCTCAAGCGGCAGGAGGAGAAGGACCTCAAGGAGCTCCGGCGCATCGACAAGCTCCTGGCCAGGGAGCGCGAGCGCGAGGAGAAGAAGGTCCTCAAGCTGCAGCAGAAGGAGCAGCGCCAGCGCGAGAAGCTGCTCAAGCAGAAGCAGATGCGGGAGCTCATCCTGGCGCGGCTGGGCCGGCCCGCCGAAGTCCAGGCGACGCCGATCAACATCGACTCGCACTCCGTGCCGCGCGAGATGGAGGCGGTCTCCTCGGTCGGGTCGACCGTCACGTCGGAGCGCGAGGAGCAGACGACCCTGGCCACCGAGAGCCGCGAGGCCACCACCCTCCTCACGATGAAGGATTCGATGGCGCTCCTCGACGAGGTGGCCGCCGAGCAGGACGTGGAATCGGGTCGGCAGGTGGATGACGTCGACCTCGAGGAGAAGCAGAAGCAGATCGAACCACCGAAGGGCGCTGGCGAGGAACCTGAGCCTCGCGTCTACTCCAGCATTGTGGGCCTGCCGACTACTCGAGGGTCGGACCAGCAGCAGGAAGAGGTGCGCATCACGGTGATCGAGCGACGGCCTAGCATCCCGCCGAGGCAGATCGAGCCGGCCGAGGAGGAGACCGAAGAGGCGGAAGACGAGGACGAGGAGGATGGGAGAGGCAGGCGGGTGGCCAACAACCGAGGAAGGGTCACCGACATACCTGCGCTTCGGTTGACCGACAAGCCGTCGGCGGCCGCCAAGCGGAGCCCCAGGGCCAAGGCGAGCCACGCCTCGTCGGCGCAGCTCATCCGGGGCCTCATCGGCTTCGACGAGCTGGAGGACGCTCTGTTCGAGCTCAACCGGCAGGTGGAGGAGCTGCGCACCCTCACCAAATAGTTGGTCCTCTTCCAAACGAACCCTTGTACAGGCTCTCCCAACAAATACTAAATTGTACAGCATTCACCACAATACTACACAACACGATTGGGTGCTACTAGTCCCTTTTTCAGCTCTGCCCAACACTGATCGGCTGAAAGTTCCCCAGCCTATTTCATGAAGGAAGAGAAAAGGTGAAGGAAAAGAACGAAACTCGAATAAATAAGAAATCAAAGAAGAAAGGTGCTCACAAGATGGAGGCCACAGGAGATCAGCTGGAGCGATTGAACACGGAATTGGACGAGGCGCTGGTGTCTTACTTCGATCTGTTCACGGAGTACCAGACTCTCCATGCCGATCTTGGAAATCGTCTCAAAAACGTGCGCCCATCTCCACCACGTCGCGACGCGTAGCGCAGGAGACTCCTCCGAATCCTAACCATCAATCCCACACGGTGCAGGGCTGGTGGGAGCTCGGGCGATCACGCTACGCGATGGGGGCTGGTGTGAACACGCTCTCGCAGCGGCAGTATCCTGCCAGCATGACCGCCACCGCCCACTATCACGAAGCCGACCAGCACAGCGCAGAGGAAACATCTCCGCCCGCGAAAGGTGCCAGCACAGCCTTCATTCGTTCTGCTGGAGCCGTGCCCTCTTCTTACGTACCGCGCCGTTCTCGTGTCGTGGGCAGACGCTGGCGCGCAGCTGCACAAGCGTACCAAGGGCGCGGGTGAGAAGGAGCAGAGCAAGAAGAACAAGGAGCAGCAGCCACAACAGGAAGGCGATGGCAACGCGAAGGGCGAAGGTGCCGACACAACCGAGGCCACCAAGAGCGACAACGGCAGAGAGCGGTGGAAGGACCCCGTGAACTGGTTCGGGCTGCTGCCGCCTCCTTCCCTGCGAGTCGCCCAGTCCGAGTTCAAGTCTGGTACGCAGAAAGGCGTCCTATCCTTTCCACTTTGGCATTGCGCTCTGTGCTGACAGTGGCCACGGTGGGTTCGTGTTTGGAGCGGTGGAGGTGGTGTGCTCTCTGACGACGGTCAAGCGCAAGCTCCAGGCCAAGCAAGAGGCGTACACGGCCCTCCTGGAGAAGAAACAGCAGTTGACTGCACAGTCGTAGTACTACTACTACTATTCCTACATAACAAGCTCTTCCTTTCTTCTTCTTCTTCTTCGTGCTTCGCTGGTTCTCAAGAGAGGTGCGATTGAGCCGCAAGGGCGAGAGTCATGTATGTGCGGAGTGGTGGTGTACACTATGGAGAGGAGGCAGCTGGAGGCCGGCCACCATCGAGCACCGGGCGGACCGACGCACACGACCGAGTCCCAGCGTCCTCGTTCGTTGACGGCCATCCTTCCTCGGTAGGCCCAGCCTCGGCCGCCTCGATCCTGTCACAAGGGTGATGAAGGAAGAGAGACGAGGGCGCCACATACGGCGACGTCGGATCGCGAGAGCCGGCCGAGTCGCCGTATGTGGGTAAGCAGTGCTGCGGGGGAGACGAGGGCGAAGGGAGCGACGAGACTGCGGCGCCGGAGGAGGGCGGCGACAGCGAGAACGACGAGGTGGCGCCGAAGAGCTGCAGGGGCAGCGACGACGTCGAGCCGGTGAAGAAGGCCGAATCGGGCGAGTCGGTCATGCCGAACCAGTCGTTCGCCGCGTTCTGCAGCTGCTTGTGGTCGCTCGTCTTCCGCTTGCCGGTCTCGCCGTGGCCGTGGGTGATGCAACCCGCGTAGGGAGCAGCCAGGCCGAGGCCTAGCCCGCTGCTGATCGGGCTGGTGGAGCGTTCGCCGCTCTCGAGCCGCCTTCGCTTCTCCTCGCGCACGGCCGGCGTGCCCGCGGGCGACGGACCACGTCCGTCATCGTCGCTGGCGTCACCGGCGAGGAAGCTGGCGACGACGGCCGACGAGTCGTCGATGCTGCCCAGGTCGCCCACGTTCTCCAGCGAGGAGGACCGGCCGGGGGAGAAGACATGGAGCGACGACGTGGAGGAGGTGAAGGGCGATGAGGTGAAGGGCGAAGATGGCGACGACGACGACGACGTGCCGCCCACGACGCTGGCGGCCATGCTGGCGTCGGTTGGGCGCCATATTCCCTGAGGGAGCTGCAATGCAACGTGGTGCGAGGAGACCCAAGTCAGGTTACCATCGACGAATAGCGGTACGTGCGACGAGATGACGGCCTGGTGGGCCGGCGGGGGCTCAGACGGAATGAACCACGACGGTGCTTGAGGTGGCTGAGGCTGCGGATGATGATGATGAGGATGATGATGTGCGCCGGTTGCTGGTGGTGGTGTTGTAGAGGCGGCAGTGCTGCGTTGGGGGGGAGGTAGTGGTATTGTTGCGGGGCCGGGTAGTAGTGCGGCTGTGGCGGTGGCGAGCGGTAGGGGTAGCAGATGGCGGCCGCTGGAGCCCACTGTAGCTGTGGAGGCACTGGCGTGGGGCGAGGTGGACCGGTCGTGGTCGCTAAGTCAGAGTAGGAGTGAGGCGCGGGAGGCGCGGCATGGTGGTGGGATGTGGCGGCAGAAGATGATGAAGCCGAGGAGGATGGATTAGTTGCGAGGCGGGAGAGGAGGGACTCGACCATGCGCGACTGGTCGCCCCGCAGGAGGACGGAGCCGAGCGAGGGAGTGGGATCCAGGCTGGTCGAGGTGATCTCGTCCAGCGCGGAGAAAGTGGTGGACAGCTGCTTTCTCATCTTCTTCAGGAACGAGTGGGCGGGTGGCCTCTTTGCCTCTTTGCCTCGTTCACTCACGGGTATGCCGTCGACCGAAAGCGGTAGCTGTGCGCACTGGAGAAGACGCAGAAAGTCTGTGAGTTCCAGAGTCAGGCCCTATTATGCGGTTACGTTGCTTCACCTTCTTCTGCTGAGTGTGTGGCTTGTGCTGTCCACTGGCCTCCTCCTTCTCTTGCTTGTCTTCGCTCTCTCTGCGGCGACTGCTTCTTCTCGTGCGGTACAAGGTGTGTAGAGGAGGATATGGAATTGCACCAAATCGAGGTCGTGGATTGCCGCACGTGTGGCCCAAACACGAGCCCAGATGAATGTCCCAGACCCGCGGGTCGTGGCGGTGCTGGAATCCGCGAACCTATTTTGGTAAGTGCCGAATTAAACGGCTCTATTCGGGGCTTCGGCCGAGGAGCTGCTTTCTCTGCTTTTCGCGAGAAGTGGTGGAGACCACGGCCTCTCTGTCAGGGCGCTAGAGGAGCCCAGCCGCCCTTGATGGTGATACCTCCGTCGACCGGTATGTTCTGCCCCGTGATCCACCGGGCGCCTTCTCCGGCGAGGAAGAGCACCAGCGAAGCGACGTCGTCGGGATCGCCGACCCGCCCGAGCGGCCTGTCACCACCGGCGATCGAAGGAGGTCAAGCAACCAGACGTGAGTTGAGGTGAGGTCGGGGCAAAACGGGAAGACGAAATGGGGCGAGAGCCACGCACGTGTTGGATTCCACGTAGGTGAAGTCCGGTGTGGCCTTCCTGGCCAGCTCTGTGGCGATGGTGCCGGGGCTCACCGCATTCACGCTTTCGCACATAGCACAGTGAGACTAGCACCATAGAAGGAGCGGGATCTTCGTAGAGAAAAAGTACGATTGGAGGAAAGAAGGGGCCGAACCGGATTCCGTGGCGGCCATAGTCGCACGCCAGCTGCCGGGTGAGAGCCACGATGCCGCCCTTGGACGCGGCATAGGCTGAGGAAAGGACACCCGAGTGAGCGCACATCACGATGAAGTGGCAGCAGCGGGAATTCTCACCGGGCACGTGCGGCTGGCTGCTGATGGCCTGGATGCTGGCGTTGTTGATGATGGAGCACTGGGAGCAGTCATCCGACTTCTTGTTTTGTTCCATCATGTGCGGGATACAAAACTTGCACATCCAGAATATGCTCTTGAGGTTGACGTCCATGATCTGTTGACGCAGAGGAAGATGAAGAAGATGGCTCAGAAAAAAAGGGCACTGGGATGGGTCATGTGCTGTAACACATACGCTGTCCCAATGCTGTTCCTCGAGGAGGTGGATGGGCACTTGGGCGAGGGCTGGCTGAATCCCCACATTGTTGAAGAGAACGTCTATCCTGCCGAACTTGTTGATGGCTTCATTGACCAAGCGCTCACAGTCCGCTCCTTGGATCGTGCGTGCGGTGGTGAGTCGCACACGAAGGAACACTCCAGTGGGAATCGCACCCTGGGAGGCATCAAAGGGAACGAAGAGTATTCTGCTTGGGTCGTCTTGCCGCTGTTGAGCCGTGCTCCATTCTTCCAGGCTTCGGCCTGCTTCCTCGTTGGCGTCCTGCAAGAGGCAAGCAAACGTTGAGAGGTGAGAAAGAGCGGCTACAGGAAGAGAGGAGGGAGAGGGGGGGGGGACACGTACACCGCACACAACATAAAAGCCATGCTGGGCGAGAAGGAGGCAGCAGGCACGGCCAATACCTTGCGCTCCACCCGTCACGATGGCCACCTGCATTCCCCCGACACTCCCACTGAGCGACCAAGCCCACAACAGCCCCAGTCACTCACTCGCACCTTGCCTGCTGTGTCCATGGCGGAAGGATCAATAAATGATTTGTGACCAAGCGATTATTATTCCTCACGATTTATTCGCTCGGGTGGCGATCGAAGGATGTGTAGTGATGATATGTACAACTATGTGCAACGTGCTGGTCCTGCGGGAGACATATATCGTTGTCTAATGTTCAGGACAAGCGCATTGGGCTGCCGATTTGCTCGGCTTGTTGTAGGCGCAGCATCTTCTCTCGCCTTTCGCGTTTGATGTTCTCCAACCAGCGCTTGTTGTTAGCCTCTGCACGACAGAATGAATGAAGTCACAAGATGAAAGGAGAAAAGTGCACAATGTAAATTTCAATCTGGAAATACCCTCTTGGATGACCTTCCACTGATACTTGTTGTGCGATTTGATTCCCATGAAGGTGAAGAACACACCTCCCACCACAGCCGACAGGGGTACGATCACTTGTGCAATCTAAGCGAGTCACAAGTTAATCACCCGCAGCCGAATCAGCGCATAGCAGCAAAAACCTGGAACCACTTCGATCCACGCGGCCCTCGCTGCAACAACCAAGCCTTGGTGTTCTTCATCTTGTGGGAAAAGGTGAAAATGGATCCCCCTTGCCAAAATGTTGTGGGTTGCTAATCCTTGCGCAATCACCAACACAAATAAAAAAAAGAAAACAATTATTGGCCAAATCAGATCATCGAGCTTTGTGCAAAGGATGAGTGCCCACGCACAGGTGCTGGGTGAGCAGGAGGTACCGGTGGAGCTGGTGCGCCACATGCTCTCTTTCCTCGTCGGCCACGCCGATGACGACATAGCCCCGTGGGTCCGCACCACGTGGGCCGTGTGCCAGCTTTGGCGCTCAGTCAGCCTCGACCTTGTGCGCGACCACACTGCCCGCCTATGGTCATCCCTTCCCCCACCACACCCCGACCTCCGCTGTACAAGCCCCCCCAAAGCGCCAACCCGTTCCGCAATTCCTGACCGTGGCGCTGGTTGTTAGATGCAAAAGAGGAGAAGTGGGCGAGCAGGGAGCCCACGGGCACGGTCATGTACATGTGGCGGCGCAAGGACGGCAGGCCCGGCGCTCCGCCCGACTGGGCTGATCACCACCTCGTGGCCATCAGCGAAGCTCAGGACTTGCCGGTGTTTAGCAGCGATGATGAGGATGATGATTACGATAACGATCCATACTACCGGTCGTCCGTCAAAGAGGAGCTCCTCACAGCCGGGCAGATGTGGAGCAGGAGGCCCTGGGCCGAGCTCTTCACATGCTTTGTGAGCTGTGGCTGCTCGTCACAGGTACGTACCAAACCCTACAACCTGCACACTGCACAGTGCTGCATGTGAAGAGTAGTCGTTCACATGCATCACCTTTGAATGCCATCTACACGATGGTGCAGACCTTCGATGCCACAGATGGACCTGTGGCATCGGTGGTGCGGCTCCTACTGTTCGCCTCCGGCGCCAGGCCAGCGATGGCGCTCTACGATCAGTGCCAGGGTGGCGCTCCCACCGGTCCCTTCATCACAACCGACTACGCGGACGTCAAGCTGTTCATCACCATCCGGCCCTCAGCCGAGGCCTGGCTTCCCGTGTCTCCTGCTGCTGCTGCTGCTGCTGCTGCTGCTGCTGCTGCAGATGCTGGACACTTGGCTCGTGTTGTGTGCGTGCACTTCCGGAGCGCGCTGCGCTGCAGCCAGAAGGGCGCAATAGCCTCCTACAGGTGGAATTACGCTTGAGCCGGAGAGAGAGAGAGAGAGACCACAGACAGTCTGGTGTGCCCAACTATGTGTTAACAACAATAGAGATCCACTCCCTTTTAATTGCCGACGACGTTCACTCGCAAGTACCACCGGACAAGCAGATCGCTCACTGCTCCGTCCTGGCCTTCTTCAGGGCGACGTCGTCGCTCTTGGCACTGTCAGCGTCGACGGCAGACGGCATCTCGGCAGGCTCCTCCGCCGGCCGCTCCCTCTTGCGCTTGCCCTTGGTCTCTTCGCCCTCCGAGGTTGTAGCCGTGGCGGTGGTCGAAGCTGGAGACGATGACGACGGGAGAGGAACCTTCTTTGATCGGCCGAACACGCCCAGGTGGTGAACGGCCGGCTGCGCAGCGGTCGTGGCCGGCTTGTCCGTAGAGAGCGGGACGGGCTGTGCAGACGGTGGGCTGAACATCGCCCCGGCGTCCTTCACTGCCGCGTCCTCGGCATCAGCGTCCTTGAGCGCGTCGATCTGGTGATCACCCCAAAAGAAAGTGTTGAATATGTGTCGTGTGTCGTGTGTCCGGCACAGGTCCTCATGCGAAAGTTTTTACCTTCTCGCGCAGGTCCTCGAGGATGGCGCGCAGCTCGGCGATCTCTTCCGTGGCCGCTGGCGTAGCGCCCTCGGCCTTATCCTTTCCCTTGTCGCCGGCGGACGAGGCGACCTCACTCTCAAGCAGCGCGAGCTTCTTCTCGACGCACTCGGCGGCCTTGACGTGGGCGCTGCGGGCTTCCGCGTTTTGCTTCTCCAGCGAGTAGTCAAAGGCCAGGCGCGAGTACACCTCTGCGAGCAGTCGCGAGTGGGGTTCGAGGTGCGCCAGCCTGAGGGCGAGGGCCTGCTTGTGTTCCTCGATGGCCGCGGCTATGTTGTCGCTCTCCTCGTGTACCTCTGCCAGGCGCATGTGCACGTCGGCCAGCCGCAGGGCCTGGGCTTCGTCTTTCTCCCAGATCACGCGGGCTAGACGAACGAACAGTACCGCCGACCCAACGATTAGTGCCGCACTCACCCACGTAACCGAACACGACGCCACGCACCCGTGTCAAGCACCTCCCACGCAATCTCGAGGGACTCTTCGGCCGAGGCTGCACGCCGGGTGAAGATCAAGCGTCAGTCTTGAGAGCACGGGAGGCAGTGCTCAGAAGGGTGTGACGCACTCGCTGCAGCTTCTTCGTCTCCCTCGTCCTCATCGCCGTCCTCGTCGGCAGGCTCGCCGCTTCTCTCGCGCATCTTTCGCCGCATGATGGTCGACAGGAGGTCGACGCTCTCCTTCTTAGCGAGCCCAAGCATGGCCGTGCCGTACATGTAGTAGAGCACAGCCAAGCCAGGCGCCACTTCACCCTCCGTCTCGACCCTAAGGGCGACAACGGTTAAAACAGCGCCCTCAACGAACGAGGAAATGCTAAGCAGTTGAATCGGAGAGGATGGGGGACCTGGAAGCAAGGAGGGAGCTGAAGATGTCGCTGGCCTCATCGAATTTGTCTTGATTCAGAAGGGCCTTGGCCCTCTGGAATTCAGCATCCAGTTCTACTGACGGACTCGCTGTCGTGGTCGTTGCCGATTCCTGCGCCTCGCCTTGCATGATTCTGCCTAAAAGGGGTGTGCCAGCAAATCGGCCTTGATCCTTTCCCGCTCTTTTTTCGCGCCAACAGAAAGGCACAAAAAACTGGGCAGCGCAAGACAGCCAGCGAAAAGTGCTGGGAGGAGCTCTGTCGCCGACACCACCGCAGTGAGCAGCAAGCGAAGAAGATGGAAGCAGCAAATTGGCGTTCGCGTCGGTCCCCCGTAGTTGGCACTCGTGGCATTGTGTCATCCAGCCAACCGCTCGCCTCGCAGAGTACGTGAGCTCTTTGCTCTCCGGCCCAACCTTCACACGTCCTCGTTTTAGCAGCTAACCCCCATCTAGTTGGTATACAGATCCTCGAGAAGGGTGGCAATGCTGCCGACGCTGCCGTGGCCGTTGCCGCTGCGCTCAATGTACCTTACCACCTTGCTATCTCCGTCCCTGCTTCAGTCCTCCGCAGCGTGTAGACGTGGTCGCTTGTGGTGGTATGCAGGTGACCGAGCCCACGAGCACGGGCATTGGTGGTGACTGCTTCTGTCTGTTCTTCAACGCCGAGACGGGCGAGGTGCGCGGACTCAACGGCAGCGGTCGCTGCCCCGCGGCCCAGTCGGTCGCCAAGCTCAAGGAGCTGGGTGTCGTGCAAGAGGGCGCCAAGCATCTGCCCCGATACTCGCCCCACACCGTCACCGTGCCCGGCGCTGCCGCCGGTACCCAGATCGCTCGCAATCTGTGTTGCCTCTGTCGATACTGATCTCACATTTAGGGTGGATCGACACGGTGGAGACCTTCGGCAGCGGGCGCCTCACGCTGGCCGACATCCTGCAGCCGGCGATCGACATGGCCGATCGCGGTTTCCCCGTCTCGCCCATCACCGCTTACCATTGGGCCAAGGGCGTTGGCCAGCTCAGGAACGGGTACCGCTACTGCCCGCTCTCGCCAACTAACAACGGACACACCACCGTTCAATCACTGACGAGCCGATAACACGTTATTAGGCCGCATGCTGATGAAATGCTGCTGCATGGACGCGCGCCGGAGGCGGGCGAGGTGATGCGCATGCCCAACCTGGCCAACACGTTTCGCGAGCTGGCCAAGCATGGCAAGAAGGGCTTCTACGAGGGCCGCATCGCCGAGGAGATCGTACAGGTGCTGAGCGGCCTTGGCAGTCTCCTCACCCTGGACGACCTCAAGAACCACCGCTCCACCATGGACAAGCCCATTTCGGTCAACTACAAGGTGCACTCCCCTCCCGCCGCACTGGCACGCTCATGTCACGGTGTGGCGACGCTGATTCGTATCGCTGCGGCCCGGCAGGGAGTGAACGTGTACGAGATCCCGCCCAATGGCCAGGGCATCACGGCCCTGATGGCCCTCAACATGCTCAAGCAACTCGAGGAGCACACCATCCCGGACAAGCTCGAGCACAACTCGGCCGAGTACCTGCACACGCTCATCGAGTGCGTGCGGATCGCCTTCGCCGACACGCGGTACTACGTGGCGGACCCGTCGCGCGTGCACGTGCCCATTGAAGAGCTGCTGTCGGACCGCTACGCCAAGGCGCGGCTCGAGCAGTACTTCAAGCCGGACAAGGCCGCCGTCGACGTCGAGAAGGGCTCGCCCGCTTCGTCCTCTTGTACCGTCTACTTCTCGGTGGTCGACGAGCAGGGCAACGCCTGCAGCTTCATCAACTCCAACTACGTGGGATTCGGCAGCGGGATCATCCCCAAGGGTTCGTCTACAGTACTCGCGTGCTCCCCCACTCACCGGTGCATCATGAACGACCAGCGTGCGCGATCGGCGTGGAGTGACGCGTCGTGTGGTATCTGTTGTCGCTCCCACCAGGGTGCGGCTTTACGCTTCAGAACCGCGGGGCCAACTTTACACTGGAGGAGGGCTCGCCGAACATGCTGGAGGGCAACAAGAGGCCGTACCACACCATTATCCCCGGCATGGCCACGCACCAGGTTAGCCTGGCTACCCGCATGTCAACGTTCCCTTTGCGCTCCTGCCCTCTCACTGTCTGTCGCGCAGGTGAATGGCAAGGTCGAGCTCTATTGCTCCTTCGGTGTGATGGGCGGGTTCATGCAGCCGCAGGTACATGCCCTCGTCTCGCGTGAACTCGCGCGAGTTCATATCCCCTGACCCGTCTCGTTGGTCGTCGATCAGGGCCATGTGCAAGTGCTGCTGAACATGATCGACTACAAGATGAACCCGCAGCAGGCGGTGGACGCGCCCCGCTTCTGCATCGAGGACGGCACGTCCAACGGCACAGTGTCCATCGAGGAGGGCGTGCCCGAGGCGGTCGTGCAGCAGCTGGCTGACATGGGCCACCGGGTGGTGATCGTGCGGGACCACGACCGGGCCACGTTCGGCCGCGGGCAGATCATCTGGCGCCACCCCGTCACGGGCGTCTTCTGGGCCGGCTCCGACCCTCGCGCTGACGGCATGGCCATCGCCCGCTCGTGATCGCTCCGTTCAATCCCGGCCAGCTCGAGCGACAACAATAACGTATTCTTCTTATTCTTATTCTGCTGAGCTGACGAGGTGTCGTGCTATGCATGTGTAGATATGTACAACGAAGCGATGAGAGGCGCAGGATTGATGGCCACGACGCGCCTCGCTAGTCCATGAGGCCGAACAGGCCCCCGGACGGGGGGTCGTCGCTCCCGTCTTCGGGAAACGTGTCGCCTCCGCTGTCGGACCCGTCCTTCCTCTGCCTCTTCTGCTTGGCCCGCCTGTTCTGGAACCAGATCTGGACGCGCTTGATGGAGATGCCGAGCTGGGTGGAGAGCCGCTGCTTGGTCCTCCGGCTCGGCAGAGGGTCGTCCAGGTAGGCCGCCTCGAGCACGTCGAGCTGGCTCTGGTTGATCCGCTTCCGCTTCACCGCGTCATCATCATCGTCGTCGCCGTCGCCGAAGCTGGCCTCGGCGCGGCGGCGCGGGGTCGGCTGAGCGCTGCCGTCTCGTGTTGCACCGCCGGCAGTGCGAGGGGGAGGACCCAGGTCGGTCAGCTGGCCGTATTGGTCGTCCAGCCTGGTCCGCTTACGCGACGCGGCCGTGTCGCTGGCGTCGCCGGTCGGGGCCGGCCCCGCATTGGAGCTGGTGCGGCCCGTCACTGGACAGTCGTCGCGCGACCCCCTGCTGCGCTTGGTACCGCCGCTCTCTTGCTTGACGCTCGTCCGTGCCCGCTTGCCCGATGTCGATGTCGTCGAGGCCGCCGACGAAGACAACGACGACTGCGCGGGGGCGGTGATGATGGAACCGAGGGGCGTGGTGATGTACGGCAGAGGCGCCACCGCGAAACCCGGCGGCAGCTGCTGCTGTTGCGGAGGCTGCTGCTGCTGGAGTAGGAGGAGGAACTGCATGTACTGCTGCATCCGCGCCTGGTAGTCGGTGGTGGCCGCCGCCCCCGCGGGGGCAGCCATCGGCGGCTGCTGCGATGCGGCCAAGGCGGCCAGCGTGGCGGCGTAGTCGGGCGGGGGCAGCCCCGGGAAGCCGGGCACGGCGAGGGCCGGCAGGGGCACGCTGCTCGTCGGAGTCGGCTTGCCGGCGGTGGTGGCCCTGGCCGCGGCGGCGCTCGAAAGTGGTGGCGGGTTGGGCGAGCGCGGGGGCGACGACCTGGCCACCTCGCCGGGGCGCTTGAGGGAGGTGAAGGCCGACGTGACCGACGGCGTGAACGAGAGGCCGCCGCCGCCGCTGTGTGCCTTGGGCAACGGGAGCTTATGGGCTGTCGTCACCGCGCGCGGGTACGTCGGGTCTGGGATGTGCGGTGTCGGCGCCGGCGCCTTCGTAGCAGCGGCAGCAGTTGTAGTGGTAGACCCTGAACTGGAGCCCATGGCCGCCGCACCCTGGCGCTGTGGCTGGGGCTGTGACTGGAGCTGGAGAGTAGCGGGATCGACGCCGGCGGGCATGGCGGTGACAAGGGAGGCGAGGAGCGCCTGGGGCGAGATCCCCGAGAAGGCGGCGACCTGCAGCAGATGCGGCAGCGACGATGACAGGTCCTGGACCAGCGCCGAGAGACCGGGCGCGCTGGCGGCGGGTCCAGCAGCGTTGACGAAGCCGGGGAAGGAAATTGCCGTCGGCGGCGGAGCTCCTCTTTGGGAGTTTGCCGACACCCCGGCGGAGCTCTCCTGGCGCTGGTGATGTTGAACGGCCCGGCCCGACGACGCCGATGACGATGACGGTGGTGGCTTGGTGCGAGTACCGGTGCTTCTGGTGCTGCGCGACGAGCGGTTGGTGATGTCGACTACATCGTTGGCGGATGATGATGATGGCGATGCGCGGGTCGCCGGGCGTCGGGGCAGCTGGTGGTGGGGCTGGGGCGGTGGCGGCTGGAGGGCGGGGTCGAGGAGCTGGTGCAGGGTGGAGAGGATGATGTCCTGCGCCGGGATGCGACTCGAGGCGGTCGTCGTAGATGTCGGGGCAGCAGAAGATGCGGAAGATTTGGCGTAGTCGCTGGCGGTGGTGGTGGTCGTTGTTGTTGTTGGCAGCATCCAGGCCACGGGCATCGTTGATGCCGAAGAGGAAGGGGGTGTCATGATGCGGTCGAGCCCCATCGCCTGCGTCGTCGTGGCCCGCTCTTGCCGCTGCTGCTGCCGGCAGTTGTCGCCGTCGTCGTTGTCCGCCTCCCTGCGACGAGGAGATGAAGTCGTTAGCAAAGAACTTCGGGAGAGCCGGTGGACCCACCCGTATCGCAAAAGTAATATATTTTGGTGATGGTGGCGGTTGTCGTTGGCGTATTCCGTGTTGTGATGCGCTGCGGGTGGTCGTGTCTGCGTTTCGGCCGGGGTGTGTAGAAACGTACTCTTTGATTAGCTTGTGCTTGCGGCGGCCCCAGGGCTCCATGGTGCTGCGATGAAGGGGAGATGCTGAAAGAGTGGGGAAGATGTGCGTCATGGAGGGACCACCGATCCTATGAGATGAATGAAGCAAGGCCCTTCCGTAAAACAAGAAAACAGGCCTGCTTGCAGTTTTTCCTTGTTCTTCTTCTTGCTCGTCGTCCAGACCTTGAAGCGGCTTGGCTGGGAGCGGCACTTCTTCCTCTGCGGTTGGTGACTGAATCTTTGGCGAACCTAAGTAAGTTCCCGACGGCTGTGGAGTTTCGCACGCGTGTCGCTGCCCGACTGGTTGAGATCATCACCAAACCGGCAACTATTTACTCGCTGATATTACCTAATGCTAATTTATGTCGACAATTGTATTAATCCAGGCATTAATCACGGTAATGACCGCCAATGATGGCACACCATTATGGCCTGCGGCGTCTGCCACAGCTGCGCAGAACACCCTCCTTCTCGTGAATGTTGACCAAAGAGAAATGACGCAAGAAATTTTAATCAAAAAGAAATTGCCTTTGTAGTTTTTGAATTTTTTTTTCGCCCATACGCTCCGAGATGAAGCGCGCAGCGCGAGCTCCGGTTTCGCTCTGCTGGCCGGTACGTTGTGCGTGGCGCTGCAGCGACAGAGGCCGCGTGTCTAATCTCCTCCCATCTCCAGATTTTGCACGGACGGCACAATCTTCACATGCCACAGGGGCGATTTTTGCTCAACATGTCGCCCCATGGCTGCCAGACAGCGCTGGGTGTCTATGCAAGCTCCCCTGCTACTCCACTTCGCCGGTTCTCCCTTCCCGGTACGTTTCGCTTTTGCATTTAATCACGTAAAAAAAAACAAAACACTCACGATTGCTTCCTGTTGCTCGTGGGTACGCCAGGCACCCAGGAAGACGGGCTGTCGATGCACACCACAATGAACAAATCCATACAAAAGCGGTTGGACCACATGAAGCACCAGTTCGATGACCTCTCCGCCACCCTCCAGACCAACGAGGCGGTACGCACACGACTGCTTGTGTCGTGAGGGCGTTCACCGGCGCAGCTCACAGCGCTCACTCCCCGTCGTCTGGTGCTGGCGCGCAGCTGTCTCCGGAGGAGCGGGGCATGCTCACAAAGCAGCTGCACGCTCTCGACCCCGTGATGGGCATGGTGCGACGGATTGAACAGCAGCGCGAGGAACTGCGAGAGCTCCACCAACTGATGGAGGAGAGCAAGCAGACCCAAGACAAGGTCCGAGATGTCACCCCATCGCCAGCCGGACATGCCTCGCTCACTTTATCGCCTTCTTTGGCACACACACACAAACACACACGCATCGACAGGAACTCGGAGCGCTCGCCGAGGAGGACTACAAGCGAATCCTCGGGGAGCTGATGGACCTGGAGAAGGAGCTCGAGAACGAAATCATGCTCGGTACCCTACCATTGCCTTCGCTGCTGGCTGGTGGTGGTGGTGGCTGGCGGCTGGTGGCTTGTGGTGGTGGGGTGCTTGTCGACGCTTCCTGACCTCCGAGGGTTGGCGGTGCAGAGCTACTGGGCAAGGACGAGGCGGACGAGAAGAGCGCCATATTGGAGGTGAGGGCCGCAGCCGGCGGCCAGGAGTCGCAGCTCTTCACCATGGAGCTGTTCAACATGTACAGCGCCTACGCCGAGATGAAGGACTGGGAATGGGAGACGCTGGCCGTCAGCGACAGCGAAGTCGGCGGCTACCGGGTACCTACCACCCCTCTTTCTGATGTCATTGCACCTCATTCGTGCTGACGCCTGCCCCGCTGCTCCGCTACACCGTGGCCTGGCCTGGCCTGGCCTCGTGCGCGCACTCAGGAATCGAGCGCCTGTATTACGGGCAGGGGCGTGTTCGGTCGCCTCAAGTTCGAGACGGGCGTGCATCGGGTGCAGCGCGTGCCCGAGACCGAGACCCAGGGGCGAACCCACACATCGACGGTCACCGTCGCCGTCTTGCCCGTGGCACAGGAGGTTCGTTACGCGCAGCTGCCTGGCCCGTGCTACTGCCCCCCCCCATACTAGAGATACACGTGGCTTACTCCTGTGTGTTGTGTGGTGACAGGCCGACATTCAAATCCTGCCCAAGGACATTCGCGTGGACACGTTCCGGGCGTCCGGCCCAGGCGGCCAGCACGTCAACAAGACGGACAGCGCCGTGCGCGTCACTCACGTGCCCACCGGCATCACCGTCTCCATCCAGGACGAACGATCTCAGCACAAGGCACCACACACACAACACACAGCACACAACATACAGCACACAACACACGTAGCTCACGTCTTTGTGTTGGCATGGCGCCCCTGCAGAACAAGGACCGGGCGATGAAGATCCTGCGGTCGCGGCTGTACGAGATCGAGCGCGAGCGGCTGGCCAGCTCGCGCGCCGACCAGCGACGGAAGCAGGTGGGCACCGGGGCGCGCCACGAGCGGATCCGCACCTACAACTTCCCGCAGAGCCGGATCACGGACCACCGGTGCGGCCTCACCGTGCACGACATCGAGAGCATGATGCAGGGCCACCACCTCGACACCTTCATCGACGCCCTCGTCGCCCACCACTCCGCCGAGGCCCTCAACTCCATCGACCTCGACTCCTTCTGAACCAACATTACACTCTGCATTCTTGGAATTCCAGAAAACAATTAATTTATTCTCGGTCGACCCGCAAAGAGGGGTCAAGAGCTCCTCCTTTGTTTTGGGGAAGAAGCCTGGACTGCTCTCTCTCTCTATCGTCGTCGCCGAGTTTCGCAGCGAACCGCGAAGAGTCTACTTCAGACGAAGACGTCAACACAGCCAACAGACCAACAGACATAAGCAGCAGCAGACATGTCTTCGTCGTCGGGAGATGAGAGTAGCGACCACCACGGGGAGGAGGAGGTGGTGGCCCAGGCGCCACCGGCAGAGGTGGAACAGGAGCAGCAGGAGCAGGAGGTGGAGGTGGAGGCCAAGAAGATGGATGAGAAAGAGGAAGAGGAAGAGGAGGAGGCCAAGAAGAAGAAGATGGAGAAGAAGGCGAGCTCGAGCTCGAGCTCGAGCTTGCATGGAGAAGAAGTAGAGGAGGCGGCGGCGACCCCGACGTCGCCGCGCAAGTCGCCCGCAGCGCGACGACCGCTGGGTCCAGCGGCGACGGCCACCGCCGAAGATGACGACGCAGCCAAGGGGACCGACAAGAAGAAGAACAACAAGAAGGCCACCGCCGCCAAGAAGGAGAAGAAGGTGAAGGAAAAGAAGGAGAAGCCCGCGAAAAAGGAGAAGAAGAAGAAGGCCACAAAGAAGAAGGAGGAGGGCGATGAAGAGGGTGGCGAGGCCACCACCAACAAGAAGAAGAAGAAGACCAACCGCTTCACGTCCTTCTTCCGCCGGAAGAAGAAGTCGACCGACGAGTCTGGCGAGACCACCAACAAGAAGAAGAAGAAGACCACCACCACCAAGAAGGTACTACGCCAGACCAGCTTCATCATCGTGTTTTTATTTCCATTTGTTTTATTTTAAAAAAAACCCGAGTAGAAGGCGGAGGCGGACAAGGGCAAGGAGGAGGGCAAGGCCAAGAAGCCGGCCTCTGGCGCCTCGCCCGCAACACAGAAGAAAGGTACCACCCACCTGCACCACCACCTCTGCAATGAGCGAAGACGGTCGTCGCTTTCGTTCTTTTCCTTCGTTCTTTATGTTGTGCCCCCCTCCCCTCCCCACGTCGCTGACGCCACCACGACGTGACACACGACACAGCGGCGGCGGCGGGCAAGGAGGTGGAGAAGAAGCCGGCGGTGGTCGTGGCGGTGTCGGCGGGCGGGGACTGGAACGACGACCCGGTGTCGAGTGATGACGACGACGGCGGCGCGGCGCCCAAGCTGAGCGGCTCGCACCCGGCCAAGCGCATACCGGACCTCAACCGCGCGGGCGAGGTCGACGCCGAGGCGCAGACCAACCCCACCTCCATGTTCCAGAAGAAGCCCGAGATGGGCGCCCTCATGGGCCGCAACATCGCCCTCGAGCTACGGGTACCGCACACGCACACACCGCACACACCGCACACACCGAACACGCACACGCACCGCACACACGTGATCGAGCCTTAATGATTGAATGGTGTGGTGTGGTGTGGTGGTGGTGGGTGGGTGGTGGTGGCGCAGGCCAAGAAGGAGACGGGGCTGATCGCGCTGAAGAAGGTGGAGGCGGACGAGGGCAAGAGGAAGCAGCAGCAGCAGCAGAGCGCCGAGTCAGCGGCCATCACCGAGAAGGTGCAGCTGCGCAAGGTCGAGCGACCCAGCGCCGCCCCCAAGAAAGAGGCATCCTCGGTACCCCCCCACACGGCCTTTGGTGGTTTTGCGATAGGCGTGTGCGGTCGTGCGTGTGCGATGGCGTGTGCGGTGCGATTGAGCGACGACTCACGGTCATGCGACGTATATGGTACACGCGCGCGCAGGGTGGTGCGCCGTTCAGTGGCGTGACGCTGCGCAAGGTGTCGCAGGACCCATCGCAGGCGCCCAAGGGCGGCAACGCGGCGACCGACTCGTCCGGCAAGAGCAGCCCGTTCCCCGTCACCCTCCGCAAGGCCGAGCAGAGCCCCATCAGCGAAGCCGAGAGGAGACGCGTACGTGGCCCTCTCCCTCGCCCGCGCCACACACCGCACAGCTCGCCACACTCACGCGTGTCATCTCTCTGTCGCGTCGCACACAAAAGGACGGCCCTCTGCCTCGCGTGGTGGTGGGCAAGAGCGGCAGCGCGGCGGTCGTCCCCACGACCGCCCCCGCCCTGGCGAAGGAGGTGGACCATGCGGCCGACGAGGACGACGATCACAAGGAGAGCGGTGTGTCGGAGGCCGCGAGCAGCACCTCCGACGACGACAACGAAGAGGACGGAGAAGCGGCACCGTCGAGCGAGGAAGAGGAGAGCAGCTCTGAGGAGGAGGAGGAGGAAGATGAAGAAGACAGCGACGATGATGAGGAGGAAGAGGAGAGTTCGAGCGAGGAGGAAGGGGAGGGCCGCGCAGCTCGCGGCAGCGATGAAGAGGGTGAGTCCTCCGAGGAAGAGGGGGAGGGAGAAAGTTCGTCGAGCGAGGAGGAGAGCTCGGGTGACGAGACGGCGGAGAAGGCCGACCACGCTCCGCCGCAGAACGAGGAGGCGAAGGGCGGGGAGAAGGACGACTCGGAAGAAGAAGAAGAAGAAGAGGTAGAAACGGTTCAGCATCCCCCGCCGCAGATAGAGGAGGCAAGCAAGGGAGCCGCAGAAGAGGCGCGCATCGCGGAGTCAGACTCAGATCGTGAGGAAGAGGACAAGCAGCCTGCTGGGACCTCCTCGGATGATGACGATGGCAGCTCCAGCAGCGACAGCGACGACAGCTCCGCTTGAAGTCACAAGGAACGTTCGAATTGTATGACTAGTGACACCCAACCTGTGAAATAGAACGTTGTTGATCATGCACACGATCAGCTGGGACGCCGTACGTCTACGTGGTCGTTGTAAGGCGTGGCCAGCGTGCGCGTGTTGTCGCTGGCGGTAAGGTAGTCGGAGCCGGCTCGTCACAGCAAAGGAGGTTCGACGAGGCAGGAGGGACGTTGTGCGCAAGCTTTGGGTGTTTGTTGTTTTTATGGTGACGACTCGCAGAGAGCGGGGCTTGCGCCAGGGAACAGAGTGGGATGAGCTTAGGCGACGACCTTGTCCTTCTTCCTGATGCCCATGAACTTCTCCTTCTCCTCCTTGGTCTGGAAACGACCGTGACCGAACTTGGAGGAAGTATCGATGAACTTGGGGGCGATCTTCTCCAGCTGCCACCTCTTGGTCGGGCGGAGGAGGGCCTTCCTGATGGTGATGACGCGCTTCTTGGGGCCAATGACGGCACCCTTGATCATCAGGTAGTCCTCGTTGACCTCACCGTAGTGGGGGAAGCCACCCATGGGGGTGATGCTCTTCTCAGTAAGATCGAACTCGGTCGAGGCGTTGTTGTGGACGATCTTGCCACCCTCCTGACGTACGCCCTTGCCTAGAGATGGAAAAAATCGGAAGTGAGTACGAGTGGAAGGTCGCAGGAAGAGATGAAGGTATAACGAGGAGAGGATGTTTCGTGTCAGACGAAAGATTGTGATTGTTTGCCTCCATGGTGGAGTCAGATTGTTGGGACCTCAAGGGTCAATTCATCACGCGTGAAACGGCCTCGAAGTAATGTGATAAAGAGAAATGGGCGGAGGGGAGGCAAGAGAGGAGGGCTGTCGTACCGATCCTGTAGATCTTCTTGTTGAGCTCAGTCCTGTGGTGGTAACCGTTCTGACCAGCGCGGGGCACAGACCACTGGACGGCAGCCGGATGCCAGGCACCGATACAAGCCACCTTCCTGAGACCACGATGGGTCTTGCGGGGAAGGCGGGTGACGCCCCAACGGGTGGTGACGCCCTCGTAACCCTTACCCTTGGTGACGCCGATGGTGTCGACGAGCTCGGAGTCGCCGAAGACGTTGTCGACGGGCACGGGCTTCTCGAGGAGGGAGACAGCGAAGTCGACCTTGTCGGCGATGGAACCACCGTTGACCTGGATCTCCATGATATGGGCCTTCTTCTGCCTCTGGTTGAGCTTGCGGACCTGGGTGTGGGCGATGACGCGCACGACGGTGCAGTACTTCTTCAGGCGGGCAACCTCACGGTCGAAGACGCGGGCCTTGTTGGCGGCGAGGGCCTTCTGGTACTTGGTGAAGGCCTTCTTCTTCGAGCGGTACCAGTTCTTGTAGAAGCGGCGGAGGCACTCAGCCGACAAGTGCTGAGCCCACACGGTGGTGAGGGTGCGCATGCCGCTGGGGGTGTCGATGTAACCGACGATGCCGACCACAACCATGGGAGGGGCCTCGAGGATCGTCACGGCCTCCACGACCTCACGCTTGTGCATCCTGGAGCCGGGCTTGTCGAGGTCGCGCACGACGTGGGTCATGCCGGCCTTGTAGGCGAGGAAAGCCGTAAGGTGGGGCTTCTTCGAGGCATCATCCTTGGGGAAGGTCTTGCACTTTCCGCGGTGCCTGGCGGCGCGCTTCCTGGGGGTGAAACCCAGCGAACCGTGACGGGGAGCTGCGCGGAGCAGTAACAAGATTGATCAGAACACAGATCTCGCGTGCGAATGTTGAGATTAACAGTAGATGGAGAGGGGACGCACCGGAGAACTTCCTGTGCGACATCCTGCGGACGATAGGGGGATGGAGGAGAGAAAAAGAGAAAGAACCAAAATGCTCCCGCGCCGGCTAAAATGGTGGATTGGACGTGTCCGCAGAAATAAAGAGCGCCACCTTAAGATGGCAAAATGAGAGAACAAATTCTTCCTTTTTTCTAATCACACACTACAACACGTTCTGCCTCTTTCCTCGCCTTCCTCTCGGCCTCCGGGCGCACTCTTCCCACGGCCACTTACCGTCTCTTGAGGGCTTTCTTTGTTGGGAGGCCTTTCCATTAGACCTTCTGGGCGGAGAACTGAGGGATGTCGAGGTCGTGGACCTCCGCGAGGGCCTTCAGCTGCGGCCCGCCGGTGATGCCCCTGTTGCCGGACAGCTCCACGGAGCGGATGACCTGGTTCTCGGTGAAGAGCTCCTTGAGGTTGCTGTGGATGGAGATGAGCGCGTCAAGAGGTAAGCGCTCGCGTGTCAACGCAAGAAATGAACGGGCTCAGTAGTCGAAGGAAGGTGATCGTAGTCGTACCTGAGGGCATCGTTGCCGATGAGGTTGTAGCTAAGGCTGACCTGGGTGACCGACGTGTTGGCCTTGAGGGCGTCGAAGATGGCCGCGGCGCCAGCGGTTCCGATCTTGTTGTTCTGCAGCTTGACGACAACGAGCGAGGGGTGGGTCTGGAACACCTTGGCCAGCTCGAAGGCGGCTTCGTCGCCCAGCTGGTTACGGTTGAGCGACAGCCTCGAGAGCTTCTCCAGCGAGGAGAAAGCCTGAGCAGCCTCCGTGAAAGAGCCAGAGGCGCCTTTTTTGTTGAGAGAGCGCAGGGTCAGCAGCCAACACAGAAATAGATAGGGCGGATCTCCAACAAAACTTGGGCAGGCCTATGGGGTACCGGTGATCTTGTTTCGGGTGAGGGTGACCTGCTCCAGGTCGACGTTGTGCTTGAAGACGGCAGCCAATCGCTGGAAGCCCTCATCGTCGATCTCGTTCCTGGCAAGGTTGAGCACCTTGATGTGCTTGTGGGTCGAGAGGGTCTGCGATCGGATGACGAAAGAAAAAGCATTCGTGTCAGGAAGGCGCGCACAGCTTTACCGAGCGACTCGTGTGGGTACCTCGGCCAGCTTGCTCACGCCCTTGGAGCCGATTCTGTTGTTGGACAGGTTGAGCGAGACCAGGCCGGGAACAGCCGTAAGGAACTTGGCCACGTGCGCGGTCTTCTCGTCGTCCAAATCGGTGCCCGAGAGCGAAACACGCTCCACCTGATAGCAGGATAGCACGCGCGCATTAGTTAATTGTGCGCCGCCAACATTGATTCACCCCCCCCCCGGGTTGCGGGGTTGAGGCGGGACGTGAGTGAGTACCTCCTTGTGGTTCTCGAAGAGGGTGCGGAGGATCTTGAGCAGGCCAGTGGAGATGTGGAGGTCGTCCAGGTTGAGCACGGAAATGCTCATGCTGCGCACACGAAGAAGAAGAAGAAGAAGAAGAGAGAGAGAGAGAGTACTATTAGACGCGCTCATGATGGTCGGGGCGTGCGTGCGTCACGCGGTGCCATACCTTCCGCAGAGGGAAATGACGCGGGGGTCGGGCCTGATCTGCTCCTTCCTGCAGAGGGCGAGATACTGCAGGTAGAGGACCTTGCCCTGCATCAGGGTCAGCCAGTCGTTGCGCTCCTCCATGGTCTTGGCACCGACGATCAGCTGTTGTCGGGAATAGAACCGGATGTCAGCGACTAACGTACGACAACACAAAGAGGCGATTCATGGCGAGGCGCACCTCCTCCCTGTCGGTGTGGTCGCCATTCTCTTCGGAAACGGCGATCTTGATGGTCCACGCCTAGACATCGGGAAAACAAACAGGCACCGCAACGTTTAGTCTCGCGTCATCGCCACACGCACTCGTAGGCATATATGGGTATGTAAAAGCGGTTGTGTCAAAACGACGACGACAATATGAAATATGAAACATAAAAAGGAGTCTTACGAGACTCGAGTTACTGCCTCTCTTGGCCTCCTTCTCGTCCTTCTCCTTATGGTCAGCGAAAATAAAGTAACGGTTGGAAATGGCCACACAGGCGTGACGAATGAAGACCCACCCAGCCCACCCACCCACCCACAAACACACGCACACACCGCACGCGCGCGTACCGGCTTGCTGTCGGCATCGTCGTGGCCCGAAACGACGGCGTTCTCCAGGGACACCTCGCCCTCGGCACCGGCGATGTCGTCCTGCTCCTCCTTCTTGTTGTAGTAGTATAGGGTGAACCCTCGGAGCACGAACCACCTCTTCTTCCAGCGCTTGCCCTCCACCTGCGCCATCAGGTAGCCTCGCTTGTCCACCACCTCGTGGAGCTCGTTCACGGCATCCTTGACGGAGAGGATACGCAGCATGGTTTGGTTGGTGCCCTTGAACTGCTTGCCCAGGATCTCGACGGCCTCGGCCCTGAAGAAGAAGACCACCACCACCACACAACATGCATCAGCACACGCTCTGTCGCAATGTCGGGGCTGCGCGGATGAGTCTTGTACATGTCCTTGTCGACGGTTTCGTTGACGATGCTCTGCACCTGCTCGGCGAGGGAGCGCCTGTCCTCTTCGATGTTCTTCTTTTCGGTTTCCTCTTCCTCCTGCTCCTGCATTTCCTTCAGGCGGAGGTGGAGGGCGTTGACATGCTCCCGGAGCAGCGCGTTGAACCGGCTCAGGCTGGGCGTGGAGCCCATGATGCCAGCGTTGAGCAGAGCGGTGGGGCCTTGTGGGAGCCAGGACATACCGCCCTCTTGCATCGCCTGCGCAGATGGCAAAAAGGGACATAGAGAGAGAGAGACGCGTTAGAGAAGGGCGAGTGAAGTGTGGATGCGGTGAACGATCGAATGCGGGGGGGGGGCACGCACGTCGATGAGCTCGTGCTTGCCGGCGAGAAGGTTGAGGTTCTCCTTGATGCGCTCGTTCTTGGCAGCCTCCTCGGCAGCGAGCTTGGCCTTGAGGTCTTGCTGGACCTCATCGGAGACCTTCGCGATCTGTGCCTTGAGCGTTTCCTGCTCCTCCTTCGCCCTCGCGCTGGCCGCCTCCTGCTCGGCGAGAATCTGGGCCTCCAGGCTCCTCTTCTGCTCCTGCAAGTCGGCGTAGAGCTCCTCGAGGCTCTTGATCTTCGTCTCGGTGGCCTCCAGCTCCTTGTCCTTCTGGCCCTTCAGCTCGTTCAGCTCGGCGGTCTCCCTCTGGAGTCTCAGCCTCTCCTCCTCCTCCGCGGCGAGCTTGGCCTTCATGTCGGACATCTTGTTCTCCTTACCACGCTTCTCGTTGGCGAGCTTGATGCGCTCCTGGTTCGAGGTCCACGAGTGGTAAAAGAGCGAGGAGTACAGAACGACGGACCTCTCGTCGGGGTTGCCTGACATCAGATCGGACACCTCGAGAAGCTTAGGAATGCCCAGCTTCTTCTCAGCCACGTCGAAGATGAGGTTGAGCCTGTCCTCGGTGTTCATCTGCAGAGCGTGGAATATTTAACGTCGGGCGTGCGAGATGCCCGCGGGAAGTGGAGCGGTGCCACGAAGGCCTAGAGAGAGGGCGGTGCAAGGTGGGAAGGCGGGAAGGTGGAAAGGTTACCCTGCTGGCAGCGGCAATGTCCAGGAAGTCGGGATCGAAGCGATCAATGAGCGCAGCCCACGCCATGCCGTTGTTGAAGCTGGAGGGGAGGAGGAAATGCGTTTGGTATGAGTTTGAGCGGTAGCTGGGGTGGTGGAGGAGGAGGGGCGGTTTGCAACCTTTCCTTGAAGGAGGTAACGGGCACGTCATAGTCCTTGGTGAGCTCTCCAATCCACTTCAGGAGGTCGTCCTCGGGCTTGCCCTTCTTCGCGCCGGCCTTGCCCTCGGCTTGCTCCAGGCTGTCGCCAATGCTGCCCAGAGAAAGCTTGCGGAAGCTACTCCACAGCAGACCCAACACGAGCATCAAGTTGCCATCCGCCAAATCTGACCAATTCAACGTTGGGACAAAAAGAAGCCGCCAATGAGAGTTGGACTCTGGAGATGTTGTTTGGGAAGGGAGGGAGAGCATGGGGGCGAACCTTCAGCGCCAATACCGACCAGCCTAATCTGGAGATCGTTGCTGATGAACTTAATGGCCTTGGAGCAGTTTTCAATATTCTGAATGCGGTTGGTGGGTTCCTTCTTGAAGGGACCGACGGGCTTCTCGGTGACCAACTCCAGAAATTGGAGGAGCCTGACGCCATCAGTGATGTCGTCCGGCAGTGTGGTGATGGGCGGAATTGAGGCCCTCGCGAGGTACGTGTTAATCCACGCACTCAGACCCTGCACATTCGAAAATAAAATCCCCATTCAGCCGCATGTGGGTTGAGAGAGTTTTGGGGGGGGAGGTTCCAAGAAGAAGCAGCGTCTACACACCTTGATCTGCACGGTCTCCCATTTCTTCTCCTTAAGGCGCTGCTCGAGCTCCTCAGGCGAGAGATTGTGATCTTGCTGCTTACTCATAATCGCTTTGGCTTATTCGTCGCTCTCGACCCTTTCTCACTGTGGTCGGTCAAAGAATTAAGGCAGCCTTGATCAATCAATTACAGCCCCGCCGTCCAAGTAACTTACGCAAAAGCAAGTGTTCTCGGTTTGTTGTCTCGTTCGCGTGGTGTCAATTCTGTCGACACAGCACCAAACTCCTTTTAATATTTTAATGATATTTGTAAAAAAGGAGAACCGGTACTCCAGACCTCAGACCGTACGCGAAAGAAGGTGGCATCGCGAGAGGCCTCACGAAAAAGAGTTGCAATCAACAGAGGTAGGGTGTCTAGAAGGGACGCCTGGTACGCATGTCGCGCAGTGTGGCCTGGGAAAAGCCCTGCGCCTTGGACTCCTCCTGCTGCTTTGTCTCGGCCACGAGCTTCTCCATGTAGCACACGAAGGTTTGCACCATCGAGGGCGCCTGCTCACGGGAGAAGAGGCCAGAGCTGTTAGCCTCCTCCTCTCTTTGGCACATAAATAAGGGGAGAATATTACGAACCTGCGAGGTGGAGAAGACATAGCGGTGGGGGTTCATGAGGGAGCCCACCACGACGCCCACCGAGTTCTGGGTCGACGACCAGTTGAAGATTGCTATAACGATTTCCACACAAAGGACAAAGGAGGAGTTAGACGAGATCAGCTCATCAGGTGAGGTCAGGGGCGGGGACACAAGGTACCGCGGAAGGGAGCGAATGCCAGGGGCTCCTTCTCCGGGAGGCGCAGGACGGCGAGACCGTCCCTGTGGACGGCGAGCGCGTTGGCCTTTGGGAACTGCTTGCTCTCGGCGTAGAAGACGTTGCCGCCAAAGAACTTCCACCGCTGAGCGGTCTCGAGATAGAGCGACTCGGCTTGGGTCATGGTCATGGTGTGATCCATGCCGTTCCACTCGTTGAAGATCGCGCTGAGCCACTCTTCGTCGCTCCTCCGCGACTTGAGGTTGATCGGCAGATAGAACAGCGATATGTAGAGCGACTTCTCCGTGATCGGCTCGTCCACCTTGGCCTATCGCACCGAGCGTCAGCACACACACCAGGGGTTGCACAGGGCCTGGACAAAGCGTCCATTGCAAGACTACGGGCGCACCTTGAGCTTGTCAAAGTAAAACTGGAGCGCGGTCAAGTAAGGCGCCTCGCCCTCGGTGACAGGATAGCGGCCGGACACGATGCGGCTGACGGCCTGGTGGGCCAGCAGGTGGATGGCGACGGGGTCGTCCACGGGGCTGGTCTGGTCGAGCGTGAGCCACTCCTGGAAGAGCAGCTGCACGGGTCCCTTGGCCTTCTCTTCCTTTTCCCAGGCGGCCACGACATCGCACACGTGGTCCTTCTCCGCCAGCTTCTCGCCCGTCTCTGTAAGCGGGTTTGGCGCCCAGTTGAGTGAGCTCCGACAAGCAAAGGCAATTGATGAATTGGCTGGTCCAGTGCTGGTTAACGCACCAAGGCCGAAGCGGTGTTTGGCATCGTCGGGATTGCCGCGGATGGCGCACAAGGCCCAGTCGCGGGCCGCAACAGCCGCCGGGCTGAGGCCGATGGATTCGATGACGTGCGTCATGACGTCCTTCACGGTAGCCGCCATGTCCACCCGGACGACGTGGCTCTCCCCGTCAAACGTCCACACCGTGCACGGCACCTGCTCCGCGCACTGTGCATCCCAAGAAGCGAAGGCGTGTACAGTCAGTGAACAGCTGAGGCACCGCACGTCTTTTCCGGAACGTTTTTTTTCTCGTACCCGAACTGCATCGTACTCCACAAACGAGGGCGCATGGGCTCTCATGCCCACCGCTCGAATACGGTCCAGGCGTCGGAGGCCTGCCTGAGCGAGCCGTTGAATGTCCTGCTGCGCCTTGGGCTTTGGAAGGTGCGGGTCAGTACGCAGTTGCTGCGGACACCAGACGCCCGCGCTCTCTGTTTCTTGGTGGCGGTGGTCATCCAGAGGAAAAGCCAGAGCGACGGCGTACCAGTTGTTTCTCCTCCGCCTTGATATGTTCGGTGAGGAAGTCCACCAGGTACGGACCCAGAGCACGGGAAGGGACGAAGAGACCACAGGAAATGGCGAGCAGCTCCCAGCCGCGGATGGTGTTACCGCTGAGCCACGCGAAAAGCCATGGTGAGCCAAGCACCTCCACGTGTGGAGGAAATAATGGCAGGCGACAGGGCTGTTTGCACGAACCTCTTGGGGTTCTTGGAGACTTGTTTGATCAGCTGGCAGTAGAGCTCGTCCCTGAGCTTGGGGTTGTCGATGCCCCTTTGGCAAATCTGCAAAGCAGTCAAGTCACGCAGGTGAGAAGCGCGGCAAGCGGCAAGCAAGCAAGAGGGTTGTTGTGGAGGTTGACGCACCTTTTGCATGAGCTTGAACGAGTCCAGCCCCTTCTTGGAGGGGTAGTCGCCCATGTACTTCATTACCATGGTGAAGATCTTGGTGGCCTCCTTCGCGAACTCCTCGGGGAGGCTCTTGGTGAGGGGCTCCCGGATGGGCACGTCGGTGAACGTGACCGAGGGCACGCTCAGTTCCGGCGTTGACGTTGACGCCGAGACGGACGGGGCCGGGGCGCCAGGGGCAGGCGGTTCGGTGGTGAGCTTACTGCGACTCCCCATCATACCCCGCCTCAGCGTCCCGATGCTGTTGGACAGGAGGTCGGTGCGCGAGTCTGAAAGCGCGACACCCAGTTAGTATGCCTCGTCAGCATTCGTGTGTGCGCGCAGACAGGCCGAGAGACGGAACGCATACTTTTCAACATGCCGGCAGAGGTAGGGGCGACGGCCTTGAAGTTGCTCTGAGCGAATTCGGTCATCTCGTAACGACGGCTGAGCCGAGCCGAATTGCGGTCGCTCATCGCGGGCAGAGCCAAGCTGTGCTGTCCCGATGATTCAGACATCTTCCGATAATACGCCCTGCTGCTCTTACGCGGCACGTTCCTCATTTCGAGAGGCTCGGCGACACCTCCCACCCTTCACACCACCTCCGTGTCAGCGACTGGGACACGTGAATCGAACTCACCAAGCTACGTTGGAGGAGCGCTCGAGGTACCTCGATTCTCTTCGAGAGCCCGCTCGCGAACGCTCAGCCCCGCTATCTGTGAGCTTCATGGCAGTCAAGTCTCTCTGCGTTTGTGGCCAGTGTCGCCCAGTCAGTGACGCCGGAATCCAAGTACCAATTAGAGGGGGGGGGCACTTACCGTAGACATGCGCTGCGAGAGGCGCTTCCGAAGCTTGCCGGCCGCCAGGTTGGTGTTCGCCGTGGTGATCAAAATCTCCACCATGCTCGCGGGGAATGAACCGGTCTTCCCATTCAACTTGCCCCTCCACCAGTTACCCTCCCTGCGCGGTTGTTAGAGTTTAGCCAGCTCGCCACATTAAAGGGAGAGAGAGAGAGAGAGGGGAGAAGGGCATCTGAGACCTGGCAAGGAGCTCGATCTTTTGTCCCTTGGTGAAGGAGAGCAGATTCTTATCGGTGACCACGTAGTCCTGCAATGCGACCGCCGTCTCGGAGTCCTCCCGCAGCCAGTACAGGTAGTCCTCGCACAGGCTGCAAATCTCCACGCCCTGAAAACGCCCACTCACGCGTCGTGTAAGCGGCCACGGAGGGCGAACGAAAGGTGGGAAAGGAGATCAGTGTACCAGTGGCGTTTTGATGTGCAGGGGACGACGTTGCATTCTTTCGTGGAAGTTGACTACAGTGCTGCCGGCGTCGTACGTGACCGGGCCGAGGTCTGGGTACGTGAAGTGCCTCAGAAGGTCCCTGTTGGATGGAGGCAGGAGAAAACGCAGGTGTCAGGGGCCATTCAAGAACAGACATGCGCAGCACGAACGACGTACCCGCTGTCCTTGTCGCGAATCTCGATGCCGTTGACATCGATGGCAAGCATGAAAGAGTCAGGAATGTCAATGTCGGTCGTGGCCATCTGCACTTGGAACAGCGACTTGCCGTAGAGCGACAGCTTTTGCGCTGCACGAAACCAGGTCAATACAGCATGCTGCGAGGGAGGGACACACACACACACACACACGACACACACACCACGTGTGATGACAACAGGACGAGAGTAGGTGTACACACCCTTCTTGAGGAACAGGTTGACCAGTCCGCTTTCGTTGAGCTCGAAGCCTCTGATCTTGTCAGCCTCTTCGTGGACGATACGAGTCCATTCCGCCGTGGACTTCTGGGGAATCAACGCTTGCGGAACATACCTCTCGCAGCTATGGGGGACCAAACAGTTTGCGCCACAGTCAGCACACTGCACCGCCGCAGCCTTACATCTCGCGGGGGGGGGGAGCCAATCTCGGCAGGCCTAGGTACGTACAAGTTCAAAATCTTGGTGCTCTGCGCGTCTTGAATCTCATCGATGAGGAACCTGATGCCGCTCAGCACAAGCGCCTGCTCGTGTGGGCAAGGGAACTTGCCTGCACGGGGCGAGCGCAGTGTGAGCAAAGAGCTGTGGGGGCAATGCCCAGCGCTAGAGTGCGACCGTCGTACCAGAAACGATATCGGCGTGAATCTGAAGCGTCTCCAAGCGGGCTTCAACGGGATCTTCGGGGAGGGTGGTGGGGTCGAGCCACAGCTTCTTCTTGAACCAGAAGAGCGACTCGTGGCCATACTTCTCCGCCTTGCTCAGCATGTCCGCCAGGAAGTCGCTGGGCGACAGCGAACGGCCTGCACGCCAGAAAACACCACAGCACTTGCGTGAGTGTGCGAGCCGCTGAGAAGCACATCCTCGAAGGCACAGTACCGAGGTTGAGGTGAGGATAGATCTCGAAAATGGCGAATTCCATGGGGTCTGCGAGCTTTAGGTTCTTCGAGGTCAGAGGGGTGAAGGCATCTGCAGCGGAGGGCAAGAGCCGTGGGTCAGTGAAGGTTGACGACGTGATAAACACCAAAAGCAGCTGCATGGAGATCCGAGTAGGCACATACCGGCAGCAGTAGCGCCGGCGCTGCTCATGACGCACGTGGACATGCCGCCAGGGACGTGGAACCACACGGGGATCAGTTTGCGTTCCTGAACGGAAAAGAACGTGAGGAACGGAAGTTGCTACTTATGGTCAGGTTTAGCAGTAGCCCCGTAAAAAGATACCCTGTTGGCTTCGAGCTCGAGCCTGGACGGCGGATACAACCGCGAGAGCTTATTCGCAAAGTGGAAGGACATCTCCTTCAGCTTGCCGTAGGCGTACTGTGCGTACTGGCCGATTTCGGTCGGATTGACGAAGTTCTGGGACCCACACAATCACAGGTAGGTTAGCGACACAAAAACCTGAAAAAAGAGTCTGAGAGAGTGAGAGTGGCGTGGTGCTGTTACCTGCATGAGATAGGACGCCAGGTAGGGGACAAAGTCGTCCGTGGGGTAGAACACACCGCAGAACGCGGAGAGCAGCTCCCACGAGCGCATGGTGCTGTCCCTGTGCATGACGAAACGGGATTGTGTGTGTGTGTGTGTGAGAGAGAGAGAGAGAGAGAGAAGAAGAGAGAGAGAGAGAGAAAGAGAGAAAGAGAGAGCGGGGCAGAAGCGGAGTGCGCGGGCCAAGAGGGAACAGACGTGGAGAGATGGAAATGCGCACTTGGAAGGGTTCTTCATCGTCTGCTTGATGACCTGGCAGTAGAGCTCATTGCGGAATGCGCGCAGAGAACCGCCGTTGGAGATACCAGCGAGGAAGACCTCCTTCAGCACATCAAAGTGAGCTTCGCCATCGACGAACCTAGTGATCACTGTGGCCGAAAATGCAGATGAGTAAGAGTGCACAGTGCAAAACAACAGAGGGACAGAGGCATTGTCCCGTACTCTTGAAGAACTTGACGGCAAACTTGATGAAGTTGGCGTTCTGGGTCGTGTGCAGAGGTTGCTCGAGTTTCTGCAGGAGGGAGGGCGCAATTGGTCAGCGGAGCAAGCTCGACAAGGAGAATCGGATAGGGGGAGCATTCGTGGGCGGCTCTCCGGCAACCAAAGATCGCACCTTGGAGTAACAGAGGATCTCCGAAATGGAGAAATCGCCCTTCTTCCTGCCCAAGGTGCGGATGGTCCGCTTCTTCACTCGCTCGAAGTTGAAATGCGTCTGCGCGTATTCTAGAATGTCGTACTTGCTGGCTTCATCCTTGCCGATCACGTCCGGGTACTGACTGCAGGCGGTGGGACGGGAGGAGCAAGGCCGTGTCGGTGGTGGTGGTAGGCGAGGGAGCAGGTGAGAAAGGACCGCGCAAAACATGAGCGGAACAGGTGGAACGCACTCTCCCGAATCGCCTTTACGCAGCATGGGCGTGTGTCTCTTTATCGTGGCGTCTCGTTTCGATGTCAAACGCCTCCTCAGCGATGCTGCAGCCGGATCCACCGCCTTGCTGCTCAAAATGCGCACAACACACCACGTGGTCAGAGGGGAACAGCACACAAAGGCCATCGAGAAACACCGGTCACGGTCACAGAGCTCGGGAAAAAGGTACCCCTTTGCGTCCAAGGCATCCTTTTGATCCCGCCAGGCACTGTCTGCGCCCAGCAATCCCGGCGCTGCGTCGTCTGCCGCGTTAACGGTCACGAGAGGCGAACTGGTCTTGTACATGCTCACCGTCGGCTTTTCATCGTAGAGAACCGAGTGGACGCGCGGCTGAGTGACGCTGAGCGCAGGGACGGACTTCTCATTCTTCCTCTCTTCCTTCATGAGCCTCTCCTCCTCGCTGCGCCTGGCCTGTTCTTTCGCCAACCTCTCCTCTTCCCTCCTTCTGCTCTCCTCCTCGCTCTTCTTCCTGGCCTCTTCTTTCCTCCTTCTGTCGGCCGCGATCAACACGGCATACCGACGCCGTTGGAGGAACCCTCGCACGACTGAGGAGCATCAGGAGGCCGACGAAAAGAAGAGAACCAGTTGGTCAGCAGTCCAAAGACGGCCAGCGAGACAAGCGGGACGTACCTGATTGGATGAGCTTGGCGGCCTGTCGCATCTCTGCGAAATAGTTGCGCGTCCACACCATGCGCCACCACGACTGGATGGTCACCACCTTCGCCCAGATCGCCTTGTTGCGGGTATTTTCCACTGCGGCGCTCTGTAGGGTCGTGCACCGTGTGAGCCCATAAGAGAAATCATACAACGACTACAACAAGCGGTTGTTTGGGCGCACGTGCCTGCGCCTCTTTCATGAAGACCTTGGTCTTCCCGAGCTGCCACTGCAGGCTGCCATCCTCACTGGGGCTGGGGACCTTGCTGAGAATGTTCTTGGCGACGGCAAAGAGGTCGAGCTGCCCGGATTTGTCCTTGTTTTTCGGGTCGTTGGCATAGCCAAGCGGTAGCAGCATGCGGTAGCGATACATGAACTCCTTCACCGGGTACCGCACCGGGTAGCCCAGGCGCCTTTACCATGGAGAACAACAAAGAAAGAGTCAGCCACGCCTCCCGGTAACCCCCGAGGGGAAGAGTGGTCTACCTAATCCTGATGGTTTCCATCATACCAGCATAGCGAAGCTGAGCCAGCACCATGTCATCATCGAACATCGCTGTGGACAACCATCGGTGAATCAATGGATGATCTTAGTATTGGGCAGCTGCGGGGAAAGCTGGCTTTGAATTGCGCAGTACCAGGAGCCTTCATGGTGTTGGGCTTGATGCAACGCACGTAGTGCGGCGCAGTGGCGCCGAGCGTGGCCATGAGCTCAGCCAGCTGGGCCTTAAAGTTTGTGCCCACGGTAGGCGACTTGGCCTGGCGACCCGAGCTCTGAGTGTCGACTTCCGAGAGCGGGAAAAGAGCCTTGACAAGAGGAAGCTTGCTGTCGTTGAGCAGAGCCACGAGATCCTCGGCCAGTGTGTCTCGGTTCTTCTCCAGGAAGTTGGCTGTCTCGTAGGCCACCTGGAGCCGAACCCCCAAACGAGAGGAGCCGGGCGTGAGTACATTAGGCACACGCGCGAAGCAGTGGAGTCGCTAGCGCACCTCGCCAGCGTAATGCTTGATGACGAACGCAGTTCGGGACTTCTTGGGGCGGTAAAACTTCTTGTGCGTTTTGTAGCCGTTGTCGATCTTCTCCAGGAAGGTCGTGTCTGTAGCTTTCGGGAAACGGCATTCCTCATCAAGCAACGAGATGATACCGGGCGGTCTGGAAGGTGCACCGACCGAGTTACACAGAGCGAGCGCAAACAATGCTGGAGTGACTAGCAGTTGAAAGCGTACCTGGTCTTTTCGATGAGATCGATGGTGTCCTGATTGTCGTTGAAGTCGATGTTATCCCACTTGATCGCTTCAGTCGAATATTCAGTCTGTTCGATCTTGAAAATGGTCTCGTTGAAATACTGCTGCAACTTTTCGTTGGCATAGTTGATACAAAACTGCTCGAAGCTGTTTACCTGCATAAGAGAGAGAGAGAGAGAGAATCGTGAGAGACGTCCGGTTGTGCAACCGGTGCGTTGTTAACGTACATTGAAGTTTTCGAAGCCGAAAATGTCCAGCACGCCGATGAAGGACTTTACGGGCTTGGGTTTGTAGATGACCTTGTTGATTGTCACCACAATCCTGCACAAGAGAGTGGTTGGTTAGATGTCGCACCGTGAGCCGGTCAACCTCGTCACCACGCGCCAAAAAGCACGCACCAGTCGAAGAGCTTGCTGTAGATCGCCTTGGCAAGCGCATCTCGTGCATCGGCGGCCTGCGCGGCCTTGAAGTTCACCTGGATCTTTTGCCCACTTACCACCAGCGTACGGGTGGTGAGCGCTCTGCCCAAGCCCTCGGGACTGATCTTCAGCAGTTGGCCAACGATCTCCAGCTCTGCGAGCCATCCCGACAAAGTGAGCGAGCGTAATCGCGTGTTGGCGATGGAGGTACGCACCCTGGGGGTTGGACACCTTGGACACCTCCGCGCCCTCGAATTGGACGTTTCCCAGTCGCATAATACCCGAAAGAATCGTGAAGAGGTGGTCTTGGACATCGGCCGACATGTCCATCGCCAACAAGGCTTGCTGTTCCAATTCACAGCGTTAACGGCCAAGAAAGAAGGGAGAGAGCGAGAGAGAAGAGAGAGAGAGAAAAACAACTGCGCCATGAATTCGTCTCTGAGTCGTACCCTCACACGGTTGTAATCCTCCTCGTCGTTGATCGTTGGCACCGACGTGCAACCGCTTTGGTTGAGGTAGTTGTACTGCTCGATGTCCAACAGCTGGTATCGCTCTGCGAAGAAGTGCAGCCACATTGAGATGTGCGTTGGTGCAGGCTTTGAGGCAAGACCAAGAAGTACCTTTCTCCTCTTTGTCAGCGCCTGCGAGGAACTGGTAAAAGATGTGGTAGTTACGCTCGCTCTGCGCCTGCCACACGAGCCGAGACTAGAGAAAGAGGACACAGTGAGCACATCGCTCAAGGTAGGAGATGGAGCGTTCAAGGAGGATGTACCCGCTCGAGCAAATCTGACGAGACACGTCATAAAGAAATAACTCTCAGTGCCAGTTTTCTTCACGTGGGAGGGAGGAGCGTGGGGGAGTGCGTACAGTTGCTGATCTTGGCACCGCAGATCTGACCGCTGCCTTCGAAGTGGATCTCAATGAACTTACCCTGAAGGCGGGCGTCAGTACTACGTTCTGAGCTTTGGAGCAAACATGAGGAAGAAGCCGTACGAAGCGAGATGAATTGTCGTTCCTGACCGTCTTGGCGTTACCGAACGCTTCGAGAATCGGACTGTAACGAGAAGTGGAGTCAAAATACTTGGACTGACCAGTCGCATTCGGACTGCGACACGTGCAGAGCAGAGCAGCCGGCGTACCTGGACTCCAAGATCTTCTGCTCCACAGCAGAGTGCTTGGTCGTGCGAGCGGCCAAGAATTGCAGAATGAGCTTGGTGGCTTCTGTCTTGCCGGCACCGGACTCGCCACTGTGCGAGATATGAGCGAGACGAGACGAGCGACATGAACGGTACACACACACACACACACATACACACCACACACACACACACACAAACACACACCCACATTCATGAATGAGCAGGCCCGCACCTGATGATGACTGACTGGTTGCGATGCCGGTCACGCATGTCATGGTAGCAGGCCTCGGCCGTGGCAAAAATGTGCGGCGCGGGACTTGGCAGGCAAGCAGCAGAGAGACGGTTCTGGTCAGCCAACAGAGAGGCCAGCCAAGCGGCACGGTGGAGGGGAGGGCAAGGGGTAAGTACCCCATGGACGCAGAGCTCGTTCCAATGTACTCGCGCACCACCTCCTGCGCATAGATGGGCAGCCGCTTGTACGGATTGAGGGACACCAAGATGGATCCAGTGTTGGTCTGTAGCAGGCCAACAGGACCGTGTCAGACGACACGGGTGCGCCAGAGAGATGCGGGAAGCGGGTGGGAGATTGGGAAGCAATGGAGAGCGGCGAGGAAGTTTGCTCACTTCCTCACTGCAGAACACGCACGTAAATGAGATTGTTGAGGTAGCGAATCTTGAGGTTCTTGAGGATGCTTTCTTCATCAAGTGTGTTCATCTTGATCATGTCCTCGATGCCCTTGTCGCCACTCAAGTGGACATCGGTCGTCGCCTCCCCACGAATCTCCATGCTGGCCTTACTGCAGTACGCCGCTCGGGCGCCTCTTCTCCTTCTTCAACTGCTCCTTGCTCACACTTGATCCTCTCCGTTGCCTCCAACGAGTCCTGCAAGCAAGGAACCCCCAGCCCGCGGGTTGAGGCCACAGAGCTCTCCCCTTATTTGCAGGTCGCCAAAGCCGTACCTCCGTAACACCGAAAAAAGAAAACGAAGAGGAAACCTGCAAGAAAAAAAGCAAAAAAAGACCAAGACAAAGAGAAGGATGAATTGGTTCTCGAAGCTCAAGAGCGACGGAGGGCTGGGCAATGCATTTGGCAGCCTGGTGGCGCAGGCGGCATCGTTGATTCCCGAGGAGTTCAAGGACAATGACGATGACGACACGAATGACCCCACCTACATCGAACCCACCCCCGAGCTGATCGAGTACGTGAGTCATCTCGCGCAACACCCAAGCACCTTCACCGAGTTCCCCATTCCTCGCGCCCCCGGTACCCCCTCCCATCTTTCCTTCTTCTTTTTCTTCTCTTTGTCTGCATCTCACTTGGGGAGTTGTGCAGAGGGTGCGTTTCCGTTGACGAGGGGCCAAACCCGGCACGCCCGCAAGATGCTCGAGATGGTGCCCTCCCTGCAGAAGCTGCGCTACTCGATGTGCCCCAGCAAGATGAACGAGGAGACCTTCTGGAGGTACTTACAGGAATCGCAAGTGCACCCAACTGTCACCGTGCAGAGAGACAGCAGTTCTGCTCAAACACGAAGTCTGTACACAGGATCTACTTCCTGCTGCTGCTCAACAAGACCAACGGCAAGACCAACAAGACAAACGACCAGAAGGAGGAGAAGGAGAAGAGCAAGGGGAAGAGCAAAGAGAAGGATGGTGAACATGGCGGTAGCGGCGGCAGGAGGAAGGAGCGAGACGAGGAACGCGAAGAGGGGCAGGACGTCGACGTACTCTCGGAGCACGCGCTGGAACGCTACTTCGAGAAGCTATTTTTTGATTACCAACAGGTGACGTGACCGCCTCTCGCCTCCTGATGACATTCACATACTTATCATTCAATCAAACACCACAACCACAACCACAACCACAACCACAACCACAACCACAACCACAACCACAGGAACTCTTCCTGGCGACGCCGGAGGACGTGCTGCACCGGCACATGAAGAGAAAGGGCGATCGCTACCAGCTGGACGACGGCATTGACCCGCACGAGGACAACTACTTTGCACGGCCAATTCGAACGCGGCCCCAGCAGCCGAACCAACAAACGGTCGCGTGAACCGGTGTGGCGGTTTAGCAATAATACACTGTGGCGGGTGTTATAGCACAGGTTGCTCTGTTGCGGTAAAGCAAGAGTTACAACCGCGGCGGGCAGCGGCGAACCTATTGAAGGTTTGAACTTCATCTAATTACAACTGCGGCGAACGAGCACAGCGGGCAGCGATCGCCCGCGCCCACGGCCGAGGCGGCGTAGTGCGAACCACACACCGGGCATGCCGACACCCGGTCGGTAGACTCCACCAGGCGCAGCGTCTGCAAGTCCTTCATTAGTGTGGCGCGCAAGAGAGAAACAACTCTAGTGAGCGGCACAGGCGGAGAGGTACCTGACAGCAGAAAGGGTTGTTGATGGTGGGCATGGCGTTCGTTTCGTCCTGCTGTTTACAGAGGTGCAGCTTTTCGTTCAGGTTGGCGGCGTCTGGCGGGTTGCGACTCAGGACCAACTGAGACCGGGCGAGGAGTAGAGGAGGAGGAGTGAGCGGCATGGTAGTGACCAAGACGTAGGCGGATTAAAAGGGGCAGTTACCTGCAGCAGACTGCTGGCTACGCCGTAGTTGTGAGCGTCGACGCTCTTGGAGATCGCCATGCGCACGGCGATGGCGGCATGTTGTGGCGTGAGGCGGAGTGTGGCCAGGTGCTTGGCCAGCACGGCCACCCGCTGTTTGATCACCGTCGCCTCTTCTGCACGACGGACGGCAAGAGTGTGCAGTGTGTCAGCAAGTGCGTACATCCCCGCGTCATTACCGGTCGGTGGAAGAACAGGCAGCGCACCTGGAGTTTGCTGTGGGTACTTGCTGAAGGTGTCGATCTCCATGAGGAGCAGAATGGCCAGCTTGTAGTCAATACAGATCTTGAGCGGCTTGAGCACCGCATTGACGTCCGGCACCGATCCTGTGCAGGACCCGGGGGGGGGCAGCGTGAGTCCACCCGCCAGCAACACGGAGATTGGGGGGGGGAGGAGGAATGTACGCAGCAGGTCGAGCGCGCTCTCGGCATCGAGGAAGGCTTCGCGGAACTGTCCGCTCTGCATGCGCGTCCCGCAGGTGAGCATCATGTTCGACGCTTGCCTGTTGTGTGGCGCACACAAGAGGGTTATCCACCTGTTTCGCGGCTCGCCAGAACTGGCGAGGAAGGACAAACTAGAGCAAAAGACTGCACATACCTGATGACGGAATCCGCTTGAGCTGCGGACATGGCGGGTGCGGGCGAGGCTGCGGATAGGGGCGCGGACTGTTGCTGTGAGATGCCGGAAGGCGCGGCCGCACTGAGGGCCGCGCTGTCCTGGCCGACAGGCGTGGCCGCAGGTGTAGGTGCGGTGGTAACCGCCGGCGGATCGTTTCGCCCAACTTCGAAGAGCACGTCCTTCTGTGTCGCTTCGCTGTTGCGTGGCTGGTCGGCGGGCTCCTTCCGCTCAATGGCTACCGCGCCCCGGCTGTCCCCCAGGCCGTCCCGCTTGAGCTTGGAACCGGTGCCGCTGGGACCCGTCTTTCGCTGGACCAGTCGCGCAGCCCGGGCCGTCACGGGCGTCGTAGATTCGCCCTTGTTCTCGGGTCCAGTATGCCGGAACACCAGACCTCCGCCGCCGCCGCCACCGCTAGCGGGAGCACCCGCTTCCTTTCTCTCTTGGATGGGCGTGCCGCCCCTTCGTCGCGTTTGCTTGCTACCCGACGCCGCTGGTGGCGGCGACGAAAGCTTAAAGACTGCCGGAGCTGCGCAGTTGCACGATCACCGACATGTACGTGAGCAATCCTGGTTGAGGGAGGTGTGTAGTGTGATGTGAAGCGAGGGAAGAGAAGGGGCCTGTACTCGAGTCGGCGTCTGACGCGACCTCGTCCTTGGATTTGATGGAGAATTTGAGCTTGGGACTGCTCGTCGAGGAAACTCGAGTCAGCTGCTGTACGTGCGAAAGTAAGAGCGAAGGGGAATGGGGGCAAGGTACGCAGGGCTGGTGGGCTGTTCATCCTCGCCCCAATCGTCGTCATCGGCTTCAGCGGTCCAGTCCGGCGCTAGAGCACAACAAGAAGGGTTAATGTAAGAGAATACTGTGAAAAAAGTAGGCGGAGAGGGTGCAAGGTACTCGCGGCGGAGGCGGCAGGTTGGGCGAACGGGTTCGAAGGGTCGAGGAAGGGGTTGACGGGTTGATGGGCGCGACCGCTTCCGGCAAACGGCTGGTGGGTGCCCTCGGATGACTGATCGAAATGGCTGCCCGTGGCCATGTTGGGGAACCCGTCGCTGGTGGGCGGCGTGGGGGCCGGCGTGTTGCCCTCTCTCGGGCTCGACCCAAACGACGCATTCGTTTGCGACAGCACAAACGTCTCAACCGCTTGCACCTAGAAGCACGCACGCGCGCCTGAGCGACCACAAACGCAAGGGAACCTCGGGGGGGGGAGCGTGATTGTGTCTGTGGCGCGTGCAGGGGCGTACCTCAGCGTCGTCCAGCAGGTTGTCAAAAACGGGGAAGGAGGGCGGAGCGCCGTGGGCCAGGGAGGCGCCGTTGGGCGTGGGGTGGTTGCCATCGGCGGGTGGGTCCTCGGTTCGCTTGGGCTTGGGGCCGGAGGCCAAGAAGATCGAAAACGTGACCTCGGCGCTCTTTTCTATCCTGCCCCTCGCCTCCACCTACAAAGCCACGGGATCGAGTAAGCGTGAAGTATGAGTGGACGTCCAACAGAACACCACAACGACCGCGAGAAAGAGGTGTACGGCATTGGCACCTTGAACTCTTTCGGGTTCTGAACGCAGCGCACTTCCGGAGTGCCCACCTTGGAGTTGCTCCACTGGAAAATGAAAGTGCTGTCGTAGCCGTCGATGGTGTATATACATCTCCCCTTCGTGCCTGTCGCGTGCAATTTCAAGCGGTGAGCACGCTGCGCGCGGGAAAATGCTCAGCTCGAGCAGCGTCGGCCGCCGTACCCTTGAGCGTCGTTCCGTAAGCGCCAAAATCGACCACCCCATGCGGAGGCACGATCGCGGGAGGGTATCGACCCCAGCTGCCACGTTGAAGAGTGCGGAAGGAGCGCGTGAGACAAAACGCAGACACGATTGGCGAGTGGACTCAAGTTTCAGTTTGGCACCACCGGTGAGCAGGAGTTCGTACTTTCCTGAGCTGAGCTTACCCGCTCCCCTCCTCATGATGGTTTCGTCGGTGAGGTTGTCCAAAATGATCAGCACCGACCTGCCAGAAGAGCGCGTGATGAGCGCAAACGACAAGGAGCTCAGCTCATGCGACCAAGTGCGAATGAGGTACCGCTTGGTGGCCATGATCGCGCGCCAGTCGGCGCCCACTTCGCCCGACTCGCCCGGCTCGTCTTCGTTTTCGCTCTCCTTGCCCTGCTCCTTCGTGTCTCCGCCGTCCTCGTCGTCCTTGTCGCCCTTTCGTCCCTTGCGGGTGACCCAGCCGCGGAAGCTTCCAGACCGCTTTCGCGCCTCCTTGTCTTCCTCTTTCTCCTTGCTCTCCTTCTCCTTCTCCTTCTCCTTGTTGTGATGGTGTTCTTTCTCCTTGCTGTGATGTTCCTTGTCTTTGTGGTGGGCCTGCTGCAGCTCCTCATCGACCTCGTTCTTCTTGTCCTCCTTCTCGAGAGTTTCGTCCTTCTTGTCCTCTTTCTTCTTGCCCTTTTTGCCGAGGCTGAACAGCGTCCTGCTCTTCTTCTTCTCGAGCGTGCTGCTCATTTAACCACTGTTAGGACATGAACGAGGAGGAAGAAGAACGCAGCGCTGGCGACGTACGCTGTGGGACTCATTGGGCTGCTTGTGGGCGTGACGGCGTGGGACCCGCTGTCTCGGCTGGGACTTTGGTCCATGCTGGTCTCCGAGACGCTCAGGCCGAAGGGAGCAGCCTTCTCACCACGCACCGCCTTTTCTCGTTTGCATAGAGAGAGGGTACAAGAGCTGACGTGAGAAGCAGAAGAGGGCTGCAACAAGAGGAACCTTGAAACCATTGAGTGAATTAATCGAAAGAAAGGACTACCTTCTCGCTGTCCTTCTTGGAGCCCGTTCGCTTGCGCCTCAGAGGACCCGAGCCTGTGCCCTTTTCGGCTGGCGATGCAATTTCCTCTTTCGTGGGCGAGATGGAGGGAGTGGACGGGTTCGATGTGATGGACGCAGCGGGTCCAGGGGTGGCGGGAGCTGCGCGGATCTCCATGACGGGCATGGGGGTAGCGCAAACCTTGCATCGCTCCAAAGCCAACGGGTTGAGAAATGTGCACGCCCCGCACATCCATTCGTTGCTCGACGCCACAGCGGGCGGGGGCGCCCCGCCTCGTGGATCGAAGTCGGCAAAGAACGACAGATCGTCACTCATCGATCACGTTCTTTCTATCAACACGGTTCAAGTCAAATGTGGGAACACACTTCTGCAGCCGTGCACGGCAGGTTGTGTTGGTGGCGATCGCCACCGACCTTTTCTAATTCGATTTTCTCGTTTTTTTATTTATTATTTTCCTGCGGGCAACACGTGGTCTTGGGGCAGAGCAGTGCCAGAGCTGCCGGTGGGCAGGTCGCCCTGTCCTCCTCGACGATGGACTTGAGGAGGAAGAGGTCGGTCTTCCACAGCGACAACCAGTCCTCGTGTGATATGGGGGATGAGGCCGAGGGGGGCAGGTGGAATAGGGTGATGATGAACTCGCTGCCCCGGCCGTTGGGGACCACACGCGAGGGCAGGACGACCTCTCGCCCGTCGGCACCCCACGCCAGGTAGCGGTCGATGACGCCCAGCTCCTCGTTGCTGGCCATCGTCATCTTGGCGGGACCGCAGGGGGTGTCCACGCGGTGGTGGTAGCGAACACGGTCTGCTTCGTCGTGGTTCTTTTGCAGATCGAGACAAAAGGCGTCCCTGTTCCACTTGCAGAGGTTCTCGGTGCGGTGTGCGAAGGCGAACACCCTCTCGGGTGGCGCGTCGATCCCCACCGCTAGCGTGTCGGCCTTGAGCATGGGTAACTCGACGGTCGGTATAGGCTTGTTGCTGGCCATCTTCAAGTGCTTCTCTACTTCGTGATTGTGTTGCAGCTCACTGATCTTGCGCTGCCGGCCCGGCCGCTCCATCTGCCGTCAGAAAGGCGCTCAGCAGCCGCATCTTTTTTGCTTAGATTTCACCACTAACTGACGGCCTCAAAATCGATTGCAGCTAAGTCCACTTCAGCCTCAAGTCCCAGGTGGAAGGTTGAGAATGGACACGGTGGAGAAGTGCCACACATCACTGCCACCGTCACGTTCTGCTCGGCACGAGTGGATCTGGGGCAGACCAAACATTTCTTTTGCGGGAAGGTTAAAAGGAAAACTAAAGAAAAGGCATTTCCTTCTATTTTTCCAGACAGAAGGTGTTGACGGCTACCTGAACGGAGACCACAAACTCAGGTGGAGATCGCAAGTAAGGCTTCACCATGCAAAAGAGCCACAGCCGGCAGGCTTCTTTGAATCCTCTGGGCATAGATGCCGTGGTACGAAACCAAATCTGTGTTTCATCCGCCCCGCCCCTTGCAAATTTTGATCTCTATGGTTCGTAGAAACAACAAGCGGTGGAGAAGGTCTGGAAGGATCTCCAGGTGCTGCTTGAGGAGTTGCCCTCATCCGAGAACCGAGCCAAGGAAGACGAGATTTTCCAGGCCCTCCTCACCTTCCTGTCCGACCCCCAAGCCCCTCAAGATTTGACACTGAAGTGGTTCGTGGCTCGCGTTCTTCTATGTCCTCTTGCCCACGTCCTCGTCGATGACCTTTCCTCTCTTCAGCTTGGTGCAGTTCTCCGAGTGGCTCGAGGAGGGCGGCAAAAGGGACCTGGCCGAGAAAACCTTCAAGTACTGCATGCACGCGCTCTGTGGGCAACACACCATGTTGTCATGCTGCAGCGTATAATAGAGCTCTGACCGGTGGGCGCTGCGTTCACATAGGGCACTCGGCGCACCTGATGATCAAATGCGAGCCACGGCACGCCGCGCCGTGCTCGGCCTCCTCAACCTGTTGGCCGTCAAGTCCACCTTCATTTCCGCCTTAGTGACCACCCTTGCACCCAAGCTAGTCAACTCGATCTCACAGGTGCATTCACCATTCTCTTTGCTCGATCAGAGCCTGCCCCCAACTGACTGAGCGTCTCGGCCGACCACCAGATCACTGCAAAAGAGAGATTCGAACTGCTCAAGGCGATGGTGGAAAAGGCACCTCTGGCAGTCAAGGCGTACAACAAACACATCGAGTTCATGGGCAACCACTTCAATGCTGGCATCAAGCTGGGCAAGGGCAAGTTCGGCAAGGTACTCTCCTTGGTCCCCCCTCTCCTCCTACTGTATATACCGACCGCAATCCGTGTCACGTGCACTCTGTAGGTGTTTTTGGGCTACAACCAGACGAATGCCGCTCCGGTAGCCATCAAGATCATCGATTGGAGGGTCATCATGAAGGACAAGCAGCCACAACAACTCGTGAGGGCCAAGAAGCAGGTTAGTGTAGTCACAACTCCGCCTCGTGTTGCATGAGCCGAGTGCTTATCGTACGCCGTCACATCCCACAGCTCACCAACGAGATTGCCATCATGAAGCAAGTCACCCACGTGAACGCGGTCCAACTCTACGAAGTCGTGGTACGTATGGCCGCTCCATACTCCCTCCCTCCCTCCAATCACTCATTGACCCATTTAATGGCCATGCAGCAAGTGGATCAGCGCATCTTCATCATCATGGAATACGTTGCCGGGTAAGTTGCCGTCAGTCACTGCTGTAGCACTGTGCGAGCCAACCACTCATTGCCCATACCACTGCGTAGTGGTGATCTGGGCAATTATTTGCGCAAGAAGGGACGCATTCCGGAGCCAGAGGCTCGGCACTGGCTGCAGAACCTGGCAGCCGGTCTCAAATACCTGCGCGAGAAGAACATTCTTCACCGCGATCTTAAGGTACTCAGTGCCCCGTGAAGAAGTGTCTTTGTGCCGTGCCACGTTGTACACTCACGCCAGCCCGGTTGCCTGTTTCCCCCCATAGCCCGAGAACCTTCTGCTCACCGAGCCGTCTGAGAACGGTATTCTTAAGATCAGCGATTTTGGGTACGTCTCCAGCGCGCAAAGAGTCTCTCTGTTTGCTCGTGCTCAACGATGGCGGCAATCAGTCTTGGGAGATTCCTGGGTCCGGGTGAGTTGGCAGAGACGCATGTGGGTACGCCCCTCTACATGGCTCCCGAGGTGTTCAGGCCAATACCGTTCACCGAGAAATGCGTACGCCAGCTACTCTTGTTTCGTTGAACGCTTGGGGTTGGCTCCAAAACCAGCATGGATGGCTGCTTACGCCGTTGCTCATTAGGACCTGTGGAGCGTGGGTATTATCACCTACGAAATGGTGGTGGGTGAGCTGCCCTACAAGGGCAATAATATCTCGCAGCTGCTGCACAACATATCGCACCAGTCGCTCATATTCCCTCCCGATATCGGACTCAGCGAGGAGATAAAGTGCGAGTTCCCACAAGTCGCCTCTTCGTCTCGAGATGTGGCGCGCCTTTAGTCCTCTGACCGTGGGTGGGTGGTGGGTGGCACAGGCACTTGCTGACCGGCCTGCTGCAGAAGGATGCCGACATGCGGCTCGGGTGGAACGAGTTCTTCGCGCACCGGTGCCTACAGCCGATCACTCCGCGTGCCGCTACCCCCAAGTCGTCGGCGTCGTCGTCCACGACCAGCGCCGCGGCGCTGAAGCAGATTGCGCAGCTGGAGGCGGAGCTGCAGGAAAAGGAGCAAGAGATCGGGAAGCTGAACGAGACCATCGCCAAGTGGGACGAGGAGAAGGCCAACCAGTTCAACAAGATCAAGGAGCTGTTCGAGCGGGAGAACAACGAGCTGCGAGCTGCGCTCGAGACGCAGAAGAAGGAGGGCAAGGAGCGCGAGGAGCTCCTCGTCACCCAGATGAACGAGATGAAGAAGCAGCACATGGCCGAGATGGCCACATACAAGGACATGCTTTCTTCCAGGGTACCACCACGCGATCATGTGCGCGTGCATGAACTCATCACAAGGCGTTGACCTGAATGTGCTGTGCAGGAGCAAAAGAACGTGGAACTGGAGAAGCAAAACTACGCGTTCAAGAGCTCGGTCGAGCAGCACCTGTCGGTGATTCAGCAGCAGGAGATGATCATCAACGCCCAGGACGAGGAGCGCGTCAAACGAAAGAAGGAAAAGGAGCGACGCAGCCGAGAGCTCCCCGTGAAGGAGAAGTCCAAGAACATGCTGGAGCTCGTGGCCCCCAGCCAAGTGTACGCCTGCGCGCCCACCATCTCATCATATGTAAGCTTCTCACAGCGAGGAGCCACTCTCCCCTAGACGAGAGACCCTGCGCCCAGGTGAGGCCACGCTCAAGATGCGCACCAACGTGGAGTGCCGATATCGCACAAACAGCAAGTACGCGTGCTCCCAGCAAACCACTCTTTGGTCGTGCCCTGATTCTATGCCGATGGTGGCTTTGCAGGTACAAGTGTGTCGTGTGGCTTGTCGAGTTTTTGGGACAGGAGGGGAATCGCCTGCGCCTCCATTTTGACTCTAAGTACGCACTCCCCCCTGCTTGTGGGGACTGGACTTGGTTGGTCTGCATCTGCGTCTGCGTCTCACCACCAGCTGCGCTGTGCCGCAGAGGCGACGCCACCCTCGGGGCCGTGCAGAACGCGAACAAGGTACGGACCACTCCCACGGTCCGTTTGAACGACCCCCTCACGCATGCATGTAACAACCCTTCGTGGGCGCGCACAGTCTCGAATCATCGCAGTCAACACGCTGGGACGACCAGAGGACACGTCGTCGCCCTACTCGCCTGTCCTCTTCTCGTCGCACCTCGAGATAAACGAGAAGAACCGCGTGCTGGGTATGGCTGCTCCTCTGTCGTACTCGCCATTGTCGTTGTGCTGTTGTTGGGCTTTCTGTCAAAAGGGGTTGATTAGCAACCGGAGCTGACCGTGTGCTGCTGATGTGTGGTGATGGTAACCAGGTTCGTTGGACTTCATTGCCGCGTCTGGTTTCCTGCAGAACACGTCGTACTTTTTCGTCTACGGGCACACAGGTACGGGGTCCAGTCTCTCCTTCGCCTTTGTCCGATCGCCGCACTCACCGCTTTCTCTGGACCACAGGCTATTCGCACGCCCTCCTGTTCGAGTTGTAAACAAACCCAGTGAGACGAACAACAATAACAACGTTCAACGCACGCGCGTGTCGTGGTGCGTACAGCTGTACGTTCGCTCCGGGAAGTTCTCCTTGGAACCTGGTCGCGTACGTTGCATGTATGGGCACGCCAACAGATAGGCCGGTGACGAGCAACCGGCATTGCTTATTTCGTAAAATTGCGCCTCGCAACAACATCCCGCGAGCCCATTGGCCACCCGGGCGTTCCCTTTCCCGCCGTTGGTCGGCCGCGTCGGCACAGGAACCAAGACCCGACAGACCACCAAATCGGCCCACGATCGCCTCATGACCGTTCTTTCTTCCTCCTCACCGTCAAACCAGCACCACCCTGACACACAACCTCACTGCAGCATGTCCGCGTTCTCCTTTAGGTGGAGTGTGCTGCTGCTTCTTCTTTTAGCTATGGGCCTTCTTCACAGTACTCCCACCTCACTCCTTCTTGCTCCTTCGCAAGACCTCAACTGACCGACCGTCATGGTGGGCCTTGGTACCACCACCAGCAGGAGCAGATGGACAACTGGTACGGGGGGCGGGGGCGGAGGTGGGGGTGGGCGCCTACATCGAGTGGAACAACCAGTACAAGTATGTGGCGAACCAGCTGGGGTTCACCTACACCAGCGTCTACAACCTGACCGACGGCCTGGCGGGCTACCTGCGCGGCGACTACGACTTCCTCGGCGTCGACGCCCCCGTAGGGGCCGCCCTCGGGTCCGAGTACCTCCAGGTGCCCCAGGTCGGGTCAGCCATGGCCGTCGTCTACAAGATCAGCGCCCTCCCCTCCAACGCCACCCTCCGCCTCAGCCGCGAAGTCCTCGCCCGCATCTGGTGCGACTCATATACTCGCTCAGCCTCCCCCGCAAACACAAAATTCCTCCCCTCGTGCAGCGGCTCGTTCATGAACTGAACGGTCCGTGTGCGTCGCCTCGTGGCGTGGCTCTGGGAACAGGCTCGGCCAGGTCACGTCCTGGAACGACACGGAGATCACCGCGCTCAACCCGACGCTGGTGGGTCTGCTGCCGGACGAGCCCATCAAGCTGGCGTGGGTGCCGCCGGAGCAGCGCGCGGTCACGCAGGTGTTCGTGCGCGGGCTGGCGTCGTTCATGGCGGACGTGGACAACGCGACGGCTCAGGCTCTGAAGGCCAACGGCACTCTGGCCTACCTCCCGCCCGTGCTGGCCGGCAATGCATCGAGCTTCCCCGCGTTCCTCAGCGCGACCGGCCCCTCGGTCTTAGGCTACACGCTCAGCACCGATAACGTGCTCTCCTACGTCAACAACGACTCCTTCTTCATCACCTCCTTCGTCCAGTACGGCTGCGGCGTCGCCCTCCTCCGCAACAAAGCCCGTGCGTAGCCCTCCCTCGCTGCTTTTCGCGTCTTTTTGTTGTTGTTGTTCTGGTTCACATGCTGAATTCCGCTCAATTAAGTAATACTATCTGTTCTCACCTTTCCAAATTACGGTCTCTCATCGATCGTTTTTATGTATTGCCAATATTTTGCCACACGCACAGAGAAATATGTGGCTCCGCATGTGGAGGGTGTTCGCGCGGCGATGAACGACTTCAACCCGACGGACCGTGGCTCCAACGCGCTGCCGCAGTGGATTGTGGACGGGCCGGGCGAGCAGAGCTACCCGCTGAGCCTTCTCGCGCACACGATCCAGCGCAAGGACTACGTGGCCGACGACTGCCTGGGCTCGAGCACCTTCCTCGACTTCGTGACGTGGGGCCTCACCAACGAGCAGATCGGGTCGTCGATCGAGATGTACGGCTACACGTCGCTGACCACGCCCTTCCGCATCCGCGTGGTCAACCAGCTGTCGGCCATCACATGCACCCAGAACGGCGTCACCCGGCGGTCCCTCCAGACGTCGTCGCTCACGGGCACCGGTCCTCTCGCCCCGCACATGGCCTCTTGGGCCTTCTACTACGCCAAGAGCGTATCGTCTCTCACCAGCCAGTATTTCGGCGACGGTTCGTCTTCTCTCGATCCACACACACACACACACACACACACACACACACACACACACACACACACACAACACACACGCACACACGTACACACGCACCACAACATCCGCACCCTTGCACAACTGTCTCACCGCCCGTGGGCGCGTGATCGTTTGCGAAACAGCCGATGGAAAGGAGCAGATGCTGTCGGGCAACGTGGACTATGCCGGAGCGACGGATTACCTGACCGAGGCCGACTACAACAGCTTCCCCGACCTCCAGTACATGTACGTACTGCACACCCGCCTTTCCCCATGGGGTGGTGCCCAGGCCTTACCGGGATCCCGTACCTCTCCATTGGACCTCAGCCCTGTGAGCGCCTTCTCGATCAACATCGGCTACTCCCTGCCCGGCATCACGAACCTGGTGTTGGACATGGACATCCTCGCGGGCATCTGGTACTGCCCCGCTCACACGACACCGCGCTGGCGCTCTGCTTCTCACACCGGTCGGCGTTGCCTTGGTACAGGGGAGGGTCGATCAGCAAGTGGAACGACGTTGCCATCCAGCAGTACGCACTCCGCGACTCCTCTTGCTTTCAGCCAATGGGGCGTCGCTGCAGTGCGCTGATGCTCTCTCTCTCCCCTCTCTCCTGTGTGTGTGTGTGTGTGGTGTGTGTCAAGGCGAAACCTGGGTGTGACTTTGCCGGACCATAACATCACCGTGGTGTTGAGCAACCCGGACGTGCACTACTACACCTTCTCCCTGGCGCTGTCGAAGCAGGTCAACTCTACCTCCTTCGCCCGCCGGCAGAGCTCGACCTACCCGGTGGCCAGTTCGGGCCGAACCGTCAGCGCCGCTCCCGCCCGTACGCCCGCCTTGCAGCTTTCGACCCAGTACGCCACGCAGAGAACTGGCTAACCGCTACTCTGGGTGTTGGTGTGGGCCACATGATCAGAGCTGGCCGCCACCGTCAACGACTCGCCGTACAGGATCACGTATCTGCCCAGCTACCTGTCGGGCTCGTACAAGGGCTCGTATCCGACGGTCACTGAGGCCTCCCTCGCTCTGCCCTCGGGCGCGGTCGTCGCTCCCACCACGGAGGTACGCCACAGCAGCACGCCCGAGCCTTGCTATTTGGCCTTGCTATTTGGCCAAATACCAAACACCGCTGCTTCCTCCAACCAGGCGATCGAGTCGGCGATGGCGGAGGTACCCACGTTTAGCGACCGCTTCACCGCGGACCTCGTCAACCCCAAGGGAAACGCGAGCTGGCCGCTCTCGTCCTACTTCTACATGCTCATCGCCGATACCAGCATGACCGACGTGCAGCGCGCGGAGTTCCTCGTCGATTGGATCTGGTGGATCGTGTCCACCAGCGATGGTGCCCATCTCGCCGAGCTCAACCGCAGTACGCTCCCCCCCAATCCCGTCTCAACCCACTCCGTGTGCTCCAACTATGACCGACTCCACCCCCGGGGGCGCACACTGTAGTGGTGCTGCCGAGCGAGGAGACCAGGCGCCGGATCCTGACCACGCTGGTGGGCGTCAAGGCCAACGGCGTCTATGTCAACTCGCTGCGCGGCTGCGTCAAGGACGGGTACATCTGCTCCAATCAGGGCAACTGCTCGGCGGGCGTGTGCGCCTGCGAGTCCGACCGTACGGGCCAGTACTGCGAGGAGAACGTCAGCGCCGACGGCGGGCTCAGCACCGGTGCCGTCATCGGCATCGTGCTGGGGGTCGTGCTGCCCCTCGTCTGCTGCGTCATCCTCGGTCTCATCGCCCTCATCATCCTCGTCGGCTTCTGCAGCCGACGTCGCAAGGTACCCTGCGCCCAACACTTCGTTCTTCTTCGTTCCCTTTCTTCTTGTCCCAGGACTGAACTAATGCGCGGGCTTGACGCTGGCATAGAACGAGGACTGGCTGGTGGACCCCAACGAAATCGAGTTTGGCGAGGTTCTGGGCACGGGTGGCTACGGCGAGGTGCGAAAGGCGGTCTGGCGCGGTACCGAGGTGGCGGTGAAGACGCTTCTTGCGGGAAACGCCTCCAACGAGACGAGGAATGCCTTCATCGACGAGGTGCGCGTGATGACCACTCTGCGTCACCCTCACGTAGTCCTCTTCATGGCCGCCTCCACCAAGCCTCCCAAGCTGTGCATCGTGATGGAGCTAATGTCTCTGGGCTCCCTTTACGGTACGAATCGAAAGACTGTCCACTCAGTTGGCGCGAGCCTAATCCGCGCAAGCGCCGTAACGTTACAGATGTGCTGCACAATGAGCTCATCCCGGACATCCCCATCGCGCTGCGCATGAAGATTCTGCGCCAGGCCGCGAAGGGCATGTACTTCCTCCACTCCTCGGGTACGTTTCCTATTTGTTTCTCTTTTTGTTTCTCTTTTTTTGCTCTTTGCGAGTTGTTGGTGTTGACGCCCCGTCTCCGTGGCTGGGCAGGCATTGCGCATCGCGACCTCAAGTCGCTCAACCTGCTGCTCGATGCCAAGTGGAACGTCAAGGTGTCCGACTTCGGCCTCACTCGATTCAAGGAGCAGATCAAGAGAAACCAGCAGGAGCAGCTCATGCAGGGCGGGAGCATCCACTGGACCGCGCCCGAGGTGCTCAACGAGTCCTCGTACATCGACCACGAGGCGGCCGACGTGTACTCGTTCGGTATCATTCTCTGGGAGGTCCTCACGCGCCTCGATCCATTCGCGTCCATGAGGTACACCCTCCCATCATCACGCGTACCCAACACACACACACCACACACACACACACACTTAACGGTTATTATTTATGGCCAACAGCCCTGCAGCGGTGGCCGTGGCGGTGCTGCGGGACAACTTGCGGCCTGAGGTGCCGAGCGACGCCCCCGAGGACTACGTCTCGCTGATGCGCAACGCGTGGGACAGCGACCCCACGGTGCGGCCCAAGTTCCTGGAGATCATGACGCGGCTCGACTCCCTGGCCGAGCGCGGCTCCAGCACCACCGGCCACGGCTCGTGGACGACGAGCAGCGGGACCGGCGGCAACCCGTCCGTCCTCGGCTCCAACGCGAGCACCGGCTCGCACACAAGCCACTCCTCGGACCCGGGCCGCCGGGTGGCGGGCCTGGGCACCCGGGCGCCGACCGGCGAGGTGGCGATCGTGTTCTCGGACATCGTGCGGGCCATGGCCCTGTGGGAGCACCACCCCGAGGCCATGAAGGACGCCACCATCGCCCACAACTCGCTCCTTCGCTCGTCCCTCCTCCAATTCGACGGCTACGAGGTCTCCTTCTTCAAGTTCGTATTTCCTCCCCGCCCACCCACACAGCGTGATCGTTTTGGGCGCCCAAACGATGAGATTGTGGGCTAACATAACAATAAACGCGCAGGGACGGCAACAACGGCGAAGGTGCGCTGTGTGCGGCATTCCAGACCGCCGACAATGCGCTGGAGTGGTGCATGCACGTGCAGAGCGAGCTCCTCCGCGTCGACTGGCCCCGCGAGCTCCTCAACCACCCGGCCGCCGCCGAGGAGTGGGGCGACACCGACGATCGCGTCATCTTCAAGGTACGCGCACGGCTGTCCGGCCCTCTTTTCCCGCCGCTTTTCCTGACCTACATTGGGGGCGCACAGGGTCCGCGGGTGCGAATGGGCGTACACCTGGGCGAGCCGCGCCGTGTGGCCGACCCGCTTACCAGGCGCATCGAGTTCACCGGACCTGTGGTGAACACTGCGGCACGCATCACGACGCTGGCCCACGGCGGCCAGGTGCTGATCTCGGAGGCGACCTGGGGCAAGGTCAAGGAGAGCGCCCTGGCCAAGGAGCGCAATCGGCTGGGGTGCGTGGGCAAGTTCGAGATGCCGGACAGTCCCGAGGGCACGCGGCTGTACGAGCTGCGCGCGAGGAACCTCGAGGGCCGCTTCTTCGGCGGCATGGGGGCCGACCAAGCCCAACGCGGGCGCGGACGACCTCAGCAGGGACGACCTGAGCGACGAGGCCGACCCCTTGGACAGCGGCGAGATCGAGCATCTCAACCAGGTCGGCGATCCCATGGAAAAGGAGGACGCCTTCCTTGCCTCTGCCAACCTGTGCCGGTATGTACAACACACACACCCCACACACACCCCACACACACCCCACACACACCCCACACACCACACACACCGCACATGCACTGCCGCACATGGGCTCATGGTTGATCGTTACATACGTGCGTAGGTGGATCATCGACTACAACGAGATCCAGCTGGGCAAGCAGGTGGGTATGGGCAGTTACGGCCTCGTGAACCACGGTCGCTGGAAGGGCATCGAGGTGGCGGTGAAGCGGTTCATCAAGCAGAAGCTCACCGAGCGTCGCCTGCTCGAGTTCCGTGCCGAGATGGCCTTCCTCTCGGAGCTCACCCACCCCAACGTCGTCATGTTCATCGGTACCCACCCATCGCCTCCATCACGGTGCTGTGTGCGTATTTGGCATTCTTCAGAAGGCTGACAGTCGGTATGCGATGAACATTCCAGGCGCATGTGTGAAGAAGCCCAACCTGTGCATCGTGACCGAGTTTGTGCAGCAGGGCAGCCTGCGCGACATGCTGGCCAATCGCGGCATCAAGCTGCCGTGGCAGCAGCGGCTGTCGATGCTTCGCTCGGCGGCGCAGGGCGTCTCCTACCTGCACAGCCTCCAGCCCACCGCCGTGATCCACCGCGACCTCAAGTCGTCCAACCTGCTCGTGGACGAGAACATGAACATCAAGGTGGCCGACTTTGGGTTCGCCCGACTCAAGGAGGAGAACGCGACGATGACCCGCTGCGGCACGCCCTGCTGGACCGCCCCCGAGATCATCCGCGGCGAACGGTACTCGGAGAAGGCCGACGTCTACAGCTTCGGCATCATCATGTGGGAAGTCCTCACCCGACGCACCCCCTTCGCTGGCCTGTACGTGTTTTCACACAAACACCGCACACGCACACATACACCGCACACGCACACGCACACGCACACGCACACGCACAGAGAGTCAATACTCACGCAACCTTCTTTTTGTCTTAAGGAACTTCATGGGCGTTTCGTTGGACGTGCTGGAGGGCAAGCGCCCGCAGGTGCCGGGAGACTGCCCGGACGCGTTCAGGAAGATGATGAGCCGCTGCTGGCACGTACGGCCGGAAAAGCGCCCCGACATGGCCGACGTCGTGTCCTTCCTTTCCCAGCAGGCCGGCGGCGATGGTCTCCTCATCTCCGACATGGCTTAGCTTTGACGCGTGTCCATCACTCAAGTTTTTTTTTTTTTGAATTAAAAAACGGGATCAAAAAGAAAAACCTGCCATCATTTATTTTGTATTTGTATTTGGAAGGCATGGCAGGGTGTGGTCACGTACGGCACCTGGCCCACTTGCCCACAGGGCCAGGCGAGCCTGACAGGGGGTATGATGATGGTGGCTGTATGCTGCAGGTGGACGTGTTGGTGGTAGGTCCGGAGGCGGACCGCCTGGTGGACGTGCTCGCCGCACTGCTGGCCCAGACCAGCCCCTCGGTGGACCTCCGGGCGCCGGGGGTGCTCGCCTCCTCCGTGCGAGTGGCGGTGAGTACTCCCCATCTCCTTTACTCCCTCGCCTGAACCGCCACTTAAGAGGGGGGGGGGTTGGGCCGTGCAGGGCATGGGCCGGCGGGTGAGCAGGGCGCTGGTGCTGCCTGAAGTCGAGACAGTCATGCTTCGCCTTCACTTCCACACCGTCGAAGGCGCGCCACCACTTTCCACGCACCCCTAGGGCGCCCGCGTTGGCTAACTTGTGTGCACTACTCTCCGCAGAGGAGCTGTTGGACCCGCACCTGCTCGGCGCCTTGCGAGCGACGGCGCCCTTCTGCTGTGTGATCGTCACCTACACGTGCGGCAGCGAGGAGAGCCTCAAGCAGGCGGAGCAACTGGTCCACCAGTACACCTTTTTTCCTCGCCTTCCGTCCCCCAACGGCCTTGCCCATTCACTCGTTTCTCGAACAGACTCGTCAGCCGGAAGCTGCGGCCAAAGCAGAGGAAGGCCCGTGCCAAGGACCACCACCACTCACATGGCCTTGAGACCGAGTGCACATGCGGCGCACACCAACACGAGAGGTGCACACGACTCCTCCCTTCTTCTTCGTCTCCGCTGGGTCTGATCGCGGGTGGGGGCGTGAAGTGACGGCGTGGAGTCGGCCCTGGCAGAGGCCTTGACGGAGCCCGCACGCGTGTGGAAGGTGGGTCTGGGCCTGCTGGTCGGGGTGGAGCCCGCGGCGCCGCTCGCGCCCCTTCCGCCGCTCCTCCCCTTCTCGCCCGCCGACGTGTCTGCACACACGACCGCGGGCACCGGTGCATCACCGGCCAAGTCGACGGCCACGCGGCCCTATGCCAAGGAGGCTGAAGCCCGACTCATGAAGCGAGCAGTCGAGATCATGGAGCCCTTCCGCTCTGCGCCCAGGTACGCTTTCGCCCTTCACTCCCGTAGTGGTGGTTGCTGATGATGGACTGACACCGACAACGTTGCAGGAGGGTGAGCGATCAGGATCCCTGGTCGGCGTTGGGCATCTACGAGTGGGCGGTGGATATCCACAACCAGCTTCACCCTGGCATGCCTCCCATTCCTGTCACATCTGTCTCGTCCCTGCTCGGCCGACCCCTGCCATAGCATGTGGTGCAAACAATCCCTCTTTATCATTTTGTGTTTTCATGCCGCTCGCTAGACATGTGGCAAAGATGATGCTGGCAGTTAGTGAGTGCCAGTAAAATGAAGATATACAGTGGAGTTTGCAGCAGGAAGAACTAGCAAGGTCCCACTTGTGCGGCGGAGAGAAGGACACGTGATCCGAAAAGTTCATGTTTTCACATAAGCCTTGCTAGCTCAGTCGGTAGAGCGTCAGTCTCATAATCTGAAGGTCGTGAGTTCGATCCTCACGTGAGGCACTTGCTTTTTGTTTTGACTTGCTCGAACCTCAAGTGATAGCTTCCCCTCAAGCACCACAGACATCAACCACACAGACCAACAAACAGGGGGTCCAACAAAGGCGTTTATTCATCAACTCCGCTGACTCATGGAGGGTGGAGAAGCTTAAATACAAAACAGGCCTGGAGAGGGGGGAGAAAGAAGAGAGGGGAGTGGGGAAGGAGAGAAGAGAATTACTACGAGTCGGAGGTGGAGATCTTGGGGAGTTTGGGGGATTGGATGGAGAACTTGAGCCGTTTCGAGTCTCGTTCCTTGTCCTCCTCCTTCGTCACTCCGCCCGCCTCTCCGCTGTCCTCGTCGTTTTCTTTCTTCTCTGTCTCCTCGCCCTCGCCTTCGTCGCCACCATCGGCCGACGCCGACGCCGACGCCGCCTCGCCGCTGGCAGAGGCCTCGTCGTCCTCCGTCGCCGCTTCGCCAGGCGCTGCGGTATCTCTCTTCCTCTTTTTGGTGTCCCCGTCTCCGTTCTCGTCGTCCCTCATCGCCGGCGGTTGTTTGTGGTCCTGCGCCTCCTTCCGCTGGCCGGCCTTCTTCCGTTCCTCCTCCTCGCCCTCCTCCTCCTCTTCTTCACCTCCTCCCGCACCGCCCTCCGCTTCCTCTTCCTCCGCTTCCTCCTCCTCTTCGCTCTTCTCCTTCCCCTTATCCTCATCGTCCTCATACGACACCAGCCCTCCCTTCGGCTCCTCGTCGTCATCGTCATCGCCAAAGAAATAGCTGTCGTCCACGTCGTCGCCGGCAGCCCTTTGTGGCGACCTGTCGTGTGCGCCCGGCGCGCGTTAGTTCGCAGCCCCAGAGCCCCCCCCCCAGAGAGCTGGTGTGACTTGAACACGAGGCCACGTGGTGAGCAAAGATACGTACTTGGTGGGTCCGGAGAAGACCTTGTTGACGTTTTCGTCGTAGTCCTTGTTCTGTTCGTACTTGAGCTGAAGCAGCTTGAAGGTCTCTACGTAGTCGACCTCCTTGAAGGTGTCCGAGTAGTTCTCTATCACGTGCTTGAGCAGCGCCTTGATGTTCTCCTTTCGGATGTAGTCGAAGAGCTCGATCACGGCCGAGTTGATGAGGTTGTACTTCCTCCCGTTGGCGACGAAGAGCTGCACGATCGGGTCGAAGAGCTTGAACTTCATGATGTGCCGATTGTAGAAATCGTCCTTGGCCGCCACCATCGCCCTGAAGAACCTCAGCGCCGCTGCATACAGAAGAAAAAGCCCACGAGTGAGTGAGACTCCATTGGACCTTTGGGGTTTGACATTGGCGAGCGTACCGAGGGCGACATGCTTGGGCTGGGTGCTGGAGAGGAGTTTGGAGACCTTGGCGGCGATGTTGTTGCCCAGCGTGAAGTACTTGATGTGGTAGCCGTGGTGTTGGCAGCAATACGCCAGCAACTCGCAAAGCTCCTGCCTGCGCGCCGGCTTCAGCTCGGCCTCGGCCGGGGTCTCCACCTTGTCCTTGACGTCGACGTCCATGATGGGCGCCATCAGGCCCTTCATGAACGTCTGGTAGAAGAGCGTCAAGAACTTCTCCTTGTCGGTCGTCTGCCGGTCATCAAGAACGAAGACGACGACGTGTGAGAAAATGAACGCGAGCGGGGGGGGGGTGAGAGATAAGGATCGAGGGAGAGGCCCACCTCTTCCATGGTCTCGGTGTCGACCAGAATTCGGATGACCTCCACGAACTGGGACAGGAGGCCAACGTCGGTCTCCAGGAGTACCCGGTCGATCAGCTTGTGGAACAGCGGGTAGTCGGGCCGCTGCGCCAGGAGGAACTCCCTGAAGTGCACGGGATCGTGCGAGAGCACGTTGTTCACCAGGTCGGCACTGCAGAGGGAGCGGAAGAGTCCGCACGGGGTGTGAGTGTGAAGAAGGGACTCGCGCGCAGCAGAACTGGGCAACGATCGAGAAGAAGAAAGGTGGTGCGCACCAGCTGAGCCGAATCTTGATGTTGGACTCCGCGAGCGCGGTCTCGAAGATCTCGAACATGCCGTACTTGGCCAGCGCTCTGTCGATGGTGCGCGGAGAGGGGAGAGAGTGTCAGAGAGTTGGAATGACCAGAAGGCCCCAGCGCGCGATAGATGGTATGTGCGCGTACTGGTAGAAGTCGCGCTGCTGAGGGATCTGCAGGTTCTTGGCCAGCGAGCAAAACTCTTGGAGGAAGCCCAGCAGGTCGACCAGCTCCTCCTTCGTCGCCGTCCTGAACTTTGAAAATCTGCAGAAATGCAAGGAGAGGTCAGTATCGTGTGTGTGTGTGTGTGTGTGTGGCAACGGATAACAACGTTTGATGGAGAGCGGGAGACGGGAAGTGGCGGACGTACAACTCCGTGAGGAAGGTGGTGTCTTTGTACAGGTGATCCACAATCTCCACGTTGTTGAAATAAATTATCGAGTTGATGGTCGCGAAGGTCATGTCGTCGAGGAGCCTGGGCAGAATGACGTCCTTGAGGTACTGGATCCTGAAGGTCTGGTGAATCTTCTTGAGGATGTCGGCGTTCCGGATGGGGACGACTTCCTTGAAGACAACGCTGTTCTGAAGGTACTTGCGATGTTCCAGCTTGGGCGACACCTCGGGATCGTCTGTAGAAAAAGAGAGCGAGAGAGAGATGCGGATCAGTCGAGCTGCTTGCACACCACAGCGGCGACAGCAACGAAAGCGGGCGGGCTGTGGCGAGCGCGTACATTCCAAAGCCCCAACCGTGGTCATGTAGTTCTGATCGTTAAACATCGTCTCCATCAGGTTGGGATCATTGAGGAGCACTGGCACGCCCCCATCAAAGGCCCAAGGTTAGACACAGACCGGATCAGACGTTGGGCAAGGAAGGGATGCTTACCAAGGTTCTTGAAAATGTTGAACATGAGGTGAAGCTGTGCTTGGTTGCCCGACTCCTCCACCACTTTGAACAGCTCGATGAGCTTGGTCAAATAGCCCTGCGTGGAGTGAAAGTGGGGCGGTGAGCCGGCGGCGCGGGAAGAAAGTGGTGGCTTGCGGGGAAGAGAAGCGCTTGGGATGATGACAAAGGAGGAGAGAGCGAACCTGTGTGGCGACGGAATTGGCAAGCCGTTCCTTCATGTGGGAGTTGTGCTCGCCATCGAACACGCCATTCATCTTCTGCAGATTGCTAAGGTTGGCTGGCGGTAGCTTGATCCCACTGAAGTAGCTTTCTTCTTTACACAATGGGAAAGGGAGATCAGCATTGCCAGAACGAGCTGTTGCCTACTCTCATGCGCGGTGCGCAACACACGACACACATGACACAGGCGACACGCGACACACACAACAGCCCCGTACCTTCCTCTGTAACCACCTCTTCTGAGGATTCGGAAGGGTTGCGACCCTGCACGGCACAGATTTGCTCCCTGCAGGAAAAAAAGACAAGGCCAAATTTAGCAACAGGCCAAGAAGAAGACATAATTAGCTGCTAACCAAAGATCCACCGGTGTGGATTGAGGAGTCACATACCACACCTCCTTGCAGCCTTGCTCTTCCTGGAAGCTCAGGGCGAGATCTAGCCCTGACTCTGGCTCTTGCCATACGATGAGAGTGTCTAGAAGATTGCCGGCAAGATTTGAGCAATTTTGGCACTCATAGGAGTGATCGGTTGGGTAGGGAGGCAGGCACCTTGCTGGAGCTGGTAGATGTCCTCGGTCTGGATCTTCGATTCCAGAATTGTTTCGCCTCCCTTCTCTTCCGATTTAACGGTAAGCGCGAGGGCATCAAAGGTCTGATTCAACAGAGCACACGCACACACACAGGATGAGAAAGAGAAAGCGGACGGGAAAGGCGAATTGAGAAGAGCCACAGATTTGGATTGAAGATGAAAAGGATGTGCTAGCAGCGAAAGAAAAAGAAATCACGCTTAATTTGGCGTGGATGGGAGGTGAACATCGTCGTACCTCGTGATGAACACAGGCAACGTGGCCGGTGCCAACGTCGTCCCACTGCCCTTCATCGTTCAGCTTATAAACCTTAACACGGCGCCGCGTGCTCTTATCGCCAGATGATTTGTCGGGATTCATGGTGTGTCCTCTGCCGCCTTGCGATTCTCCAAAATTGCCGAATCAAATGGGGTGATGATGGGGGCTGGGTGAATAATTAAAACATCCAACCCTTCCTCTATTTGCTTCGTCCGGCAGGCCTCGCACACGCTGGAATAAATAAATTGCCTGACTCCAATAAAGCTGCTCCACAAAAAAGAGGTGGCGGCACGAAGAGGGGCGAGGATTGGACGAGATGGAAGCTGAGAAGGAGGATGATCCTTGATGAAGGGCAGCGGAGGGTGGCTTGGCGCGAAAGTGCAACAGGCACAGCTCTTCTTCGCAACCGGAAACCGCACTCGGGAATAGAGTGGCTGGCCCCTGTGACTTGCCCGCCAAAACCGGAACATTCCTCGAAAAAGAATGCAAAAAACAGATTTGATTTTTGATTTTGATAAACAGAATGATTTCCCCACGGCTCCCTGCTGTGGTGCAAGGCCGATCAAGCCCTCTCCTTTCCCTTCTCCTTCGACTCGTCCGTGCTGCCGAGGCCTCGCACGACCCTCGTGCCGTTCTTGTCGACCACCTTGATCACGAAATCGGGAGAGTTGATGATGAAGCGGGCGCGCAGCTCGGTGATGCACTTCTCGATGATGTCGATGCCCTGCTCGAGCGTCAAGTCCTTCTTGTAGTATTTGTCGAGGATGCTGAGGCAGAAGTAGGCGCAGTAGCCGTGGGCGGCGTATTCGAGCTTGTCCATGCTGGCGAGGTAATCGAGGAAGTAGAGGGCTGGTCCCTCTTCATCGACGCCGCCGAGAAGGAGATTGACTTGGTAGGGGGAACTGCGCAGCGCGTCAGCGAGCTCGCCTCGCACGAAGTTGGCCGTGGCATGCGTGCCAAGCGTGAGGTTGTTCCTGAACTTGTAGAGCTTGAGATTGCGCTGCACGTACTCGGTGAAGTGCACTCGATCGCCCACGGGACCCACCGCGCCCAGAAGCTTGTGGCTATCCAGCGCCATAATCTTATCATCGTCCAGCTTCATCTTCAGCACAGACCGCGCCGTCGTGGTGTCAGCCGCGATGAGGACATAATCCGCACCCACCAGTCCAATCAGGGAATCCGACATCTTCTTGCTCTACGCTCTTTCTTTTTCTTGTGTTGATTGCAAGCTTTGTTCAATCCTCTCTTCCCCACACGCTGCGCCACAGCGAAGGGTTTGCTGGTTTCTTTTTGCAGGCATCCCAAAAATTTGAGAAAATGCACCATAAATTGCGTTTCACTCCTGAAGTCTCCTCAGCTGAAGCTTGCATCCCGGAGATGGCTGTGGTGCAGCAGAGGTTCGGCATCTTGTGGTGTGAGGACAGTGCCAAGTGGACCGGACAGTGGTCTCTCTACGTCAATGCCCTCGGCGAGCATGACAGTGAAGTGTGGGAGGTATTTCATGTGTGCGAGGGCCAGCTTCCGTCCCTCGACGCAATCCACGACTACACCGGTACGATGGTTGTGGGCACACTTTAATCTATGGTTAAACCGTTAATCATCAAATTGATCTGATTTGCCAGTGCTCACGCAACATGCACTCCTTTTGCCTGTCAGGCTTCCTCATCAGTGGAAGCCACTGGGCGAGCTATGACGAAGAGCCCTGGATAAAGCAGCTCCACCAATGGATTCGAGGGTGCGTGTGTCACTTCAGTCCACTCCCTGTGTGGTGCTTTGCTCCACTAAGTGTCCTGTTGGTGGTGGCGCTGTGATTGTTGTGCGCGCACAGGTACCGAGAATGCACCATGGAGCTGGCGCAGGGTCCACAGATGGTCGGCATCTGCTTCGGTCACCAGGCCATCAGCGACGCTCTGGGTGGTCGAGTGGCGTTGAACAGTCGCTTCGTCATCGGCACCGAGCGGGTGCGACCCAACGAAAGGTACCGCCTCGCCTCTCCCTTGCGAGCGGCTGCCTGTGCGCACAGTCTGACCCTCGCCGGCTCCAGGTTCGCGGAGAAGCCCTACGTTCGCATGGCCATGGCCGAGCTCGGTCTGGTCGAGCTTCCGGACCTCGTTCACGTGCTGCAAAGCCACGGCGACGCGGTGCACGCGCTGCCGCCCGGCGCCGAGCTGCTGGCCTCCTCCCCCGACACCGAGGTGGAGATGTTCACCATCGGGGATCGCATCATGGGCATCCAGGGCCACCCCGAGTTTGCCCCGGAGCTGCTTAAAGGTACCGTCTGCTCGGTCGTGATGGCTGTGCGCGCACCGGTGATCAGTTTTTGGCTGACCCGTCTATGTTTCCTGCCCTCTCTCCACGCTCCCCAGAGAAAATACTCGACGAGATGGTGGGTACGTGAGCGACCTCCACGCAGTTCAGCGCTACGCTCGTGAGCGCCCTTTGCTGACTCGCGCGCGGGCGCGCTCTCTCTCTGGATTGGGGCTCACACAGCCAACGGCAGCATCACGCCCGAAGCGGCAGCCGAAGTGGAACGGGTCATGCGGGAGCAGCCGCTCCACCACACCTTCCTGCGCAAGGTCCTCCAGGGCTTCATCAAGGGCAAGTCCCTCCCCGCTGCCTCCACGCCCCTCCAGCCCGCCAGCCATCCCATCCCCATCCCCATCGAATAGATCCCTCTTCTCTTCACTCTTTAGCCCCCACCCCTTCCCGAGTCCACGACAATGGCGTTCGGGGGTTGTTTGATGGTTTCCAGCTTCCAGGTGGCGGGCACCAGCGACGGTCGTGCCGTTACCTTTAAAAAAACTGAATCGACGAACGACAAACGACAGCGACAAGGAAGAAGAGAAGGAAAAAGGACGAAGACGAAGACGAAAGGAGGCAGGAGGCAGGAGGAAGGAGAGAGAGTACGACTGCCCACAGTCAATGGGTGCAGCGGACAGCAAGGCGGGGGCGGCCGCGAGTCCGTCGTCGGGGGAGAGGAAGGTAAAATGGAAGGGGACCCCGCCCCCTCCCCAACAGCAGCAGCAGCAGCAGGGAACCCCAACTTCATCGGGGGGAGGGGGCGGGGTCGAGAGGACCCGCGCCGCGGGGAGAGGGGGCGGGCGAGTCGGGGGAGGGGGCAAGAACGACCGGGTCTACTACGAGAATCTCAACCGGGCGCGGAAGAACAGCATCGAACGGATCAGCGGCATGCGACTGGCGGGCTGGCTCTCGCGCGAGGAGAGGAACGGGTCGGACGGCCGGGCGCAGCAGCAGCAGCAGGAGGCGCTACGAGGTATCTCCCGCTCGGCCCCGCCTTCGCCCCACCCCACCGCCTCGCCCTCGCGGCAGCAGCAGGGCGGGTCTTCGTCGTCGCCCCGCAGCTCCGAACAAAACCAAAGAGCGAAGGCGAAGGAGAAGAGAGCGACGAGCCCATCCCCCAACAAAAAGAACGAAAAGCGAAAGGGCGCGCCCTCCGCTTCGCTCTTTGGCGACAACGCGGGGGACGATCGCGAAGGTGAAGCTGACGGCAGAGTGTATCATAAGGAAGAGGAGGAGGACCGAGTGAAGACGAAGACAAAGAAGAAAAAGAAGAAAACAAAGACTAAGACTAAGACGAAAGCGAAAGCGAACGCGGCGGCGGTGGCGGCGAGCGAGGTCGGTTCGGGGAGCGATGGGCCGGAGGTGAGGCGGGATGCGGGCGATGAGACCATCGGCGCATCGCCATCGTCATCATCGTCGTCGTCGGGATCGCCCAAGCCGGACGCACCGCGATCGCCCGCAAAGCAGCACAGCAGCAGCGACGGCGGCAAGTCGCCGAGGGTGAAGCGCAAGACGACGGCAAAGAAGAAGAAGAAGAAGAAAACGACGGAGACGGAGACGGAGACCAAGGCCAAGACAAGAAGCGTAGGCGGCAGTGGTGCTGATGACGACCACCGTGTAGAGAAGACGACGAAGACGGAAGAAGAGGAACTGCGGGAGGCGTTCGAAGAACGAAAGCGAAAACGAAAGAAGAAGAAGAAAATGGCGAAGCGGAAGCAGCGGGAGGAGGAGGTGCGATCGCTGGAGCGGTGGGACTCGGACGTGCCGCTGTGGCTGAGCAAGGCCATCGAGCTCGAGGAGGAGTGGGGCCTGCCCGTCAAGGGCCAGCGCTCGCAGGCGAAAAATGTGGAGCAGGACGGCGACGACGACGACGAGCTGGAGCTGCTCTTCGACAATCTGCTCCACGAGGTGACCTCCAAGCTCCAGCCGCCGGCGCCGCTCGTCCTGCCCACCACCTCGACCACCGTGATGGACCGCGCCACTGCCTCCGCGCTTACGGTCGCCGCCACGCCGCCCACGCCCCGGACGACGGCCGCCGCCACGCCGCGCGCCGAGCCGTCACTCGCCCGACTTCCCTCGAGCACGACGACGCCGCGGCGGGATGAGCCGAAGTGTGCCTCAGAGCAGCCCAGCGGCGCTCCGCTACCAGAGCAGACCGCGGGCAAGGGAGACGATGTGGTCGCGGTGGTAATGGACGACGATGACGACGCCGACGAGGAGGAGCGCGACCACGACGAAGCGGTGAGGAGCGATCAGGAAGAGGAGGAGGAGGAGGAGGAGGAATGGGAAAAGGGACAGGACCCGGCGCTGGAGGAGCGGCAGGAGGAGCCGACAGAGCTTCGGGGCGCGGGGTGTGACGACCCACCGCCAGTAGCACTGCCGGCTCCGGAGACAGGCGACGCGACAGACGAAAAGAAGAACGAAGAAAAAGACGAGCGAAGAAGACAGGCGGAAGGCGCGGCCATAACGACAACGACGACGACGATGGCGGCGGCGGCAGACTCGAACCCTCCGGCCGAGCAGCAGCTGCGGGCGAAGCGGGCCTTCTCGCCGCGCAACCGGGAGAGCGTGCGGAACCTGGTCAACCTATGGGAGCTCCGCGTCTCGCCCGCGGCCTCGCCCGTGCCCTCCTCCGTCGCCTCCTCCCCCTCGCGATCCACCACCCGACAGAGGCCGCCCGCCGCCGCCACCCGGTTCCTCGACACTCCGCCGGGCTCACCGAGCATCGCCCAGCGATTCTCGGACGAGAGCGTGAATGCGAGGAGTAGCACGAGCAATCCAGGCTCGCTGGCGTTGGAGGGCCGCGGGCGGGAGCCGCGGAAGGGGGCGAGCCTGGGGCGGCGGGAGTGGCGCAACCTCAACAAGATCCTGACCGCCATCGACGAGGGCGACTCCTCCGACGTCGGCTCCATGTTGTCCGATCAGCGCAGTGGGTCGGGCCACTTCTTCTTCAAGAACGGCGGCAGCGGCAGCGTCGGCGGGCGATCGTCATCGTCGTCATCGCCGCACGGCTGGCGCGCGTTTGCGCGAAGCGAGAGCGCCAGCAACTTCTCGTCGGGGAGCGACTCGGGTGGTCCAGGCAAAGGCAAGGCCAGCGAGGAAGGGCAGTCCTGCGCGTCGACGTCAGAGAGTGACTCCGATCGCGAACGGACCGTCCAGCAGCACTCCCAGCAGCAGCCGCTCCCGTCGGGCACCACGGTGCTGCAACTGACCAAGCGCCTCATGCACTCGCCCACCGCGCCACGAAGCAACGGCGAGTAGCAACCGTGCTGATCACGGCGCACACTGCGGTAATAAATGTACATTTTAGCTGAGAGCTTTTCTGAAGAGATACATAGATCGGCAACGCTGGAGGAAAGCGCACACGCAGACGTGAGCAGCACGGAGAGGCAAGCTGACTGGAGGTGTGGTGTGGGCGAAGAGAGGTTTCGTGCTCTCGTTCAGCAATGGCGAGTGATGAGCAGAACCATAGCACTGATTCCATGGAGAGTTGATACTGCAGGGAAGCAAACAAGGGGGGTTGCCGACATGCTCGTCAACATGCGTGGCTGACTGTCACTAATTGGCACGAACAGTATGTGGGCACTCCTGCCCGGACACGAGCTGTTCAGCGTGACGAGCCATCCGTCGACATCGCGCAGCATACGATCTCAACACGCGCCTGCCCTCATCCCGCCGTGACCTCCAGAAAGCAGCGCGGCACCCTCAATTGAATTGGAACTGAAGAGGCATCATCAACTTATCGAGATCATCACTTCCTGCGGAGGAAGTCCAAGATGGAGAGGGCAGCAGAGCCGACCGAAGAGGGCGTCGTGCTCTTGCCGGGGCAGGGGCTGTCGTCTTTTGGCTTCCCGCCCGCCCCGCCGCTCAGCTTTCGCCGCTTTTGTCCCGCCGCAGCACCTTGCGTCGGGCTGGGCGTGCTGCTGCCGTGCCGTCCGCGAAGCGCCGGATCGCTCTTGGCCCTGCCCAGCCGCCCGTGGGTCACAAATGCCGCGAGCGGACCCGGGCTCGAGGTACCACCGCCACCGGTGTTCGATTTATCGGACACGGCTGGAGCTCCGGGCGCCAGCTCTTCGTCGCCGTCGTCGGTGAGGTCTATGAAGACCGGCTGACTCGGGCTGGCGCTCGCCACTCGCCCTGCCGCGGTCGTCTGCTGCGAAGGCTGCGATGGTGAGGGCTGAGTGCAGCTGGTGGTGGTGGAGGCCGAGCCCGTCTCCCGCTTGCGTTTGAGCGAGAGGCGACCGGATGATGGCGACGCTGCAAACGCGAAGAAGGGCGACTGCGGCGTCAGGGGAGATGGAGGCATCGGAGGAGACGAAGCTGGCCGCACGCACGGGTTGGTGATGGAGGAAGCGAAGAGGCCACGCCCTTTGCAGCGGGAGACGGTGAGGTCTCGACCGCCAGCGGAGAGGACTCGGCTGCTGGATCTTGAAGCTCCTTTTCGCGGGCGAGAGGTGAGTTGGAGGTGGAGGCGGCGAGCGAGCAAGCAGTCGGCGAGTGTCCATGGAGGGGTGTCGACGGGTTCGAAGGCGGCGGGGCGGCCGCCTCCTGGCTGTGTGTTGTGATTTGCTCTTCCTCCTCTGTATCGGGGAACGTTGGCGCCACCAGGCCCCCCTCACTCTGGTCGAGCGCCCCCGGCAGCTCCAGGACCCCCACCTCGCCTGCATACGCAGCCTCGGCTTCGTCTTCGTCCTCGCCCTCGGAAAAGGCCAGGGGCGAGTAGGCCTGCTGCTCGTCTTCCGCATCATCCTCATCCTCGTCCTCTTCTTCGTCCTCCTCGCGCTTGCTCTCGTCTTTGATCATCAGCTCGGCCTGGGAGTCGTCGAGTAGGAGGGCGGCCTCGTACAGGAACTGATCGTCGTCGTCGATGTCCCACGCGGCCTTGGTCTCCACCTTCACTTCGTGTTCGGGTACTGGCTCGCGCTTGATGCTGCTGTCCGACCTCGAGCGCGAGAAAAACGAGAAGAAGGCGGGCGAGGCCGAGAAGGCAGGCGGGGGCGACGACAAACTCGTCGACGCGGTCTTCGCGCTGGCGGCCGCCGCCTTGCGTTGGTCAGTGAACCCAAAGTAGGAGGTGATGGTCGACGTCAGGAACGACGGCGAAGACGAGGCTCGCTGGGGCGTTTGAAAGAGGGTCGACGCGGGGCGCGTCCGGGAGGTGGTAACGGGAGTGTAAGGGGATGCGGAGGTGGCGGCGGAAGTGGAGGTGGTGGTGGTCTTCCGTTCAAAGTGAGAAGTGATGGCCGCCTTGCCCCGAGCGGCTGCTCCAAAGTCGGGCGGAGGGGCGGTGCTGCCTTTCATCAGATCTCTGAAGTGATACAGCTGCGCCTCCACCTTGGCCTGGCTCCAGCAGTTGACCTACACCCCACATTCGAGAGTCACACACCGGTGCAATAAATAAATAAATAAATAAATAAATAAATCAATTATAAAAACGCGCGAACGTAACCCGGTGTCAAGAGAGAGAGAAGTGGAGGGAAGTGGAGAGTGGGGTACCGTGGGCACGATACAAGACGGACGGAGGAACTCAACAAACTCCCTAAGCTCGTAGTAGTTGGAGTGTTCTGAGTAGGGCACTTCGTACAGCTCCAGATTCCGCTTTGTCGTCTGCACACAAAATGGACCCGCCCGCCTGCGGTGAGCCGTCGAGGGTTTTTGTACATCAACGGGAAGGACGTGGGGCCTACGTGCTTCACGTCGCCCGCCCAGCCCGTGGGTCGAATGGCGATGATGCGGCTGTAGCGTGCTTTCATCTTGCTCATCAGTAGGCCCATCTCTGAACGAACGTGCGTGTGTGTGTGGGCATGATGAGTTGGAGCAGTCAAGCGGTTTACGTTCAAGTGGTGAAAGTGCGTACTTTGAAAAGACAGACAGTTCATTGGAACCTGCTCACAGAGGGACAGGACAAAACGGAGGGAGAGTGGTGGTGTTGAAGTCAGCGCTACGGCCTAACACGTCAAGAGATCTAGGCAGAGAGAGGCGCACCACGTGAAGATTTGTGGAGGTCGAGTCCGTGGTGATGATGTCGTCAAAATCGGGAATATCCATACATTGAAGTAGCACGTATCTGTTGGTTGATGGATAGAAAGCTTTAACGCGGGTCCCTCACCGACTGGTCTGTCTGTCAACGGTAAAAGGGAAGGTGGGCGCGTACTTTTCGCGGGTTACGAATGCCTTCATGCCACATACCCGAGCAATACCGCAAAACACCTCCTCCTTGCCTATACAATACGTGCCCACCAAGAACAGAGTCGATTCCTAGTAGAGCCTGCGGTCAGCGCAAAAACTCGAGTACCACGATCGCCCGTGTGCACACGGGTGATGGACTGTGCGTGCGTACCCGTTTCTCTCGGAGCACGAGTTCCACGACCCGCTCTACCGTTTCCTCGCGAGGCGGAAAGCAGTGCTGGGGTGCGCAGTAGGTGGTGTCCAAATAAATAGCTGTATGTGTCGCGACCAGGTTATTAGCGAACACGTGATTGCAAGACACGCGTGAGTGGGCGGCGGCGGTGTACTGTGTATTTCGTTGCGCCGAAGCTCGTCGTAGCTCTGCATGTTCGGATGGTATCGAAAGTCGCCCACGTGCAGGATATAGCGCCCATCGACCTTGAACAGCAGCAGCACCGCTCCCTGGAAGAGGACACACATAGGCGCACATTGGATGCGCATCCACAGCACAAGTAAGTGGGTACGCCTACTACGCAAGGGATCACTCGCCAATGTGATAGTGGTGGCTTACGGGGCAGTGATTGGCCGGGAGTAGCGTCACTTCCGTGCCTTCCACCATGTGTGGCGTAAACACTGCAGGGAGGCAATGCACCAAATAGACCACGTGCACGCAACCATGGTCATCAGCATGTACTTAGCCGCGGCAAGCAAGTGGGGGCGCGTGTGGAGGTCTACGTACTGGATAGAGGACGGACGTAGTTGGGGCTGACGCCCAGCTTGATAAACATCAGCTTGGCCGTTATCTCGGAGCAGTCTGGGGGAACAAGAAATTGAGCTCAAGTGGTGCAGAACACAGTCGTGTGGCAACTTGCAGTTTTAGGAGGTGAACTGTACAGATGATCCCGAAATCAAAACCCTTGGTGATGCCGGTGTAGTGATCAGAATGGAAGTGGCTGTAGGTCGTGAGATTGAGGAAAAACATGAGTTGAGCTTCGTGGTTATTGAGGAGGAGGAATCTACGCACGTGAGGAAGTAAGAGGAAACGGAGTAGGACTTATACTGGAATCCATCAACGATTATGTTGGTGCCGTTGATTTTCTTGAAGGCGGGACATGGCTTCTCCTTCCGCTCGCGTTTTGTCTTACCTCCCCAAGTACTGCCTCCACCAGCCCTCTTCTTGTAGGCCCCGCCGGTCCCCCTTTCCCTCTTCATCTTCCGCAGCCAAATGGAACTGGCATCAACCACAAGCTCGCCAAAACATTCGAGGAACGATTACGTTGTTGTGTAATGAAACGCAAAATACGTTTCTGTCGACGCCAATCAAAAAGCTTCAAGAAAATACCTTTTCTTCGTTCCAAATATCCACGACAAGATGGACGAGACCAACACAACGTTGAGAGATTTGGTGCAATGGACTTCGCCCAGTATCACTTATCTGCTGCACCCGCTGGTGGTGGCGGGCCACCGCCGAAGCGTGACGCCCTACAGCGGGGTGAGCTTCGTGACCGGGGCGGTTACGGGAATGGTCGGGTGGGCCGACGAGGCCCGGCTGGTCCGACGGCAGACCGGCCTCTTCGGACACCCGGCCTACTGGGCGTGGGTGGGCGCCCTCGAGGGAGTGCTCGACGTCCTGCTCACCGCCGCCAGTCTCTCCGTCGAGGAGGTCGTCTGTCCGCCCCCGGTAGGTGGCGCTGCGGCAACCAAGAAGCCATCGCCCTACGTCCACAACTGGCAGATGGCTCTTCTCGCTGTTTCTGAGCGCCTGGTCTGGACCTTCCTCACCCGCCCCCTCCGCATCGCCAGCAACCGCCTTCACGCCCAACTCGTACCCCCCCCCAACGTCTCTGGTTTTAAGTAGTTATTCTTTTGATTATTTTATTGTTCTTTGTTATTTTGTTGGCGGCGACGCGGACAGACGCCTCACCTCTTTGTCTCCCGCGCCGCTTGGTGTTGGCTAGCCTGGGCCTGAAGGCAAGTATCCGCTTGAAGGGCTGTTGCACGTGCTGCGACTCTTGTGGGCTGAGGACGGACTGGCCGTCTTCACTCGATCCTTTGGACCGGCTGCTGCCCATGAAGTCGTCTCCAGCATGGCGTTCTCCGTCTATGATGCCGCGGCGCCTTTCCGATCGCTTGCTCTACAGAATAGGATCAGGTACCTGGCGCTTCATCAGGCTGGCTCTTTAGGCGGCACTGTACATCACTGACCCACCGCGTGGCATTAGCAGCAACAGGCTGGTGAATGGCGGCCTACAGTCGCTGTCCCTGGCTGCCGATGAATGTGCGAGAGCGCTCCTGGTCGCGTTGCTCACGCGCCCTCTGCAGACCGTGGTGCGCCGACTGGATATTCAAGGCTGCGGACTTGCGGTACGTCGCCCACGCATCGAGCCCAAAACCTGTTCGCTCCGCACACGCACACGCACACGCACACGCACACGCACTCACACGCTCCCTTTAGCTCTGGAATGCGCCTTACAGAGGCGCATTGGACTGTATCACGAGGATTTGGAACGAAGAGGGCGTGCCTGGCTTCTACAAGGTGACTCTGTCCAGCCCTGTGTGTCCGTGTGAAATGAAGCTCAACCTAATATCTGCTGCCTTGTTCGGAATACAACAGGGCTTTGTTCCTGAGCTGCTTACCGACCTGGCGCCTGCGGGAGTCCTGTTCTTGGCCGATCTTGCCATCAGTGCCATCTTCGAGCCGTCCGTTCTCTTTGGCGTGTAGTGCTCCTTCCTTCACGGAGCAAAATAATAATTATATAAATTTAAATTTGACATTCATCTTCAAAATCACAGAACTCCCCGGCAACAGGAGATGGAGGTGTCGTGGACGTTTGTGTTATGGGTCGTGGTGCTTCTCCTGCTCTTCCACTACTTCATCTTCAAACCCTTCCTCCACGGCAAGCTCCCTATTCCGCTCGCCAAATGGGTGGGGCGTGCCGTCCACTACCCCAAGCTTCCCTTTGTGGTATTTACCTCCACCTACCCGCTTTCCCACTTTCTCTTCGAATGTAGAAACCGGTCTATAAATTGAGACAATCCGTCACCTACAACAAGATTGGCACATTCGCGCTTGGGTTGCGCCCGTCTCCGTATTGGAGCAAGATAGACGAGGACGTGTACCTGGGCTGCCTTCCCACCTTCTGGAACCAGCATCTCCTCTCGGACCTGCGCGTACGTGCCGGTACGCTGCCACTCCCGCGCGACACTGCTTTCTGCTCAAAGCTGACTCTGCAGAGCTCAATGTGTGGTGGGTGCAGTTGTGAACATGTGCGACGAGGCCTACGGCCCCGCTGCGTTCTACAAGGAGAGCGTAAGGCCCTCCCTCCCCTCTTTCTCTAGTACCTGGTCTGATTGGTGTGGGTTGTGTGGTGGAACACTTTTTGCTCCCCTAGGGCATCGAGCAACTGTATCTTCCCACGGTGGACCACATTGAGCCGACTGTGGAGGACATGAAGACAGCAGTACAGTTCATCGACCACAACGTGCAGCAGGGCAAGAAGGTCCTCATTCACTGCATGGCAGGTGCGTCCCTCTACTTCTTCTTAGTGGGCAGGATCTGCGTGGACACGTACAAATATGTCATGGTGCAGGCCGAGGGCGGAGCGCGGCTGTGGCGATGGCGTGGCTGCTGTACCGCTTCAGGCAACTTGACTTGGACACGGCGCAGCAGCTCCTCCTGTCGAAGCGGGCCATGGTGCGAGCCAAGCTCAACAAGCAGCGGAATCTGATTGCGTACCACTCTGAGCTGAGCAGCCAGCGTGCCAAACTGGTGAACTAAGCGCCGTGGGAGTGGTACTCACACCCACGCTTTATTTATATTGTACCACCACACCCAGACTATGTTGAATAATGATGGACATTATAGTATTGGGGGGGGGCTCGGGGCCTTTGTACGAAGGCACATGCCGGTTGTCCCCCGCCCCACACCCTCACCGCGGGGTGCCTTTTCGCCGAGGTTCGAACCAGCGCCTTTCTATCCGAGCAAGGCGGGGGAATCTCGCGGGTTTGTGCGAGGATGAACCCGAGGTCCAACATGGCCGGAAGATGGGGCACGTTGAGATAGCCCCATACGGCTGGCTCAACCGACGAGACCGCCTGCACACCCAACCCTTCTTACAACTCACAGGCCGCACTTTAACATCCAACACTGCCACAGACGTCACGGAACAGCCACATCGCCAGAACGTACAAGACAAGACTAACAACCACCGCTTAAACGCTTCAGCATCCTCGAAGACAGACACAGCCCATAGATGAACAACGAGGACCACTCCGTGGCCAAGTTCTACACCAACCTTTGGCTCAATGCAGCTATCGGTGGTGGGGCCTTCCTCTCTTTCTGTATGCTCCGACGGTTCGGACCCTCGGGCCTGCAACGGTACGCCATGGGACTTGCTGCCGTGTTGTTGCCTTCGTCCCTTCACGTTTGAGCGATGGGGCCTCCTGTGCAGGTTCTTCAACCCCTTCCGACGAAAGTCGGCGACAGAGGAGGGCAGGCTTCCAGAGCTGGACGAGCACCCTGATGAAGAGGAGGACCCACAGTCGGTAGATACCAGCTTCTTGCACTGGGCTTGGCGAGCCCTCGGGTGCGTTTCTCCCTTCTCCCACTCCCACTCTCTTCAAGTTGAGGTTGTTTGTTGCACCATGGTGATGGTTCTAATGAATGAGTGGGAGCAGGGTGCGGGAGGCCGACGTGTTCAGTCAACACGGGGAAGATGGAGTGATGTACATCCGCTTCTTGCGTGTGTGCTTCATGATGTGCCTCGTGATGATGGTCGTTGGCTGCGCCATCATCCTCCCCATCAACTTCACCGCCAACGACGATGACCGGTCCCAGCGCCGTGCGTCCTCCAACCCTCCTCTTGTACCAACACATTCAGTCCCACGCCTCCGCGTTTGCTGACAGTATATCATGAACATGTTTGGTGAGAGCAGAGGACATGGGCGTGTTGACGATGTCGAACATCCCCAAACGCTCGGACAGGTTCATGGCGCACATCGCGGTCACCTACTTCTACTCGTTCCTCTTCTACGGCGTCATCATGTGGACCTTCAAGCGCTACACAGCGCTCCGAACCTCTTATCTCACAGCCAACTGCGTGCGCGCCTACACTCTCCTCCTCCGCGGGATACCCAGCGACCTCCTCGGGAAGAAGGTGCTCCGGCGCTGGTTCGAGGCCCGGCTCAACGCCTCAGTGGTGGCTGTCAACTTTGTGTGGAGCGCCGGCCGATTGGACTCGCTCAAGGAGCAGCGAAGCAAGCTGCTCGTCAAGCTGGAGAAGGCCGAGATGCAAGCGGACCGCACGATCTACACCAGAAGTGGCATTTTCGAACTGTTCGGAGAGAAGGTACGTCACCCCGTCAGAATCATGTTGGTGGCAGGACCACTCACAAGGTCGAGCGGCTCAGGTCGAAGCGGCCGACTTCTACAAGGAGCGAATCGAACAGCTGGACCAGGAGATTAGCTGTCTGCAGCAAGAGAAGAGCAGGTTCACAACCACTCCTATCGGAACCACGAGTTGGGTGTTGTTCGTCACTGACTTCCCCCTCCCCCCCATCTACTCTATAGACGCATGGAGAAGTCCGGAGCGGGCTTCGTCACCCTCTCCACGACTCTTTTCAATCGCATGAAGATGGTGGCCTTTGCTGATCCCACCTCAATGACCATCTCCCCGGCGCCCGCTCCCAGTACCCATTCCCTCAGACTTCTGCGTGCCCGCAGCAGTGCTCTAACGCGTTGCCTTGCCATTCTCGCGTAGGCGACGTCAACTGGAAGCAAGTCGATACGGGCTACGTGTCCCATCTATTCCGTATGGGCGTTATCACCCTCATCCTCGTCGTCATCAGCCTGGCATGGACCATTCCTCAGACGCTCATCGTCTCCGTGGCCAATCTGTCGACGCTGCAAGAGGTACACGCTCCACCCTGTGTGTTGGGTGGGTATTTGAGCGGACGCCTGATGAAAATGATCGATGCCGGCAGGTCTCTGGGTTCGAGTGGGTTGCCGACTCCATCACCTACGGCATTCGGCCCACCGGGCTGGCGATTCTCGAGGGCTTCCTGCCGGCCGTCGTCATCACGCTGCTGCTGATCCTCGTGAAGCACCTCTTCAAGTTGGCCTACACCCGATTTGGCGGGCTGTCCTGCTACTCGCTGGCCGAGTGGTACGCCATGATCATGTACTCGTTCTTCCTCTTCCTCAACGTGTTCCTCGTGGTGGCCGTCGAAGGCACCTTCTTCCTGGCCCTGGTACGTCAACTCCTCCTCAAGCACGTCATCCCAGAGTCTGACGAGCTGGATCGTGTCGCTGTGCACTGACGCAGGCCCAAATCGTGGAAGAGCCCAGCGAGATGGTCTCATTGCTGGCCAACTCTCTGCCGCAGCAGGCCTTGTTCTTCATCATCTTCATCATGGTGCAAGGCATCGGCCGTTTGTCCTTCCAGCTCTTCCGCTTCGTGCGCCTCATCCGCTGCGCCGTCAAGTGGTGCCTCCTTGCTCGCCCCATCACGCCGAGCGAGGTACCCACACACTGCAACACCTATTTTCCCGTTTGTTGCTCTGGGCCGCCGCCTCACCTCCGCACGCGCCCGCACAAAACAGAGACGCGACCTGCTGACGGCGGGCGACTTCGATTTCGTCTCGGGCTACTCCAACGGCCTTCTGATCTTCACCATCACGCTGTGCTACAGCGTCATGGCCCCGCTCATCGCCGTCTTCGGCTTCCTCTTCTTCGCGCTGTCCCTCCTCATCGACGGCTACAACCTCCATCGCGCCACCGAGCAGAGGTGGCAGGGCGGCGGCAAGGCCTTCTCCTTCGTGCTGCACCACCTGATGGTGTCCTGTATCGTCTTCCAGGTGGTCATGATCGGCATCCTCAGCCTGAGCGAGTACGGCGGCGGCGTTGCCCTCGTGCCGCTGCCCTTCCTCACCGCCGCCCTCTGGTTCGTCCTGCACTTCGGGTGGTCGCACGTCATCAACTACGGACCCGTCGACGCGGCCACCGAGACCACCTGGCGCGACACCATCAGCGAGACCCGCATGACGCTGGCCTACCGTCAACCGGCCCTGGCCCCGCACGGCCTCGAGCTCAAGAGCACCGAGGAGGCCTTTGGCGCGGGAGTCCACGCAATGCAGCCGCGAGCCGAAGGCGAGGACGAGGACGAGGACCACGAGAAGAAGAGCCTGAGTGACGAGTTCGAGGCCCAGCACATGCGCTTTTTCCCCGAATCAGACGAAGCCGAGCCCGTCGGCGACAGCCTCGGCCTCTCACTGCAGGAGGACCGCTGAGGGTGGCCGAGTTTGTGTAAAATTGGCCAGCAGCGGTGTTGGGATATTTCCCTCGACGTGCCCGCCTTTTCCACCAACAAAGCCCCTTGGCTTTTGTAGCGCCGTGAAGGAGGCGGAGTAGATCTACTACTTCTCTGCCCCCTTCGTGAGGCCCACCCCTATTTATTACCACTATCGCACTTGCTATAGAGTTGAAAGGACAATGGGGCGAGCGCGACAAGAAGCGGCGCAAAGGCAGAGAGTGATTGGGGTAGTCGTAATCTCGGCGCTGCTAGCATTGGGGCTGCTGGTGTGGCTGCCGTTCCAGGGGCAGGATGCCCAGTACATCGAACAATGCCTTGCGGAGTGGGGCACTGCTCACTCTGGTCCACCCCCCACCTCACCACCACCATTTCTCTCCGTGGCAGGGACTCACTCTTCTTCATGCACAGACACGGATCAGGATATGAACATGGACCCCAGCAACTGCCCAAAGGAAATGCCCCCTGCATTGAGAGACGCTTACACGCTCAATGGTATGTGCTCCGCTATCAAGTGCGTGAGCTTGAACTTTGTTGCTGAACCGTCCACAGGCCAGATTGACGTCATGCTGGAGTTCAAGTGCCAGACAGGCCCCGCCTACCAGAAGAAGCACCACTACTCGCAGGAACAGATTGATAGCAGTGCGACACCACACCATACGAGCGATATGCAAAGCTCATCCGCGCATGCTTCGTCACCACAGCAATTGCAAACGTGCAGAAGGGACTTGGAAACTACTACGGCGTTCTTGATCGATTGCTCTACAAGGCTCTGGAGGAGTTCCCTCTGCACATGAAGGATGTAATAGTTCTAGGCAGTCAACGGTACCTCCTCCTCACTCTGCAGCATCTACCACAGGCCTAATCTCACGTTGTGGAGCTTAGGCCTGTGTATGAGAGCGTGTGTCTTGTGTACGGAGGCCGCACCTGCACCACCATTGATTTTCAACGCATCACCGCTGACGACTCGAGGTATGCGGCCGAACCAGATCATGAAACTCGTAATTGTGAGCTCTAGCTCACATTGCTGCCCGCAGGCTGCGATTCCTTACCGTGGCCGACTACGATAAGAACTCCGAGTTGTTCGAGGTGGCCATTTCGCTGTCGTCCTTCGAGCACGACGGTCTTGGCAGGTAGCACACCCTTTGCCTCGGGCATTGATTGCAGCTGGGGGCATGGAAGTTGACCTAATCTCTACGAACAGATATGGTGATCCGCTGCGACCAAACGGCGATATCGAGATGATGAAGAAGATGAAGTGTCTGGTGCGCCCTGGTGGGCTGCTGTTCCTGTCAGTGCCCGTGTCCAAGGACAGGATCATCTGGAACATGCACCGCATCTACGGCAAGCTTCGGCTGCCCATGCTCCTGGCCCACTGGAAGATCGAGAAGATCTTCGCCACGCACGAGTGGAACTCCAGGTACGGCTACAGCGGGCGCTCGCCGGGAGCACTGCCCTCTTACTCACAGCTGTCGTCACGATGGGACACGCACACAGGTGGCGGATGGAGAATCCATCGCACTTGGCAGACTTTGAGCCCTTGTTCGTGCTGAGGAACGAGATCCCCGATCCAGGACACAACGAACGGGTGCTGGATGAGCACCAATGAGGAGTCTTCGTGCGGAAGAGGCCCAACGCGTCTCTACGCCCTGCTCGTGCTGACGAAGATGTGATACAATGCGTCGTTCCCTCGTCTCGGTAAAGCTAAAGCGGGGTACATCTCTAGAGGTTGTTCTTCTGCGGGGCGAAGTGCCACTCCCTCCCCATCTGCGCCGCGATCAGGTGGAACCTGTCCGCTCCGAAGTGCATCTGCGCCTGTGCGGCGTGAGTCATTCACATGGAGTGACGGAAACTCCATACACAAACGGGACATCGCGCACCTTCTCCGTGGGCTCGCTGGCGCGGCGCACGAAGAAGATGGGCGCGCCAAACGCGCCGCGCTTCACGGCCTCGTCGGTCGCCGCCTTCAGCTCGTCCTTCACCTCCGCACCTGATCCCGATAAACGGGGATCACCGTGAGTTTCAACTCTCGCACAACTGCTATTAATTACAACGTCGTTATTTGGGGGGGGGCTCTACTTGGTGCGTTCTGGAGAAGGAGGGCGGCCTCCTCCTCGGTGCAGCCGCTCGCAACGAGCGCGGCAGTGAGAGTGGGGACGTCGTTGAGGTCGCCGTCCTCCTCCCAGTAGATCTGCCACAGACGCTTGCTCACGGCGCGCAGGCGGCGCTGGCCTTGGGCACCGCTGGTGGAGGCACGGTCGTGGCGGTCGAGGGCGACGAGTACCCGCTGGGCGAGGAGGGTCAGGGCCGGGAATCGGGAGGGTATCCGCACGCGGAGGCCCAGTGCGCGCGAGAGGCGGTTCAGGTCGCGGCCCATGTAGCGGCCCTTGGCGGGCACCAGGGCGGGGGGCTTGTTGTCGGTGGCCTGCATGACCGCGCCGAGGAAGAAGGGACGCAGCACCACCGTCACCAGGCCGCGCCACTCGCCCTCCTCCAGGCGGACGAGCTGTTCGAAGCCCAGGTAGGAGTAGGGGCTCACCACGTCATAGAAGAACTCAATCACAAACGTGTCCATGGCGAAAATCTATCACTGGTACCTCCCCCAATTTTTTCCCTTGCGCGCGTGTTCGCCTTGGTGGCCCGCAATATCCCAAGAAGTGGCGGCCGAGCTTCCTGATGTGAGCTGGAAGCCCGAGCGAGCACGAGCGCCACCAGCAGCAAGACAGCTCCCGGAGCGCAGGGAAGGGAAGCGTGATGTATGATTGAGGCCTTCCGCCGAAACTCTGAAACTGCAAAGGCAAGCCCATTTCCTTTCTATTTCTTTTCTTCCTTGGAGGGCAAAGACCACACCCGCATACCCGTGCACCACCTGCGTGCAAGCAGAACAAAGCAATCATGACTTGGTGGGATAAGACAAAGGAAAAGGCAAATAAGACGCTCATCAACGCACACAATGCGGCGTTCGGGCCTCTCTCGAGTTCCAAGTATCTCACGGAAGGCGTTTTGACGCCCGAGGAGGTAAGAATTCATCCATTTGTTGATCCAATTATCATATAATTGAGAACATAAATGCCAACGCAACTGGGCTTCTCTTCAGTTCGTGCAAGCAGGAGATCTATTGGTGTACAAGTGTCCAACATGGAGCTGGTTCGTCGCCCCCCCCCCACGGTGCGTGCGTTTTGCTCACTCACACAACCATTTCCAGGGAGGGAGGCGACCCTGCCAAGGCAGTCCCGTACCTGCCCAAGGATAAGCAGTTCCTTATCACTCGCAAAGGTCCCCCCCATCCAATCGGCACGTGCCGAGGCAACCAATTCACGCGCTTTATACATCTGTCCCATTAGTCCCCTGTTTGATGCGCGCCGCTGCGCTGGAGAAGTCTGCCAACGAGGCGCAAAATCAGGACATAGTGATCGATGGTGATGAAGTACGTGCCCCCGCTCTAGGGATCTGGCGCGTCCTGCGTTGCTCATCTTCGTGCTCTTTCAGGGTTGGGTGGAAACGCATGTCGGCTTTGCCAAGGATGAGCCCACCGAGATTCCCGAGATTCCTACCGAAGAGGAAGCAGCGCAGGCCTCGAAGAAAGGTTAGTCGGCCACACTTCGCGTGCCAACCACCATGGCTGCTCGTGTGCTGGGGAGTGGCACAGTGATGATAGTAGCACTTGCTTAGTAATCGTGTAACGCCTGCGATCGCAGATTCCGAGCCGACGGGAGGCGATGAGGAAGAAGAGATTCCAGACATGGAGGAGTTCGATGACGGTGACAACCTCGAAGACGAAGATCCGGTACGTTGGTTTGGGGGCATTCGCTCCGGGGTGAGGGCGCTCGGGGTGCTAATGATGTGCTGCCAACACACACAGTCGGCACTGGCGAAGGAGCCCGAGGATTCTGACTTGATCCTGAAGACGCGCACGTACGATATCTCCATCACCTACGACAAGTACTACCAGACGCCCAAGGTGTGGCTGTTTGGCTACGACGAGGTACACCCTGCTTTGACCAGACCACCTGGGTAGACCAACAAGGAGGCCTAATTCGTTGTTCTCTACTTTATGTCCGTCGTGTGTAGAATGGCAACGGCCTGACGCCGAACCAAGTGTTCATGGACATCAGTCAGGACCACGCGCAGAAGACAGTCACCATCGACACTCACCCACACATGCAGGTACGTGTCAGCTTGCTTTTTTGAAAAGCTCAGCCATCACCTAATCCTCACACGGACGGCTCATTGGTGCGCGTGCGTGTTGGATGGCAGACGTCGTGCGCGTACATCCACCCGTGCAAGCATTCTTCTGTGATGAAAAAGATCATCCTTAGGCAGGCCGAGTGCGGCAAGGAGTCCCGCGTCGACCAGTACGTCCCCCGCCTGTACCGTTTATTGTTCTCGCCGAATGTCGTGTCTTGCTGACCTCGATGTTCTTTCCTTCTTGGTTTGACAACTCAAGGTACCTGTTCTTGTTCCTCAAGTTCTTGTCGGCGGTCATCCCCACCATCGAGTACGACTACACCATGGAGATGGAGAGCTGAAAGCTGGCTCGCTTTCTCTTCCGCGCTATTGTATTTCCCTTGTTTTTTTTGCCTTTTCTTTCTTCCAATTCAACCTGGCGTGTCCGGTTTTTGCCGGCCGCCCCCTCAAGTCTTGGCTTCTGTTGTCCGACGACGGCGTGGTGTGTTCGCGTTCGTCGCAGTTGTTGGCCACTGCAGCTTGTTGAACAAGAGACTTCATCGCCTTAGAGAGGAGATGAGCAAAAAGCCATTCAGCCCTTTCCAGGCGCTGGACCAGAAGCGTAAGGAGGAGGAGGAGGCCATGCGCCGGCGTATGGAGGCCCGTCTTCGTGGCCAGAGCGCTGAGGAGCCCCCCTCCCAAGCAGAGCAGGCAGATCACGACCGCCGGAGGCAGCCTTCGCCCCCTCGCTCCATCTCTCCTCGCGCGCCTTCTCCTTCCTTCCCGCCTCCGGCCGCAGAGCCCAAAGTCGAGGGCAGCATCGCTCCAGGCATGGCCAAACAAGGTCCCCTTTTCCCTCCCAGCGGGCGCCATTTCTTGAGATCCAACGGGTCGCCAATTTGGATTTCCGTCTTACCTGCTCTGTGGTGGTGGTTGTGATTTTTCGATCAGATGAGATGAAGTTTGTGGCGCAAGTGAGGCAGCAGAAGAAGGCCTTCAATCCATTCTTTGAGATGGACAAGAAGAAGAAAGAGGAGGAGGAGAAGATGCGCCGTATGATGGAGAACCGTCTGGGCCGCTCGGGCTCGGACGCTGCCCCTGCCGAGTCTCCCCGCCGCGACAGCGTCAGCGACGACACCAGCGACGACGCCGACCGCGAGAGGGAGCGGGCGCGCGAAAGGGAGCGTGAGCGCGAGAGGGCCGACCAGCGGCGTCGCGAGGAGCAGCAGCAGCAGGACGACGCCCGACGACGGAAGGAGGAGGCCGACCGGCGGGAGCGGGACAGCGATCGGCAGGCGCAGCAGAGGAGGGCCGACGATGAGCAGCAGCAGCAGCAGCAGCAGCAGAGGAGGGAGCAGGAGGAGCAGGAGAGGAGGAGGCGCGCACAGGCCGACGACGAGCAGTCGAGGAGGGAGGCCGACGGAAGGAGCGGGAGCGCGCGGAGGCGAGGAATCGGGAGGACGAGGAGCGCCGGCGCGCGGAGCAGGAGCGGGAGCAGAAGCGGAAGGAGCGGGAGGCCGAGGAGGAGCGCCGGCGGCAGGAGGACGACCGCAAGATGAAGGAGGACCAGGAGGAGTGGAAGCTCTACTTTGAGGAGAAGACCAACAAGAACGAGGAGCGCAGGCTCAAGGAGGACGAGGACGAGGAGAAGTGGCGCGAGGAGGAGGAGCTCCTGCGCGAGGAGCTCGAGGAGTGCGAGGAGCCGGCCGCGAAGCGCAAGAAGTGGCAGAAGCTGATCAAGATGCTCGAGCGCGAGGCCGAGGAGCAGGACGGGGCCTGGAGCGAGGACGAGAAGCTGGCCAAGGAGGACCGCGAGAAGGAGAAGAAGAAGATGCAGGAGGACGAGCGGCGATGGGAGCGGGAGGAGAAGGAGCGCGAGGAGGAGTTTGACCGGAAGAAGGAGAAGTGGGAGGAGGAGGAAGAGGAGGACGAGGGCGAGATCGAGAAGGCCGAGGAGAAGCTCGAGAGGCTCGAGGAGGAGCTGCTGGAGCTCGAGGAGGACGAGCTCGACAACAACTACGGCGACGATGCCCGCGGCGGAGCGTCGGACTACGATGACGAAGATGACGACGACGAGGAGGCCGAGCTGAGGCGCATGGAGGCCGAGCTGAAGAAGCTCGAATCGAGGGAGCGCAAGATGTCGCGGAGCGAGTCGGACTATTCGGACGAGGACGACAGCGGGTACTCGGACGAGGAGGAGGACCAGGAGTCGCTGGACGAGGTGCGGAAGATGGAGGAGGAGATCAGGAGGCTCGAGGAGGAGGAGGAGGAGCTCAACAGGCGGCAGGAGGAGAAGCGGAGGAAGAAGGCGGCCGAGGAGGAGGAGTTCAGGAAGCTGGACGAGGAGCTCAAGACGCTGGAGCGGGAGGAGAAGATCGAGACCAAGGACGACCTGAAGAAGATGAAGAGCCAGCAGCGCGAGGAGGAGCTGCGACGGATGGAGGAGGAGGTCAAGCGGATCCAGGCCGAGCGCGAGCGGCAGCTGGCCCTCGAGCGGCAGCTGGAGCAGGAGCGGGAGCGACAGCGCGAGAGGGAGCGGCAGGTCCGGGAGAAGCAGTGGGAGGAGGAGAAGCTGCTGCGCGCGGAGCGTGCCCGGCAGGAGAAGGAAGCCGCCGATGCCCTCGAGCGCGAGCGGCTCGAGAAGAAGGCCAGCGAGATGGCCGCCATCAAGCAGGTCACCAGCGCCAAGAAGGCCTTCAACCCCTTCCTCGAGATGGAGAAGAAGAAAAAGGAGGAGGAGGAGGCCTTCCGCCGCGCCATGGAGGAGAAGATCAAGCGCCGCGGCCAGGCCCCTTCGCCCTCCTCCTCATCGTCGTCGTCGACGCCCGCGCCCGCTGTGGACAACCCACCACCGACCTCCGCCAGGGAGGCGAGCTCCTCTGGCCGCGAAGGCTCCGCCAGACGCGAGGACAGCGAGCGCGGCCGCAGCAGCGGCAGCAGTGCCGATGAGCCCAGCAGGCCTGCCGAGCCGAAGAGGCGCTCGGCCACGGACCCGTGCGAGGTGTGCGGCGAGCGCGTGTACTTTAGCGATCGTCTCTCGGCCGACGGGAAGCTGTACCACAAGAAGTGCTTCCGCTGCGCGCACTGTAACAACATGGTCAAGCTCGGCAACTACGCCTCGCTCGAGGGCAAGCTCTACTGCAAGCCGCACTTCAAGCAGCTCTTCAAGAGCAAGGGCAACTACGCCACCGGCTTTGGCGGCGAGACGCCCGTGGAGAAGTGGAACCGGGAGCACGCCGACGCCGCGGCATCGGCCGACTCGCCGTCGTCGCGCGACAGCGACTCCGAGCCCGAGAAGGAGGAGGAGGAGGCGCCCGCCGCTGCTGTCGCCTCTCCCTCGGTGGTCCTTGACGTGCCCAAGGCCGAGGAGCCCGCCCCCAGCAAGCCCGCCGCTGCACCGAGCACCGAGAAGGCGGCCGCTCCTTCGGGTACGTTACTAACCTGGCGCGCGTGCGTGCGTGTGCGTGCGTGCCTGGTATTTCGTCGTGCCACGCCGGTGGGAAGGGAGGCTAACAGTGCGTTTTTTGTTTTGTTTTTGTTTTCGCAGGCGGTGACGGTGGTGAGGGCGAGCCGTTCGAGGAGGACGAGCGCACCATTTTCGTGGACTACATGATGGACACCTTCCGCAGGGACCGTCGCGTGCGCAAGCAGCTGCTGCTGTCCTCCGACAGCGACGAGATCTACCGCGTCCTCGCCGACGGCGTCATTCTCTGGTGCGCGGGTCACCACGTCTCTTTTGCAGCTTCGGCCGAGTCGTATCTGTTCTTACGTGTCTCTGTGCGTCTGGCTTCTCTCGCAACGCAGCAAATTCATGAACGAGCTCGTACCGGACACGCTCGACGATCGCGTCATCAATGGCACCCCGTCGGGTGACGCTCAAATCGTACGCACCCCACACTCCCCGCCCCAATTTCCGCCTACTGGCGGTGCAGTTGGGCCAATGACAGCTTCTTCTGTCTGACTATCTGTACGCGGCCCAGGAGGAGAACTGGAACCTGTGCCTCAACTCGGGCAAAGCCATCGGCTGCCGCGTCAACGGCATTTCCATCGATGACCTGATCGACGGCAAGCCGCAGGCCCTGCTCAGGCTCATTTGGGAGATCATCAAGGTACGCCAATGCCACCTGCATACGCCCAGTTCTCCTCCCATATGGGTGCGACTGAATCGTTAACGATTCTGATGATTTCATTGTGCCTCCCCTCCCCCTTCCGACGCGGTACGTGCAGGTGAGCCTCACGACGAAGATCAGGAAGAACAGGTCGCAGCTCCAGCAGCTGGTGAACGACGATGAGGAGGTGCGCGATGTGGCCTCGCTCCCGCCGCAGGACATCCTCGTGCGGTGGATCAACTTCCACCTCAAGAAGGCCGAACACGACCAGACCGTCCGTGCGCTCACGCCCGACCTCAAGGCACGCACCCCCTTCTCGTCGTCGTGTGCACCGCGACCCCAATGTGGGTGGTTGGAGAGCTGTGGGTCTCACTGTTGGGTCTCGGCGTGGATCGATGTAACAACGAACAGGACTCAGTGGCTCTGACGCTGCTGCTGTGGTCGCTGGCCCCTCGTCGGTGCGACAAGAAGGCCCTCGACACGGAGGACCTCACGAGGAGGGCGAGGCTCGTCCTCGACAATGCCGGCAAGCTGGATTGCCCCAAGGTGGCCACACACGCCGCCATCGCCGCCGGCCATTCCCGCATGACCTTCTCCCTCGTCGCCCACATCTTCTGTCGCGAGTGAGGCGCTGCCTCGCCGCTTGGTTGCGTTTTTCGATTATAATTATGGGGCGCCCATTTTATTCAAGTTTTCCCTGCACCCCGAATGCGCAAGGCACGAGCTTGAAAGATGGACTTTGGTGATGTGGAGTACTGGGAGCGGTTCTATCGCCGCTACTTGCCTCCTGCCAAGCCGCCTGGAGAAGGGGAGGCAGCGCTGTCGACCGGAGCTGACAGGGGGAGCGGCGGGGCCGAGCAGCAGCTGCTGGAGCAGGACGAGTGGTACTTGGAGGCGTCGGCGCTGGTGCCTCGCTTGCTGCCATGCCTACCGAGCTTGGCCGAGGAGGGCCAACTTCCGGCCGTGCTCATGCTCGGGTGCGGAAGTTCGCGCTTGAGCGAGCTGCTGTACGAAGCGGGCTACCACCACATCACCAACGTTGACTTCTCGCCCCTCGTCATTGCCAGCATGCAAGAGAAGACCCGCTCGGCGTGCCCCACGCTCCAGTGGCTCGTCGCCGACGTCACCCACATGCCCGCCATCGCCTCTTCCAGGTGGCCACCACCTCTCACCTTTCGCCTGTCCGGACGTGTGATTCGGCCCACCCACTCTCTCGCGCTCACGTTCAAGGCGTGCTGGCGATGCGCAGTTTCGACGTGGCGATCGACAAGGGCACACTCGACGCCATCATGTCGGCAACGGAGTGGCAGACCAGCGCGCCGGCAATGGGTGCCGAAGTGCATCGCGTGCTCAAGCCGGGAGGACTGTGGTTGCTATGCAGGTACCTGGGCATTACGTTGCGCGCCTGCCTCGCCTGCCTGGCTGCAATTCTCATACTTAGCCCCAATCAATGTTGCATGTTCTTCTGCGTGAGCAGCTTCGGTGACGACAGGGCCGAGTGTGTGGACGAGCAGCTGTCCGAGCTCGGTGCTGATGCCGATCCCGCACTCAACCGGTGCGAGGGACGGTCGGAGCGATGGCACGCCGTACGAGAGCGGATCGCGCTGCCTGCCCACTCGCCAGAAAAAGAAGCTGGCGGAGGAGGAGCCCTTGAGGAAGAGGAGGCGGGGGCGTGGTACCTTTACGCCTTCACTAAGCTCCCTGCGGGGGAGTAGGCGCAGACAGAAAGCGCTAATGAAGCGTGCAAGCAACTGAGTGGTGGGGAGGGTGTATTGTGACCTCCGCTCATAACGTGATGGCTGCTTGTATGTACAGGGTAAGACTTAGAAAATACATGATGATGATGGTGATCGTCACCGGAGACGCGGCCGAGACGAGATGTGACACTTCCGATCAGAGGGTGGCCTAGTCAAGGGGAATTGCTGTGGTCGTCAGCAGAGGGCAGAGAGCTGCTGCTTCTTGCCGGCGCCGCGTAGGGGCGCGAGGGTGTGGTGGTGGCCGTTGTGGCGGAGGGTCATGCTGTTGGCGCCCAGCAGCCGCTTCTCGAGCTTGAGGAGGGCCGAGAGGAAGCCGCGGTTGGGGCACACGACCGGGCGCGCCTGGCAGACGAAGGTGTAGGCCTTGTCTAGCGACCAGCGGTAGCGGTGGATGAGGTAGGCCGTCATCACCGCCGGCCCGCGGCTTCGGCCCGCGCAGCAGTGGATGAGCACCGCGCCGCCCTTGCCCCGCTCCGCGGCCAGCGCGGCGTCGATGAAGGCAAAGGTCGCCGCGAGGGCCTGCTCGAACTCGCCCTCGGCACGCGACGAGTCCAACAGCTCGCACCGGTGGTAGGCCGGACCCCAGCTGCCCTGAGGTGCTGCCATGTCCGCCGAGGAGGAGGCCTCTTCTTCGTTATCGCCGACTTCTTCTTCTTCTTCTACATCCTCCCGAAAGTCCGCTTCATCCACTTCGCGCATCTCCTCGTCGCTGCTGCTGCTGCTGGAGGAGCAGGAGGAGGAGCAGGAGGAGTCGGAAGTCGTCGAGCTGGCTCGCGGCGAGGGTGAAGGCGAGCGAGAGCGGGGACGGAGGCTTGTCGGGGTGGTGCGGGGCGTCGCAGGAGGCGAGAAGGAGTCCGGGAGGCCCTTGGCGCAGTTGACGATGTGGGTGACGTTGAGGCGCTGCAGCTCGGCCTGGTCGCCGGCGATGTGCTTGTCTCCGAGGAAGAGGTTAGGGACGATATAGCTGACAGGCGAGGGTCGGACAAGATCCTGGATGGTGCACTTGAGCTTCAGCTTCTCTCTCATTGTAGGTGACGGCGCTCCAGTCGCAAATGCTGTTGTTCTGTCCGTTGTGGTCGCTGCTGCTGGTGGTGGTGATGCAGATGAAGATCATATGAAGAAATGGGCACACGAGACTGAGAGTATGGTGTATCCGAAACGAAGTCGGCGAGGAGGTGGTTGGGAGGGCGATAGGGAATAGGGCCTCCGAAGCACGCACAGAAGAAGATGGAAGTGCGGGAGTGAGACGAAATGCGAAGTGAAAACGCGAACAATCGAGTGACGGCTTTGGCACTGGGCGTGACCCTCCAGTGGTCGCTTGGGGCTTCGCGGGAAAACGACGGAGTTTCCGACTTTCTCCATTCCAAATGCTTCGTTTGCCCACATCCCCGCGAAATCTCGCTTCGACACCTTAAGTGAAAACCCTTCATCTGCAAACTCTGCCTCACCCCCCCCCTTTGATTTCGAAGGGACCGAAGCAGAGGGCGTAGAAGAAGCGACTTCAAGGGCCTTCCGCGAAGGGACAGCAAGTGGGTTTGATGCGCTCCACGTTTTTCTCGGCAGGCGGGAAAAGGGTGGGGAAAATAAAAGCAGTTTATAATCAAAGAGCGCGCCAAAACCGTTCGTGTAGAAGTTTGATATAATGTCGCAACGCGGGCGCAAGAGATCGCAGCGCGAGGATTCTGAGGTATAAGCACGAACTGCAGGCCTGATTCAAGTTTCGAGGAATTAATCTTCAATTGGATTCATGCTCATCTGGGATCTATCCAACACAGGAGGAAGATGGGGTGGAGTTGGAACACATCCAAAAGAAGAAAACAGTACGGCGCCGCAAGAAGACTGACGCGGACGACGAAGAGGGAGACCACAAGGCCACACGCTGGGAGAGCCTTTCTCGCGAGGTGCTCCCTCCTGCTCTCCACATGACTGACTGGCGCCGGCGTTGTGTTTTGCGAGGACTGACGCAGTCGTGTGCCGTGTTGTTTGGGGGGGGGGTGGCAGCAACGGGAGAAGTTGGTGGGGGATGTGATGCGATTGGCCCTCTTCCTCGACCACAAAAAGCACCCTCTCAAGCGAGCGGACGTGACCGCAAAGGTTCTGCCGGGCCACAAAGGCAGCCAACTCACCTCGCACCTCATAGCTGAGGTAAGTGGGCCGCTCTCTCCTCTCTTCTCTTCTCCCTCCCTCCTCTCTCTCCCTCACCCTCACTGCGTGTTAGAGGGGGTGGTGTGACAAAACAAAAAGAAGCTGATTGATGTGTTCTCTGACTCTTGCGGAACAGGCTCAGAAGAAGTTCAAGTACATCTTTGGGTACGAGCTGGCTGAAGTGCCGCGAGTGAAAGCAGATGCCTCAGACACGGGTGCGCCTTCACACGCTCGAGCACACACACACCCCACCACACTAACAAGGGTTTAGGGTGTCTCGGCAAGCCATCACAGATCCTAACGATCGTGAGTGCATTTTCTTCCGCCTCCAGGAAAGGGCGGGACTGGCGTGTACATCCTGAAGAACGTCTATCCAAAAGAAGCGAAGCAAGTACTGAGCAGTGTCATCACCAATCAAGGAGTACGTAGTCGAGCCCGAGGCTTTCTGTTCTATTGGCAGTCGTTTCTAAATGGTCACGTTGCGCATCTCACTCTTACAGCTTGCGAATCAAACTGCGCTGTTGCACACCATACTGGCGATGATCACCCTGTCCGACGGAGTGCTTGAATCAGGTATCCGACGCACCATATTGCTCTCCTTTCGGTCTTCCCTTTCTGTGGTATGATCAACCCGGCAGGCTGATTGCATGCTTGTGGGAACCACAAAAAGAATTGCTGTTCACCAGCCTCAAGAAGCTCGGGCTCGACGAAGATCACCCCGACCCAGTTCTGGGCGACTGGAAAAAGCTCATCGACTATTTCGTCAAGGAAATGTACACATTGCGCTCTCTCCACCCCCTTCTCTTCAGTCGCGCAGCTTGGCTGACACATATACTTGCGTGTTTCCGACTCTTCGCCCACTGTTTGTCAGGTACATTCACCGGCAGAAGATCACGGGAAGGGTCAGCGCAAGTGGGGCTGTGATCAGCGAATACCGCTGGGGCGGACGCGCCCTGCTGGAGGTGGACAAGATTGAGATCATGCGGTAGCCCCCCCCCCCTCTCCCAATCTCGTACTGCACTTGCTTTTCGCACGCGCTTCATGCCACGCCGAATCGAGTCTTTCTTGACCACTGTCCATGTTTGTTCGTCGAGTGGCTGCAGGCATGTGGCGGCGATGTTTGGGGAGCCGCTTGATCCGCTGATCGTGCAGGAGATGGAGAAGGCAATGCAGCAGAGGATGCAGAAAGCTGCCAACAGCGCTGCTGAAGGCTCGAGTGAGGCGTCTGGCTCACAGACAAGCGCAGCAGCACCGAAACGGCCTGCCGCCGCCAGAGGCAAAGCCAGAAGAGAGGCCGACTGAGGTCTGTTGGGCGAGATCATTTCGGGTTTTGTGACAAAAATAAAAATAAAAAATAGAAACATGTTTTTTGACGGGGAAAAGACTGAAAAAGAAGGAAAAGAATTTTGCTGCGAGCGCCCAGCGCATTTACGATTTGTTCAGCAACATTAGTCTGGAGCATTAGAAATGCGTCGCATCTCTCTGCTGGGTCCCTCTGCGGAAAGCAGCAGGATCGTGCCGCCCCATGCTGCCAGCACGGAGGGCCGCTCTCTGCTGTACCGACGAGCTGGTGGCCTTTCATTCGGATCAAAATCATTGCACCACCCGTATCATTCCGGAGGAGGTACTCTCGTGAATGGATCGTCGAGACGCCAACTGGCCACGTCGTCTTCATCTTCGAAGCCCGCCTCCTCAGAGCAAACGACTGCGGCCAAGAAGGGCGGCCTCGTCGGGGATGCCGCTGCTGCCTCGACGATACAGACACACACCGCCACGTGGGTGGACGAAGATGAAGCGCTCAGCCTCGATCCGAGAGATTACGCCTTCGATCAGGACGATTCTCAAGACCAGTGGGAGCGATTGGCCGGCGTGTCGGACAATCCTCTGATGGGTGACCGGAGCGGCGCTCCTCGTGGTCATGGCCGGGCCAAGGAACGATTGGCCAAGAAATTCCCCATCGAGTACGCCGACGAGGACGAAGAGGACGAAGATGAAGACAACTTGCCCGGCCTCGGCGGAGGAAGGCGCCAGTCAGCCGCGCAGCAGCAGCAGCAGGGCCAGGAAGGCGAGGAAGAGCGGGAAGACCTCACTCCCCTTGAGCTCCGCCACCGCGCCAAGGAGGAAGAGAAGGAGAAGAAGTGGACGCAGATCATCAACCCTCTCAAGGATGACCTCGAGGCCCAGATCAGTGCCGGCAAGCATGTCCCTCTCTGGTGCGCCCCTCCTCCCGAACCCGTCGCAACAGCTGCACAACCCCAACCAGTCCGTCACCACTCACCACCGTTATGCTGTTGGCACGCCGCACACACACACGACACAGGCACCCGCACGTTGACGAGTATGACGGCGACGGTTATGACGACTACGCCCGCACGCTTCAGGGCGCCTGGGAGGATGATTCGCCCTTCCACCGAGACTACGAGTACAACGAAAAGGAGTTCAAGAACCACTTTGCCTTCTCCGTCTCCGGCAATCAGCACAGTACGGAACCCGCACGCGCACGCGCCTTCCCTGACTTGTCGGTCTCTTGATCTTCACGTTTGCTGACTCGGTCTCGGTCTCTCACACACTCCTTTCCCAGTCTTGAACGTTGGTCGTCATACCAAGACAACGAAGGCAGGGCGCGTCTTCTCCTACTCTGCCACCGTGATTGATGGCAACGGTTCGTTTTGTTTCGCGTCCCCCCGCCCTCTGGTGTTGGCAGTCCGCCTGTGTCTAGAGCGCACGTGACCAGTGTGAAAAGAGATCAACTGACGTGATGTGGCCGCCGCCCACCAACCCAGGCAATGGACGAGCTGGTTGGGGTTATGGCAAGGGTCCTACGCTATCGGATGCCGTGCTGGCTGCCCAGAAGGATTGCGAGAAGAACAGCTTCTACATTGACAGATACAAGGGCCACTGCATTACGTACGCACACCGCATCTCTCGCCTCAGGCGCGGAGGGTCAAACGCGCGCGCGTTGTGTGTTCACGACAATCCTCTTGCGTGACGTGCATCTATCCAGCGAATCAATCCGCTTCAGCTATAAGAAGTGCTCTGTGGAGCTCTTTGCCCTGCCCGAGGGCCGCGTGCACCCGACATCGTCCCAGGTGATGCAGCTCGTCTTCAACGCCTTCGGACTCAAATACGTTGCCGGCAAATGGCTCGGTACGTTCACGCCTCCCCTCCCCCCAAAGCCAGTTCCCGCCTCGCCTCTTTCTACTCCCTCTGCCAAGCATAAGCTGGCTCACCCTCAAGCGCGCCTGTCCTACCCTCCAGGGAGCACCAACAAGACCAAGAGGATCAAGACTCTGTTCATGGCACTGCAGCAGGTCGAGCACCCGGACTACCTGTCGGAGAAGCTGGGCATGAAGCTCTTCAAGCCCAGGAAGGTGCCGCGCAAGAACGGCCGGGTCTGGACCTACGACTGAGCGGCGCGCCCTTACCCCCCCCCCACTCGCCCTGTTACTGTGTGTTCCCTTGGTTGGGCAATCGTTTGCCGAACTTCAGTGCTCTGGCCGCGCAACCGGACGACAAGGAGGCCGTTCACCACCGTAGGGGTTGTGTCGATGTGCAACGGTGTCTCCGGGTCCGTCGGTTCTGGGTCTGCTTAGTGGCGGGTTTGGGTCCCTGACCTCTTCCGGTTGGGGGGAAGGGATTAATTTGTTAATAATAGCTTCGCCGCGGCACCGGGTGTTGCGGGCGGAGTTGGCTGGCACGGTGCCGCGGCGAGCCCGTCAGTCAGTCGGTTGTCGCCACCTCCCCTATTGGCATCATCTCCAAGCGAACGCCTCACACTCACACCCCACGCACCACCGATCGGTGGGCAACCATGGGTTCTTCCTCAACCATCGGCCTCCTTCTCCTGGCGTGTTCCCTCCTGTGCGGTGGCCTTCTGTGCCTCCCTGGTACGAGCGGGAGAATAGAGCGCGCGCGCGAGTAGCTTGGTCGCGTGTAGTCACTAACCCCCTTTTGTTGTTGATGTTGTTGTTGCCCCCCAGGCGCAACTGCCGACCAGCTTTACGGCGCCGGGTCGAGCTCCGTCGCAAGCCTGATGGCATCTTGGGCCGCAAACTATCCCTACAACACTGATAGCGTGAGCGTGGGGTATACCTCAAACAGCTTTGAGGTCGCCCTGGCGAGCTACGGCTTGGGCCTTATCGACTTCATGAGCTTCTCGAGCCCGATGGAGGACTCAGACCTGACCGCCGCCGGTTCCCTGCAATTGCCTCTCGTAGGCGGCGCCATTGTGGTGAGCTACAACCTCGACGGGTACCTCTCACCCGGACAAGACGTCCTGTTCCTCGACTGCGCCGCCCTTGCGGGCATCTGGCTGGGTGACATTACAAGGTGTGACTCGCCCCCGCAAGCCCTTTTTCGGTTTATTTTTTTATTTGATTGGCGCCACTCATCTTACAACGTAACGGTAGGTGGGATGACGACCGCATCACGGCTCTCAACACGGCTGCGGTGGTGGCCAAGCTGCCGGCGCTGAACATTACCCTTGCCCAACCCACGACCACCTCTCTGAGCACTGGCGCCGTCTTTGGGCGAGCGCTCTCCGCCGTCAGCGCCGACTTTGCTGCGGCCCTCACCGCTGCTGGAGGTCTGCTGGAAAACCTGCCCAACGGCGCGGCTGTCTACCCCAATGCCAGTGCAGCCACTGCCGCGGTCAAGGTGCATACTCTCTCTACACTTATTGTCCCCCCCACAATCCTTTTTCCTTGGGTCGTGCGGAAAATAGGGGGTGTGTCGACCGTTGTGTTTAGCGGCTGACGGTTGCTGAGCCAAAATTTCACAGGCAACGGTGGGCAGTCTGACGTTCAGCACCTGGGCGCTGGCCAAAAGCGCGGACACTACCTATGCCTCGATGGTCAACGGGGCCGGGTCGCGGGTGGCAGCGTCGACAACGTCGGTGCAGGCCGCTATGTACGATTACCGAGCGGCCTTCGATGCCGGCGCACTGAGCACGGACATCTTCAACGGCAACGGCACCGCTACCTGGCCTTTGGCCTTCCTGGAGTACCTGGTGGTGCACAAGAACGTGAGCGTGCTATCCTGCTCCTCGATGCAGAATCTGCTGCTCTTCTTCAGCTGGGTGCAGCTGAACGACTATGCCATCAGCCTCTCGAATGCCCAGTACTTCCCGGCGCTCGTGACCAACCTCCAGAAGCTCTTCGTCGACGAGCTCGAGACTATTGGGTGTGCTAACGGCGCTCGCGCCCTCCAGACCGCAGTCCTACTCGGATTGGGCAGCCCACAGCCGCTCTTTGCCGCTTGGTCGTGCGTGCCCTCGTCCTTACTCGACTTGCGCGCGCTGGCGCTTGGTGCTGCTGGCTTCTGCTGCTAACACATTCTTACTTATACACTTGCGCAGAACCTCGTACCCCTCTTCCACCTTCTTGGTCAAGTACTACCAACAGACGACACAGGCCGCAGTCACCGAGATGATCGCTGAAGACATTGACTTTGGCGTGACCGCAGTTGGCCTGACCACTTCCCGTGCGTTGCGTCCCTCTTCCACATCTCCGCGCATACACGAGTCCCTCGATCTCTAACGGTTAAAAGCACTCTCACATAAATGCAGAGTACGTGGCAATGCCTGACGTGGTGCTTTCCGGCGGTGGCCTCTCCGCTTGTGCCGGCCTACTACCTGCCGGAGCTCATCGGGCAGCCACCGCTGGTGCTGAGCTTCAAAATTCTTGCAGATATCTACCTGGCACACATCAGGTACCGCATTCTCACCACATTGACATCCCTTCTAACGATGACACACACTTTTAACGTCTCACCGGGGGCAGCTCATGGAATGATCCAGCCATTGCCGCTCTGAATCCGGGCGTGGTGCTCCCCGATCAGCCGATCATGGTTATCGTTCAGAATGCGTCCGCAGTTAACAACAACCTCCTCAGCTCTGCCCTTGCAGCCACTGTGCCAGAATTCAACCAAACGGTAATTGCGTTCTCTCCGTACAACTCGTATTTCGCGCTTTCTGACACGCACCTTTACCTCACTTGATGACACGTCCAGGTGGGTGTAGGAGACCGTTTGAACTATCCGGTGTTACACACCAGTCGCTGTATCGCAACGACCACCACCAACGTGCCGACTCTGCTCGCGTCCACTCCCTATTCGTTCGCCTTCTGGTCCTACTACGCCGTCCTTCAGACACGCGTAACACAAGCCGCTTCGTTGATCAACGTTGCTGGAACGTACGCACTGCAGGCCTATGACTCTTCACCTCACTGATGCTCTGCAGCTTCTCGACCGCTGATCAGCTTCCATCTTTCGTACGTTCCCTATATGCAGGGTGGTCCCCCCCAGCTCGACTGCTGTGGCCTCAGCGCTGAATGACTTTGGCGCGTCGACAAACTTCACCAATCTCCTACTCGGTTCGTAGACAGCCTAACGTTGTCTGAGCGACGTGGGTATGAGGAAAGGTGGCGGGCTGACAGTTGCCCTTGTTGTGGTGCGTGCGTGCGGTGCGTGTGCGTGGAGTATTACAGGCAGGGGCAACGAGAGCTGGCCCATCGCCACAGTGATCTCAATCATGGTCCTCCGGACACAGATGCGCAACTGCGTCAAGGCTGCGGCCCTAGCCGACTGGATCTATTGGACCCAGAGTGCTGATCTCTCCTCTCAGGTGGCCACCCACTTCGGGCAAACGGTGGCCAGCACCTCCTCCGTCATGAAGAAGGTATGGGCGTGTCCTACACCTGTTTGCGCAAACCATATTGTCTCACACTAGCGTTCGCGTTTAGATCGTGCTGAACTCGCTTGTCACGCTCACGTGTGACGGAGAAGCTGTGAGCAGCATCTACGGATGCGTGAAGGACGGCGTGCTCTGCGGGGATGCAGGCACTTGCACGGACCATGCCTGCGTGTGCAACGCTGGCAGAGAAGGCCAGTTTTGCGAGGATGTCATTTCCACATCCAGCAGTACCGATCTCACTCTTGCCATCACTCTCGGTACGTTCGATCAAGTTCCACCAATTCCCTGCATCTATTGACCACCTCGTCCTCTCTCTCTCGCTCGCTCGCTCGCGCGCAGGAATCGTCGTTCCGATTGTGGTGCTCCTCTTCCTTCTTCTGCTCCTCTTTACCGTGTGCCTCCTCTTCTTCGTTCGTAAGTCGCGCGTGGTCGATGACTGGTCGATAAACTTTGAGGAGCTCGAACTCATGGGCCTCCTCGGGTCCGGAGGCTACGGAGAGGTAAACCTCACCCACCCAAACGCCGTGTCATCCCCCCCCCCTTTAATCACTCAGTCGCTTACCCACTTGTCGATCGACCGCTAGGTCTACAAGGCAGTCTGGAAGGGAACCGAGGTGGCTGTGAAGGTGATGTCCTCCAAGGATGTCTCCAAGGAGATGGAACGGAACTTCAGGGAGGAGGTAGCAGATACCTTACATTACACATTCATTGCTGCCCCTCCCCACACGTGCAAGTGCTCACATCTATGAGCGATGGTGGTGTTTTGGACAGGTACGCGTTATGACGGCATTGAGGCATCCCAATGTGGTGCTGTTCATGGCCGCCTGCACCAAGCCCCCCAAGATGTGTATCGTCATGGAGTACATGGCTCTCGGATCTCTCTACGACGTACGCATGATGCACTGCTCGGTCATTTTTCTTTTCTGCACCGCCTACGCTCTCTCTTATTTCTCTTATTTTATTCCACCCGCGCAGCTGTTGCACAACGAGCTTGTGCCGGACATCCCGTTCGCACTGACGTGCAAGATAGCCTACCAGGCTGCTAAGGGCATGCACTTCCTCCACTCGTCGGGCATCGTGCACCGCGATCTCAAGTCACTCAACCTGCTGCTCGACAACAAGTGGAACGTCAAGGTACGCGTTAGCATGCCATTGTCATGGCCGTAGTTGGTGTGCTGCGCCTAACGGTCCTTTCCCCGCACCGTACCAGGTGGGCGACTTTGGCCTCACCAAGTTCAAGGGCCAGCTCGGTAAGAACGCTGCCAAGGATATTCAGGGCACCGTGCAGTGGCTCGCTCCCGAAGTGCTCCAGGAGTCGCCCGACGTTGATTTCATTTTGGCTGACGTCTACTCCTTCGGTATCATCCTCTACGAGACGCTAAGCCGCGAACAGCCCTACATCGGCATGTCGTACGTATTCCCCCCCCCCCTTCTCTTCTTTCCCCCTACCACACATCGGCTTGCTCTGTCACGTGAATACTCACAGATGCGCGGTGGCATAGACCGGCTGGTGTGGCCGTGGCGGTGATCAGGGACAACCTGAGGCCTCAAATCCCAGAGGACGCGCCTCCAGAGTACGCCCAGCTGGTGGCCGACTGCTGGCATGTCGATCCGACCATTCGGCCGACTTTCCTGGAGATCATGAACCGCCTGGTCACCATGTCGGGCTCCTCGCTCACCCAGTCCGGCCACTCATCGTCGGTGTCGTCTTCGTCCGCGTCGAGCCACAAGATGGGGAGCGCCTCGTCATGGAGCCTCCCATCGAAGTCCTACTCATCGTCGTCGGGCCACAGCTCGGGGGCTTCCAATTCCGGGGGCAAGGTCGCTCGTCTCGACGGGACGGAGCACGCCCCTCGCGGAGAGCTGGCGATCGTGTTTTCGGACATCACGTGCTCGGCCACGCTGTGGGAGTTCGACCCGATCGCCATGAGAGATGCCACGATACTGCACAACGACATCGCCCGCGACCTGCTGAAGAAGCACGCCGGCTACGAGGTGATCTCCTTCTCCAAAGACCGCAACTCGGGCGAGGGCTCCTTCTGCATGGCCTTCCAGAACGTCGCCAATGCGCTGGAGTGGTGCATGGAGGTACAAGTCACTCTCCTTAACGCCTCCTGGCCGGAAGCCCTCATCAAGCATCCTGGCGCTGCCGAGGAAGGCGATGATAAGTACGCTCTTCTTTTTCTTCTTCTTGCTGCTGCTGCTGCTGCTCTTCTTCTTCTTCTCTCGTATCACGCCATCCATGCTTGTTCGTGTCTCAAACGTTGACCTGTCGTTCGCGGTCGTTATATAGGATGCTGTTCCGGGGTCCGCGCGTGCGGATGGGTGTGAACTTCGGGAGCCCCAAGATCGTGCAGGACCCCATGACGCGTCGTCTGGAGTACCTCGGGCCAGTGGTCAACTTTGCCGCCTTTTTGACGTCGCGCAGCCACGGCGGCCAGATTCTCCTCTCCACGGCGGCCTACGAGAAAGCCCGAGAGACCGAACTGGGCAAGGAAAGGAAGCGCATCATCAACCTTGGCACCTTCGAGATGCCTGACTCCACCCAAGGTACACACAACACACTCCAGACCCCACTTTGTTCTCGGGCCGAACGTTAACATATGCGGCCTCACATGTTTTTGTTCTTAAAAAAAAAGGAGAGAGGCTTTACGAGTTGAAGGTCAGGAGCCTCGAAGGGCGGTTCTTCGGCGGGCTGGCGATCGCTGATGCATCATCGACCACCGGGACGGGGACCAGCAATTCGGGGACCAACAGGGACACCACCAACGCCAGCGCGACGGACGACCGGGATTGGTCGCTGAAGGAGGGCGACTGGAACATGACGGTGGGGGACGGAATGGCCTTCCAGGAGGACCACTTCCTCACCTCGGCCAATCTCTGCCGGTGGATCATCAACTACGAGGACATCCAGATCGGCCAGCAGGTGGGCATGGGCAGCTACGGCGTCGTGTACCAGGGCAAGTGGAAGGGCGTCTCGGTGGCCGTGAAGCGGTTCATCAAGCAGAAGCTCGACGAACGCCGCATGTTGGAGTTCAGGGCCGAGATGGCCTTCTTGTCCCAGCTCCATCATCCCAACATCGTCCTCTTCATCGGTGCCTATACAACTCCTCCCCTTTGCCCTTCTTGGCACGCCGTTGTGAGGCTCTCCTTGTTTATGCGGAATGACTCACATTTCCTCTCTGCTTGATTGATTGAAGGCGCATGCGTGAAGCGACCCAACTTGTGCATCGTGACCGAGTACGTCCAGCAGGGAGCGCTCAAGGACATCCTTCACAACCACTCGACGAAGCTCGTCTACCAGCAGAAGCTGCGCATCCTCCAGAGTGCAGCCATGGGCATCAGCCACCTCCATTCCCTCAGCCCGATGATTATTCATCGCGATCTCAAGCCATCCAATCTGCTGGTGGATGAGAACTGGAATGTGAAGGTGGCCGATTTCGGGTTCGCGCGCATCAAGGAGGAGAACGCCACCATGACCCGCTGCGGCACGCCCTGCTGGACCGCACCCGAGATACTCCGCGGCGAGAAGTACTCTGAGTCCGCGGACGTTTACTCGTTCGGCATCATCATGTGGGAGGTACGTCCGCGCGTGAGAGGAGCTCCTCTTCGCTGGCCTATGTTGTGCGAGTGTCTCCGTCGCTGACGCTCTAGCCCCCCCTTCTTTCTCCCGCATCTCTGAAGGTGCTGACGCGCAAGCAGCCCTACGCCGGACTCAACTTCATGGGCGTGTCGCTTGATGTGCTCGAAGGCCGTCGCCCAATGATTCCCTCCGATTGTCCTTCCGGTATGGCTCCTCCACACGCACGCACGTTGGCAACACGACTGTCTTTCTAACTCGCCGTCCCGTCGCGCCGACTCTCCCAGACTACAAGAGAATGATGAAGAAGTGTTGGCACGCCAGTCCAGACAAGAGACCCTCAATGGCGGACATTGTTGGCTTCTTCGACCACCAGCTGATGGGGGCGGCCAAGGTTTTGGGCGATGAAACGGTGTAAGAGAAGGCTGCCCCGTGGTAGTGTTTACGCTACCTTCGTGGTAGTATTCGTGGTAGTTTTCTTATCGAATAGTATGTATGTTTTAATAATTATTATTATGGCAGGGTACTCTCCGACTCGCTACCGCGGGCCTTGTGGCGGAGCATGTGACCAATGGGCGGCTCTGCCGGAGCAGAAACCCCGGAGGAGTGTTCCACCTTTGGTCGGGCGCAAGAAAGAGAGTGCTCCACTTTCCCCACGCTTTGCGGTTTTGTGCGCACCCACGCCACAAAACTCGTGTACCGAGCAGCGCGGAGACCGTTGAGATTTGATTGCCACACGTGGAAGGGGGAGGAGATCGTACGAGGAGGAGATCATGAGTCTCGTTAGTGGCCACACACGACAGCACACGTTTGCCACGGAGTACGATGCCAACCTGGCCTACAACGAGATCCACTTCAATGGCAAATCAATCACCTTGATCGGTCCTTCGGAAGAGGCTCGCGCGGAGGGCAAGAGCACCTTCGGTGACAAGAACATCTCTTTCCTAGGAGGGTTCTGCCTCAATCTCAACAACATCACCGGCCCTGGTGCGTAGCCCGCAAGATCTTTCTTTCACGAATCACGAACATGCAGCTGTTCATTCTGTCGGTTAACCGTTGCCTTGCTATTTTTTATTTTATTTTATTTTTTTGCAGCGATGGTCAGCATCCCCGTAATCTACCAACAAGCTGGCTGGCTTCCGTGCGTGCACCCCTCTATATCTTTATTTATTGATTAATTTTCATTCTTCTCATGTTTTTTTTTCTTCTGTAGAACAACGCTGGGGATGGTGATCGTGATGATCATTGCGGCGTTCTCCTCGACCATGATGTGCAAAGCCATGGCCCTTGTGCCTGGCAATGAACGGTTCCAGGTTTGCGCGTTCTTCTTCCTGCTTATGTATACATAGACTCTATCGTCGCTTAACACCACTCACACCTCGGCGCTGTATGTGCAATGTCTCGGTTGGCGGCCAATTACAGAGTCGAGTTGAGATCGAAGGACTGGCGAAAATCTTCTTCAACAAGTGGGGCTACTACCTCACGCTCCTGTTCCTCATCATCAGCTTACAGGCCACCAACATCTCTTCTATTATCATCTCCGCCCAGGTTAACCGCTCTCCTCTTGCTCTGCAACACTTCTGGGCTTGGTTGGGCGTGCGTCCTAACCGGTGTGAATGGTTTTTGTGCTACTGCTCGTAAACATTCCACGTGCAGACAGTCGACTTTGCGTTGGTAGCGATGTTCAAGTACACGTGTGGTCTTGAATTCTACCCCGACTTCGGCTACGACAGCGTAACCACCGCTGGCCACGGTACGCTTGGCCTGTTCATGAGGCGACACGTTTTTGTTGTTTGTCCACTCACCCTTCGCTGGCTTCTCCCTCCCTGTTCTCTGAACAGACTCAAACACTCCGTTCGGAGATGTGATAATCATCTCGCTGGGATTTGTGATCGTGTTTATGGGCACCTTGCCGATGGCCTACTTCAATCTTGACGACAACATCTGGGTCCAAATTGGTATGGGGCCACTCCACTTCCCGCCTCGTCGCGTCATACTACCCCCCCCCTCTCCCCCGACATCATTCTGACGATGGAGAAACGGTCTTTGCAGGCGCCTGCATTATCATGATGGCCATCGTGTTGGGTGTCTGGATGGTCGACTTCTTCATGGTCGGGCTCAACCTCGACAAACTCGACGTGATAGGCGACAATCAAAGGTGTTGTGCTGCTGTCCCCCCTGTGTGTGTGTGTGTGTGTGGTCCTTATAAAATGTTGTCGGCCATCTAACACTCATTCGCTCACCACAGCCAGCTGCTGGGGACGGTGATCTTCAATTTTGCCTTTGTTACCTCGATACCTTCCTGGGCCAATGAAAAGGTTCGCTACCGTAGTGCCGTGCTCGCTCTCTCTGTGTCCATTTGCTGATGATCGCCTCTTTCCCTTTGCCCGTTGTTTCGCTTTACTTCATTTCATCTTTGTAGAAAGAAGGTGTGAGCATTAACCGGTCGATATGGGGAGCTTCGATTCTGGGCACTTCCCTCTTCATCGTCATGGGCCTGTTTGGCGGGTGGGCGTTCAAGTACCCGCCCAACACCAATATTCTCGACGTCCTCATAAGCAACGCCAAGTACGTAGCTAAGCTGGCCTTCTCCTGGCCTCACCGGCTCGCTCACCCCTTTCCCGATTCTAGCTCTGTGGGGCACGTGATGGAGATCATCGTACACATATCAGTGTACCTGTTCCCAATCGTAGTACTCCTGTCCAGGTGCGCTCTGTCTCTTCTTCCTCCCTCTCCCTATCATATGATACTACCGCGCCAGAGCACTAATTGAGATCGCTACTACTGCGACCGAAAACACGCTCAGCATTCCTGTGTACTCGATCATTATTCGCTACAACCTCATCGAAAGCGGCCTGTGTGGCAAGCATTGGGCCAATGTTTGGGCGGTCCTCTTTCCCTGGGTGTTCTCTGTCCCTTTCTACACCGGTACGGCCTTAGACTCCATCCTGCCCGTGACTGTGGCGCTTTCTTTTTGCGGCGCAGTGAGCATTCTCAAGAGCTCTCGTGCAATATCTACCACACACAC